GATCTGGATATATAAGTTAAGCAATATGTGTGATTGTAGTAGAAGCAAAAGATAAGAGTTAAGAAAGTATTAAAAAAAATAATTCAGGATACCATATTTGCTTAAAAATAAGTGTGATAAATGATATAAAATATATCACAATAGATTAGAAAAAAAAAAAAAAAAAAAGAATGTAAAAAATAAAATGTGATTATATCGGTTTTATTTTTTTTTATTTTTTTTTTCTTTTTAAGAGACTTTAACATTTATAAATGATAAAAAATAAAAGCTGTAATATAATTGGTTTAAAAAAATTGAAAAACTGTCAACTAAAATAATTTATTCAAAAGTTACATTTTGAAAAAAAAAAAAAAAAATTAACTTATAAATGAAAAGGGTTTTTTAATAAAAATTTGAAAATTTTTTAATAAAAAAGTGCTTTAAATTAATATATAGAGGCATTGTTTTATAGTTGTTCGAACCAAATAATTAATTGATTTAAGAAATGAAAAAAATTAAAAAAAATTAAAAAAAATTAAAAAAAATAAAAACAAAATGATTTTTAAGAAAGTTATGATAAAAAATGGTGTAAAATTGCAGACTTCAAAAAACAACCTTAGAATGAGGATCAAAAGTAATGTAAAAAATCCAATTTAATCTTTTGAAAAAAAAAAAAATTAACAATAAGTAATTCCAGATTGATGATAAATTTAAATTAAAGAAGAACTGGAAGAACTGAAAAAAAAAAAAAAAACATATTATACTTACCAATTGTAATTTTGATGACAGGCTAATAAACTCTGTAATGGTGATGAAAAGAATTGCAATTGTTAATGTTACCTCATTTATTTCTAACCTTTTAAAGAGCTTTTTTTTTAAAAAAAAAATTTAAAAGGAAATAAAAATAAATTCTTTTTTTAAAAAAATAATGTACTTTTTAAAGAGGTTTAATTAAAAATGTAGATAATATTTAATGAAAATGATAATGAAGAATGAATTTTCTTTAAATTGATATCACAAAGAGACCATTTGAAAGTTGAGAAAAAAAAATTAGTTATGATTTTAATAAACTAAAGAAAAAAGTTTTTCTGGAACATTTAAAAATAAAAACAATTTGAAAACAATTCGTTAATTAGTTTGACAATTCTTATAATTGGGGTTATCTTTTTGCAAAGAATCTTTTAATTTAGCTAAAAATCCATATATCCAGATTTTCATACCATTTTAAACTAGACTCATGTTTTTTTTTTTTTCTATGTTTCAAAAAATTTCAAAGATTAAAAAGGGTATCAGTGTATTTTTTTAAAGAAATATATAATAAAATCTGGAGAAAATGAGAAGAAGAAAAAAAAAAAAAAAAAAAGGTAGTGTATTATTTTTTGGTGTAGAAATTTAACCCGGCACAAGTGGAAAACCCCCGTGAAAAAAAAAATTATGAGTGTGATGATTATGGCACCATACTAAAACAGTTGAAAATGTCAAATATATTTTTTAATGTAGAAACTGAAATATGAATTTCTAAACAAACCTTCCTTGATATTTATGAAAATGCATCAAGTACTTGGATAATAAAAAAAAAAAAGAAAAAACAGGAAAAATAGACTAGAAAATGTAGAGAAACCGGTGTATAAAAAAGAAAAAAAAAGTATAAAACTTGGGGTAGTGGAAAAAAATGTTTTTCAAAAAAAAAAAAAAAAAAAAATCTAGGGAAACTAGACAAGAATAGTGAATTGTGGATTTTGTTTATTTTTAATGTGATAGTGAATTAAGAAAAGAAAAGGGAAAATAAAGATGATTAAATCAGAAATGAGATTAGATGAGATGAGGTTAGAAAAAAAAAAAAAGTTGGGTAGGTATATTTTGAATAAGATGTTAAAAAAAAAACTGAATGGAATTTAAATCTGGGGTAAAACCAAATAAGGGTTAAAAGTTGATTTGTAAGTTGAAGAAGAAAATTATTATTTTTATTATTATTATTATTATTATTATTATTATTATTACTTGGATATAACAAGAATCAACGTTAATTTAAAATAAAATTGACAAAGAAGTATATTATTATTATAATTGATTGTTATTTTAAAAAATTAAATGGAAAAGGAGATTGAGTTTTCTGTCTTAAAACAATTGTTAACCTGTAAAGAAAAGAAGGTAAAGTTATTCTTTTTCTAAAAAAAAAAAAAAATAAAAGTTTTGGAAACGACAATTTTCACAATTCTGTCAATTTGAATTAAACTTAAACAACAGATTCACATAGCCTCTTTAAGTTTATGATTCTCCCCCCCCCCCCTTCTCTCGTATCTTATCTCAGAAACAAAACATGTTTTCAAAGAAGAAAAAAAGCACACTTTGCAGATTGAAACCCATTTAAGAGAAAAACCTCTCAATCAAAGTTTAAGAAAAAAAAAGTTTAGATGCTTGATTGAGGAAGAAGAAGAAGAAGAAGAAGAAGAAGAAGAATAAGAAAAGAAAAAAGTTAAAAAGGTGTATTGTAAAAGAAGAACAAGAAAAAAAAAAAGTAAAATGGGGTGTGGATAGTTAAGATTTAAGTACATTAAGGGGATAAGAAGAATCCCTTAAAGTCATGAAAGGTTTAAGAAGTTTAACAAAAAAAAAAAGTATGATTTTGAAACAAGAAAAAAAAATAATAAGAAGAAGAAGAAGATAAGTCTAAGATTATAAAGTTTATTAAAAAAAAAAAAAAAAAAAAAAAAAAAAAAAAGTGAAAAGTGAAAAGTGAAAAGTGAAAAGTGAAAAGTGAAAAGTGAAAAGAGAATATTATATTGTTGAAATTTTTTTTTATTATTTTTTATTTTATTTTTTTCATTTGTGCCACGGAATTAAGACGCATTATTATATAAAAAAGAGGTAATAATATTAATACTGATGACTAACTTTAACCAAATAAAAATTAAATAATTTTTTTTATGGTGACTAAATAGCACCTGCACATTTAATTTTTTATTAAATAAAAATAAAAATAATAATAAAAACATTGAGAATTTTGGAAATTAGCAAATACTAGAGCAATCAATGAAAAAAGAGGCGAGTGAAAAGAAGAAACAATGTCATATGAAGTAATAAATATATTTTTTTTAAATCAAAATTAAAATAAAAAAAATAGAAAAAAAAATAAAATAAAAAAATTTTTTTTTTTAATTCATTTTTGTTGATGACGAAATTTGGGGTAAAAAAAAAAAAAATTTCAATCACAAGGCTTTTTTTTTTTTTTTCTTTTTTTAATAATAAAAAAATTTTTTTTTAAAGTTGGAAAGGAAAAAATTTTTTTTTTTTTCACCCCACGATGCGGAGAACCCAAAAAATAAAAATAAATAAAAAAAATTTCATTGTTATTGTTCATCGTCATTACAATAAATATTTTTTTTTTTTTTTTTTTTAAAAAATGCAATTCAATCAAAAAAAAAAAAAAAACAACAAATTGAAATTTTTCAATGTGACTAAATTCATTTAGAATTCAATTGGATTAATAAAAGAAAAAAGAAAAGAAAGTAAATAATTATTTATAAAATATTAAAAACAATAAATCCTATGTGAAAAACAATGAAATGATAATATTCAACTAGCTTCATCATAATCAATCTTTCTATTTGCTCATTCATTCATTTATTTATTTTATTTTTTATAAGAAATTTTATAATTCAATTGTATTCTTTTTTATTTCAAAATTTCAATTATAATTAATTGATTAACAAACAATTTAATCAATTCTTTTAAAAAGAAAAATTTTTTTTTTTTCATTCAAATACTGTTGCTGTTCTTGTTGCTCTTTAATTCAAATCTTCAACATGATTATAATCTTTGTTATAACTTAATTAAGTAATTACTTATAACAATAAAACAATAAATAAATAAATAAAAAAATAAATAAATAAAAAAGAAATACATTTTCAAATCTTTTTTTTTTCTTTTAATATCTATATTCTACAACATAATCTTCACCTATTAAACACTCTCAACTTATCCCTTTTTTTTTTTTTTTTTTTTTTTTTTCCTTCTCATCTTCAAACTATTTTATCTCTTGGTTCTCAAATTCTTTTCGTATTATTATTATTATTATTATTATTATTATTATTATTATTATTATTATTATTATTATTATTATTATTATTATTATTATTATTATTATTATTATTATTATTATTATTATTATTATTATTATTATTATTATTATTATTATTATTATTATCATCTTTGAATATCCCCCCAAAAAAAACAAAAAATAAAAAAAAACTCTCTCTCTTCTCTCATTTGTTAATTTTGTTTATCAGGAAAAAAAAATAAAAATAAAATAAACCCTTCTTGGGTAAAAAAAAAACATCATCTTCCTCATTATCTACAGCAAACCGGCGTCTTCGGATTGTTATCTTGCAGGGAAAATATCCCGCAAATCACAATACCCCATATATGTCCATCTTAAACTAATCACCCCTTTCTCTCCCTCTCTTCCAACTACGATAGACTCATATATATCTCCATTTTATTACATTGGTTTATCAAAAACTTTTATTTTTTGTTTTGTTTTTATCCAATAGTATTATTATATCAATAGCAAAAAAATAAATAAATAAATAAATATTAATCATTATAAGGGGGTGGTGGTGGTGGTCGAGGTTCGTATAGTAATAATAATAATACACTTTCATCATAATACCATAAATATTTTCAAAAATTGTTTCCTCTCTTTTTCTTCATCTTCTTAATCTTCTTCTTCAAGGCGTCTCTCTTTTAGTCCTTCCAAAATCTATCTATCTATCTATCTAATTTTTTTTTTTCATTCTTCTTTATACACCTTTTCTTCATCTTACCAATTCAGGGTTGGTATAAACCTCAGTTGTGTATGTCTAATATGGGTATATATATATTTTTTCTCTCTCTCTCTCTCTTTTATCACTATTTTAATTTTTTTTTAAAAAAAAAACAGCACTTTCCTCCAATCCATCATATTCTTCTTCACTGCTTTTCCCTCTCCATTCAATCCAATCTCACATCTAATACCCTCATCATTGAGGTTGCTGCTGTTCCTGTGCTGCAACCATACTGAAAAACGGATTGTTACTGCTCATTGGCGATGACAAACTAATGCTACTCCCTGCAGACATGTTATGAGAACTATTCAGACTTACTGCACTCGTCACAATCGGAGCAAGCACAGTCACCGGAATGGTTGTTTGTTGTATATTACCAGTGACTGGGGTTGGTGCCGATACAGGCATTGATGTCATCACAGGGGGTGGTGATCTCGACGTTATTATTGTTGCGGGTAATGGCGCAGATGATGCTGCGCCAATCTGGTTACCCTTTATTTTTGTGGGTGAGCCGCTTACTGGAATCCTAACGGCTGAACTTTTTGATGTTGTTGGTGTTGTTGGTGTTGTTAATATTATTGAGTTACCAACAACTTCCTCATTATCCACCACCAATCTAATGGTTCCAGAGTTTTTACTGACATTTCCAGCTGCGGTGGAAAATGTCTGAATCCGTGAAACGGGCTGAGGCGATGGTGTATTATTGGATGAGGAAGAGAGTGGTGCTCGAGTAGGCACTACCGATGCTGCGGAAACAGAGTGTGGTGGCGTAGGTGCAGAGTAGTGGGATTCCTCAATGATGGAATGGAGGGGGAGAGACAGAGAATAACGGCCTTCCATGGAGGGTTTGGGTGCAACACGAGCCTTATTTCTGTAAGCCCCTGAGCTGGATTGTTGTGTCCAAGCATCGAGTGAGCTGCGTGGACTTGTAACGGAAGATGTAGCTGAAGTGTTATGATAATTGTTAGATGAGAAAGATGATGAAGCAGAAGCAGAAGCAGAAGCAGAAGAGGTAGAAGAAGGGCCTTGAGGCCCTGAGTTTGCAGCAACAATAGCCGTACTGATACTGCGACGGGGCCGGCCCGAGGATGAAAGATCGAGGGTTAAACGTGGTTTTGCGGGTGCAGCATTACCAGTAGCCAAGTCTACAATTCCTGGTCTTGCCATGTTTGCACGTAGTTCTTGGTACTGTTTCTTTTCCTGTGCCATTTTTTCAGGAGATTCAATCAATTCTGTAATTAGACTTGCTTTTGCCCTGACTGTTGAATGTTAGTAGAGATAACCGAATCAAGTAAAAAAAAAAATCAAAAAAAAAAAGGGGGTGAGGATGAGAGGTAGGTTTAATATAAAACATACTAGGAGCACCTTGATCAATGTTACGATCATCGGCATAACGGAAATCGCGTAGGGTTTTAATTAGATAAAGATTTTTTTTGAGCCAGTCAACCACTAGATCTGAAGCTTCATAGATACAATGGAGAAGAATTGTAAGAGCCTTTAGAAGAGTTAGATTTGAAAAATGAAATGATTTGAAATGAAATGAAATGAAATGAAATAAAAAAACGTGGTTCAAACTAGGTTTCAAATGAAAAATACATACTTTCATCACATGACGCCAGTTCTTGCCCTTGTCATTGAGTCGTTTTTCAAGTACATCGAGAACTTCCTTGAGATATTTACTTGGGAAAGGTTAGAACGGGGGAAAGAAATCAAAAAAAAGACACAATGATTTCTATATAAAACTCACTCGTGATAAGTTAATAGTGCAATTTCATTAAGTTCCGAGATGCTTGGCCCCCAAGGTTCATTACTTGTAGCTATCAAAGTGATAACAAATGTGTTAGTTAAAGTTATTGAAATATATATATATATATATATATATATATATATATATTATATTTTGATATAAATCGAATAAAAAAAAAAAGACTGTAGTGTAGTTTAAAGGCGTACCATTTCTAACGGTGATTTCAGTGGGCGTATATCTATTTGTTACGTTTTTAATAGAGCGAACAAAATGCTTAGACATTGCTGGAGCCAAAAAAAAAAAAAAATAAATAAATAAAATTTTTTTTTAAATAATAATGATAATTATGATAGTAAAAACCGTGGCTGGTATTCAAGGGCTCTCTGATAGGAGGGTCCTTGAAAAAGAAAAAGAAGAAGAAAAAAGACTTTTGAGTGGGTGGTGATGGTGATGGTGGTGGTGATGATGATTTTTTGACTGTGTGTGTGAGTGTGTGTGAGTGTGTGTAGTGTAGTGTAGTGTAGTGTAGTGTAGTGTAGTGTAGTGTAGTGTGGGGAGGGCAGACTAGGAAAAAAGCAAAAGCAACAGCAGCAGCAGCAGCAGCAGCAGCAGCAGCAGCACCAGCAGAGGCAGCAGAAGTGTAGATTTTTTTAAAATTATATATATAAAAAAAAAGAGGTAACGTGAAGGGTTAGGGTAAAAGCTTTTTTTTTTTTTTTTTATTTTTTTTTTTTGGGGGGGTATTTACAAATTATCCAAACAAGGTAACTTTTAAACCCATTTTATTTTTATTTATTTATTTATTTCCCATATCAAAATCAAAATCAAAAAAAATACCATCAAATGGCTTACGACCAATTCTACAAAGAAGATGCCTTTGCAAGCTCTTTAACTTTTAACAAATGGGTCCCACTTATGTGTGCAGATGTGGCTTTGCTATGGACTTTTAAACAAATTTATAACCGTCCTCCAGATCCACGCATTTGTCTTACATCATCTCCAGGCAATAATAAAAATAATAATAAAAATAAAATCACCAACACCCTTCTATACCCTCCACACTTTTTCCGAAATCATCCCATTAACTATGTATCTGTGACAGGGGAACTTATTGATGTGACTGAATCACAACTAGGATTGGATCCAGAGAAAAACTCATTGGCAATACTTATACTTACAGTAGACGATGGATCAGGAACTACCCTTAAATGCATCTTATTTACCCAACAAGGAGCTTATAACCCAAATAATTTACTACACCAGGTTTACCAAGTCCAAGGCTTTATTATTGACTCTGAAACTTTTGGAAGACAACTACGAATTGTTCAGTTTGCTCGAGTTAAGGGACTTACTGGTGAATTGGATAGATGGTGTGAAACTTTACGTGTTCGTAAAACCATTTTGACAAAACACTGGGATTACGATTCTGGAGAAACAGACGAAGACGAAGACGAAGATAAAGATAAAGATGAAGATGAACAAGACGAACAAGAAGAGGAAGAAGTTAATGATAATGATGAAAGTTTTAAAGATATTGATAAATTACCAACCATGTTTTGCTCTTTCCATAGGAAAAACTCTGTGCTTGTTCAAACCCCTAATGCCCTAGTGACTACACATACAGGTGGTGTACGATTAGATTTACGAAAAACACAAACCTCTGCAAGAGTTTTAAAAGTCATCAAACATCCAAGAAACAAAACTCCACCACCACAACACCAGTATCATAAACGGGTCCTCAAAAGCCCTCGCAAAAGTCAAAAATCATCTCCTCTAGATCCATCTCTTAAGAATTCACCAACAATTACATTTACTCGACAAAACACGAGGCAGGATCCGCAATGTGCTCCAGCAATCCATCAACAAGTATACTTAAACTCTCAAATTTGTTTCTTTTCACGGCCATGTGTTATTGCAACACCAGCAATTTCTCATCTCCCAAAATCCCGTCGTCATCTTCATCTTCATAAGTGATGAAAAGGAATTTTTTCATTCATTAATTCATTCATTCATTCATTCATTTATTTTTTTATTTTTTTATTTTTTTATTTTTTCCCCCAAACATATTATAATGCTGGCTTATCAAAACGAATTGACATTTCAACACCTGCAACAGAGTACCCACACTTTTGATAAAAGGCCACATTGTGCTCCGAGCAATCCAGAATAATCTTGTACACTCCAGCCGCCTTTCCAATGGCTGTGAGTGCTGAAATCAACGAGATTCCAAGTCTTTTACCTTGCTGCGACTTGTTCACAGCAATATCTTCAATGTGGCCCACAAGCCCACACCCATGAATCAATTTACGTTCCACAAGAACGGTTCCCACAGCCACAACCGCATTTGCAGCATCTGTAATGGCAACCGCATAATATACATCTCCACGCGACTTCCAGTGATCAAATAAAACACCAAATGTCTTTGCAGTTACGTCTCCAACAGTTGTTAGGGCGCTTAGAGTATCGAGCACTCCGCGAGACACGTCGTCTCGAGCAAGAGGCCGTAGAGCGTAGCCTTGAGGAAGAGCAGCAGCGACTTCTTTAGGGATCAAGCTGGGAGAGAACAGCAAGTTTTCTTGAGTAGGAGCCGAGTAAATTGTTTGTGATTCAGACATTTTCTATTTTATTTTGAGTGGTTGTTATGTTTGTTGAAGGGGGGGGAAGAAAATAAAAAAAAAATGGCTGGTTTTTTTTTTTAATTTTTTTTATGGAGCTGCTGTGCTGGCCACCAATGCGGCTGAACATTAGGTAACACGTGTGGATCAGAACTTATCTTTGGATAACATAAAACGATACCCCGGATTTATAAAGTTACCAACACGGTAACCTTTATTCTTTTATTTAAACCGGCAACAAGCGGGTATTGCCCATGTTATACACGGAGCCCGGCACGCGGGTTTCTCGATAGAATATTGCAAAATGCACCGACTGGACATTTCACATGGACGTACCCGAGAAATGAGAAATGAAAAATGAAAAAAAATGCATATTTTTTTTTTTTTACGTTGCTATTACTGGTCTTTTTTTTTTTTTTTCTCTATTCTTTCTATCACATTAAACAAAAAAAAAATTTAGTCATTTTTTTATGTTTGAGCCAACCGTTAAATTTTTTTTTTTTTTTTTTTTTTTAAAAATTTTCTTTTAAATTTCCTCTCTCATCAAAAAATAACCAACCAACCAACCAACCAACCAACAACCCATCATCATCAAAATCGCTCCAATTAATCAACCAACTAACTAACTAAACAAACAAACAAACAAAATACCCTTCTAATGTTTCGATCAGCCCTGAAACTTGCCCGTGCCCCGGCCTCCTCTTCGGTCATGGCTACTTCCCGTCGTGCCATTGCTACCTCTTCCTTTGTCCCTCCCTCTCCCTTCACCTCCGCAGACCAAAAACCTCGCCATTTGCTCTCCATCGACGACGTCACTGCTGAAGAACTTCATGCTCTCGTCACAAATGCTATCCGTCACAAAAGTCTCATCCGTTCAACTCGAGATACTACCACATCAGCCACAGCTGGCTCTCTTTCTGCCCATGCTCTTTCTGCCTCATCCGGTGGTCTCCGTGGTCAAACTGTCCCTCTCATCTTCTCAAAACGCTCTACCAGAACACGCGTCTCTACTGAAGGCGCCGTCACATACCTTGGCGGACACTCTATGTTCCTTGGTAAGGATGATATCCAAATCGGTGTCAATGAATCTCTCTATGATTCTTCTCGTGTCATTTCCTCCATGACTGCAGCCATTGTTGCACGTGTTGGACCCCACGAGGACATTTTGGGTCTTGCTGAACCCTCTTCAGTCCCTGTCATCAATGCCCTCTCCGATCTCTTCCACCCCTTCCAGGCCATTACTGACATTATGACTATCCGCGAACATTTTGCTCCTAATAACTCTGGAATTGATGCCCTCAAGGGTCTTAAGGTCGCCTGGGTTGGTGATGCCACAAATGTCCTTCACGACCTCGCAATTGCCTGCGCAAAGTCTGGCATTGATATTGCTGCTGCAACTCCCCTCGAATACCCCGTCAACCTTGACATTGTCGAGATGGTCCGCAGAGCAGGTGACGAAACTGGTGCCATCTTTGAGGTCACTACCGACCCCCTGGCCGCCATCAAAAATGCAGATGTCGTTGTCACCGATACTTGGGTTTCTATGGGCCAAGAGGCAGAGTACCGCCTTCGCATGCAACAATTTCAGGGCTATCAAGTCACCTCTGATATGGTTAAGGCTGCTGGTGCCAACAAGGACTGGGTCTTTATGCACTGTCTCCCCCGTCACCCTGAAGAAGTCTCTGACGAGGTTTTCTACTCGGACCGCTCGCTGGTTTTCCCTGAGGCTGAAAACAGACTTTATGCTGCTATTTCCGTGCTTGAGTCTTTTGTTGTCAACAAGGGAAACATTTTGTAAAATAATGGGATTAAATGTTTAGAAAAAAAAAGTTGAAACAGCTTTTTTTTTTTTTTTTAAGTATATAGAAAATAAAAGTATTCAAAAATTCAAAAATTGTGTGTTTAAAAAAAAAAATAATTCTAAACATCTACACTTTTTTTTTTTTTTTTTTTCATTTGTTTACAAATTAAAAACAAACACAAACCTCCCATATCCCCTTCTTCTTAAAAAAAAAAAGAAAATGAACCCAGATGACCCACAGGAAACTCTCCCAGCAGGTCTCAAGAACCTAGCAACTTCTCTCAATAACCTCAATCTTCAGACCCTCCGTCGTAAATCTCTTCACCAACGCCATGACTATCTCTCTTCTGATGACAATGATCACCCAAGCCCAGTCAAAACTGAACAACAAGACCCTGATCCAAAGCTTGTAACTACAACCCCACGACAACCAATACATGACCCGCTTACCCCAGGCCATATCGCATCATCTGCACTTAAAAATCCCATCATATCAACCCCTGGTGTTTCCGCTCCTCCGCTTCACCCACACTCGGCCGTAACTGCCTCAGCAACTACTGCTCGGCGCGTGCCGTCTGACGACCCACGTACACAGACCAGGGATGCATCACTACGGCGAGAGCTCGAGCAAGTGCGCCAGGCAAACCTTGCACTTTCAGTTGTGCTTTCTGCGGTCCGTATTTCACAAACAAATCTGGACGGTGTGCTGACTGCAGCACACAATGCTGACCGTCTGCTGGACAGCTGGGTCGCGGTACTGTCACAGTCCCAACATACTTATTCATTGTTATCAGATGCTGGGTATTGGACAGGTGTACATGACGATTTGGCACGCGAGGAAGCCCAGAAGGCTGAGAGAGAAGCAGCGGCAGCAGCAGCGGCAGCAGCAGCAGAACAGGAGCGGCGTGAAAGACAGAAAAAACAACAAGAAGAAGAGGCCAGGAGACGCAGAGAAGAAGCAGAAAAAGCAGAGGCTGCGACAAGAGCACAACATGAACAAGATAGCAGAAGAAGGTTGCGTCGAACGCGGCCGGATCAACAAAACGGTGTGACGCGAAGTTTAAGTGCACGACGACGGACTATAGTGGCACCAACAGCTGCTTCTGCAACAGCTGCGGAAGATACGCGGCTACGGAGGCGAGGAACAATGATTGGAACAACTACAACACCTTCCAGTGCAACACGTCGGCCACCTCCAGGGTCTCGTGCACAACCCGGGTCTTCGATTCCTTCACGCACCGGTCGGTTCAATCCCAAATAGAATTATTTTTTTATTTTTATTTTTTTTTTGATACAAAAAGAAAAAGAAAAAAGGTAATCATTTATAGAAGTTTTCAATATATAATGTAAAAAAAAAAAAAAGAAAAGATGGAGAAGTTAAATTCATCACAAATATTTTTCAAATCCTTTTCAAATCCTTTTCAAATCCTTTTCAAATCCTTTTCAAATCATTCATCGTCGTTTGCCTCCCCGCGTGGTACCTTGACGCCCTCGTGAACCAGCCCCTCCACTGCCACCACGAGAATTGCTGCCTCCTCCAGCACCCCCACGGTTTGATCGTCCATTCACTGCGTTACCTCGCCGCGCACCGCCTCCTGGTCTTTGGTCTCTTAACCTCATAGCACGCTCTATATCTTCATGCATTTTCCGAGCCTGTTCGATCCGCCGTCGCCGCCGTCTTTGGTCTTCTTCGAAAAAACTGGCTGGTGAGTTTGTTTCAGATCCAGTACTGGCCATTGGATTTGCTGCTGCTGCTGCTGCGGTACTTGCTACTGCGTTACTTTCAATCCGTGTGAGTCGTGCCTGTAAAGGTGTGAAGTAGGGGAATGCAGTTGATTTGAGAATACTTTCCACGCTTTGATCTATAATCTCTTCTTCTTTCCGTTTCGCAGCTTCTTTCTCTGCATCATATTGCTTAGATGCACTTCGTTGTTTATTTTTGGCCAAAATGGAAAGCACAGAATCTTCACTTGGCGAAGCTTTCTTTGCTTTGTTATGCCGTAAATCAACCTCCACAATACGCCCTGACACTGCAAATCCCTTAACTTCTTCATCAGTTGATAATAATCCTTTAGGCTTGGTATAAATTGGTCGTGTACCTTCATTATTCTTTTTCCGTTCATTATCAGTCCCAATTTGCGATTGGCTAAAGCCTATATTTACTGGAGATTGTGGACGTTTGGGCAAACTAGCTGGTGCTTTCCCCAAGGTATTTGTACTATTCATACTATTCATTGAAGTATCTTCCTTTTCATTTTCTGGCATATTTAGAATACTTGAAGATGCAGGCAAAAACCTCCCATATAATGTCTCCACTTCTGGTTTATCCTTTTTATCTTGTTTTTGTTGTTGCTTCTGATTCTGATTCTGATTCTGATTCTGCGTCTGTTGCTTCTGCTGTTGCTGTTGTTGTTGTTGTTGTTGTTGTTTAATTTGGTCAGCACTCGTGGTATCAATTTTGGGTTTCTTTTTAAGAGGAGTCTTGAGCTCCAAATCACGGCGTTTTTTGCGTAACAAAAGAGCAGCATTTAACGCATCTGTTTCATTATCATTATCATTATAATTTTGATTGTCTTCTTTTGCTTCTTTTGCTTCTTTTGCTTCTTTTGCTTCCTCCTCCTCTTCTTTTTGTTCTTCTCCAGGTGAAGTCCGCCTGTTGTGACTAGTTACATGAGAAGTTGATTTACTAGATGATAGTTTATCGTCTCGCCAAACAGTTAGAGATTTTAGTTTAAACAAAAAATAAAAAAAACAGATTAAAGGATCATTATAAAGTCCTTTTTCATACCTGTGAGAAACTTTCGTTTTCGTAGCATTTTTTTTTTATTGATATATTATCAAATTCTGGGTGGTAGTGATGGTAGTTGTTGAAGAAATGCTGAATTTATTACTTGAAATGAAAAAGAAAATTAAATTAAATTAAAATAAACTAAAGATTATATAAACATTACTAATCCATTACATAAATATTTCACTTTTTTTTATCTCCTTTTTTTTTTTTTTTTTTTTTTCTTTACCAGCCAGCTGTTTTTGAAAACCTCCAAATCTTTCAACAACATCAACATCAACAATTAGAATAAAAAAAAATTCCCACCAAAACAACAACCAGAAATTATGCGTGAAATCGTCTCAATCCAATGTGGCCAGGCAGGTAAGTCAATTAAAAAATCTTTATAAAATTTGTTTGCATTGTTTAATCTTATATTCTAACTATTTATCAACCTCTTTCTAGGGTAATTATCTTTCAATTCCTATAAACTTTTCTCTTTCCCCCCCCTAATCTTATTATCCTTTTCCATCCCTCCTCCCCTCCCTAACACTTTCATCCCCTCCTATTTAGCAACCAAGTTTCTACTGCGTTTTGGAACACAATCATTGAGGAACACGGCCTCGATGCAGATGGCCATCTCAAACCAGACCAGGACGAATACTCATCTAAGCGTATCGATGTATTCTTTTCCGAAGCATCCAACCACAAGTACGTCCCCCGTGCTGTGGCTGTTGACCTGGAACCCGCTACCCTTGATACAATCCGCTCCGGCCCCCTCGGCCACATCTACCGACCAGATAATCTCATTAGCGGTGATTCCGGCGCTGGAAACAACTGGGCTAAAGGTTTCTATACTGAAGGCGCAGAGCTCATGGAAAGCGTGATGGACGCCGTGCGACATGAGGCCGAACAGGCAGACTCGTTACAAGGTTTCCAGCTCGCCCATTCACTCGGTGGTGGTACCGGTTCCGGTCTCGGTACCCTGCTGCTGACTCGCATCAAGGAAGAGTACCCAGACCGTATGCTCTCTACTTACTCTGTCCTGCCATCACCCAAGGTCTCAGAAACTGTCACTGAACCATACAATGCTGTCCTCTCTTTCAACCAGCTCATTGACCACGCCGACGCTACCTACTGTCTCGATAATGAAGCTCTCTACAACATTTGCGAAAACACTCTCAAGATTGCGCGGCCCACCCACAAGGACCTCAACGCCCTCATTGCACTCGTCATGTCTGGTGTTACTACCTGTCTAAGATACCCGGGCCAGCTCAATGGTGATTTGCGTAAGCTCGCTGTCAACCTGGTGCCTTATCCTCGTCTTCACTTTTTCACGGCCGGGTTTGCACCCCTTGTTGCGACAAATGCAAAGTCTTTCCAAAACTACACTGTTCCTGAGCTTACCCAACAGCTCTTCAGCCCGACAAATGTCATGGCTGCTTGTAACCCGTACCACGGGAAGTACCTTACAATCTCTACTATTTTCCGTGGCAAAGTCGCCATGAAGGAGGTCGAGGATGCAATTGCGGCCGCCCGTCAACGTAACTTTCAGTACTTTGTCGAGTGGATCCCAAATAACGTCCAAACCTCAGTTTGTAACGTTCCTCCCAAGGGCCTCGAGACTTCTGCAACTTTTATTGCAAACTCAACTGCTATCCAAGAGCTTCTTTCCCGCATCTCGGACCAATTCTCGCTCATGTTCAAGCGCAAGGCTTTCCTTCACTGGTACACAAACGAGGGTATGGAACTTGCCGAGTTTGGCGAAGCTTCTTCAAATCTTAAAGACTTGATTCTTGAATACCAACAGTACCAAGAAGCTGGCATTGATGATGAAATTGTCGACGAAGAAGGTCTCATTTATGAAGACCATGCAGTCTACGATTCTGTCGTTGATGAATATGCTCAAGGTGCTTAAAAAATAACGTAAAAAAAATTAATTTATAATATACTAATAATAACAATTGTTTCTTTTTCTTTTTCTCTCTTTTTTATTTTACTTCTTTCCTTCCCTTAAGCCTTGATCTTGACAAGCAAGTCAGAGCCATCAACGGAATCACCATCCTTGACAAGAACTTCGGAAATCTTACCTGAAGAGTTTGCGCTAACAACCATCTCCATCTTCATGGCAGAGAGGACAACAACAGGATCACCCTTCTTGACCTCAGCACCCTCCTTGACGCGAACCTCCACAACAACACCGGCCATGGGAGCACCAACCTCATTGGGGTTGTGGGCATCAGCCTTGGGACGAGTAACAGTCTCAATTGCGGCAAACTTGTCCTCAACAGTGACCTTACGCATCTCACCATTAAGCTCAAAGTAAACCTCTCTGGTACCAGTCTGGGTGGAAAGCTCACCAATGGCAAGCAGCTTAAGAATAAGAGTCTTACCCTTCTCAATGTCAACTGCAAACTCCTTGCCAATCTCAGGAGGAGCCAAAAAGTATTGTGTGGGGACAACACTCAAGTCACCATACTTCTCAGTGTACTTGCGGTACTCCTCGTAAACCTTGGGGTACATGGTGTAAGAGGCAACGTCAGTGCCATTGATGCTACCACCAAAGCGCTTCTCCAGATCGGCTCTAATGCCAGCCAGGTTAAGAGGCTTAAGAGTCTTACCAGGACGCTCAGTAAGCTTAGGGCGCTGGCCACGGAGAATCTCAGTGCGGAGAGGCTCAGGGAAACCACCATAGGGCTGGCCCATAAGACCCTCAAAAAAGTCAAGAACCGACGCGGGAACGTCAAGAGTAGAGGCCTTAGCCAAAACGTCATCGTAGGAGAGCTTGTTGGATACCATAAACTGGGCAAAGTCACCCACAACCTTGGAGGTAGGAGTGACCTTTACAATGTCGCCCAACAAACGGTTGGCCTCCTCATAAGCCTTCTTGGTCTCCTTCCACTGCTCACCAAGACCAACCTGCTGGGCCTGGAAAATCAAATTGGTCAATTGACCACCAGGAATCTCGTGAATGTAAACCTCTGGGTCAGGGCCCTTAAGGTCAGCTTCAAAACAGGAGTAGAGAAGACGCATCTGGCCCCAATAGGCATCAATGTCCTTAACCTTGTTGGCATCCAAGTTGGTCTCAGTGCGGCCCTCAAGGGAAGCCAAAATGGCTGAAATGGAAGGCTGAGAAGTCATACCAGACATGGAGTTGGAAGCAGCGTCAACAGCATCGGCGCCAGCAAGAGCAGCAGCTGTCATGGAGGCAACACCAGTACCAGCAGAGTCGTGGGTGTGGACGTGAATAGGCAAGTCAGGGTACTTGGCACGAATGCTGCCAATAAGCTTGGTAGCAGCAGCAGGCTTAAGGGTACCAGCCATATCCTTAATACCAAGAATGTGTGTGCCCATAGCGACAATCTTATCGACAAAGTCAATGTAGTAGGCAAGGTTGTACTTCTTCTTAGGGTTGAGCATATCACCAGAGTAGCAGACAGTGGCTTCAACAACACCACCAGCCTTCTTGACAGCGTCGACACCAACCTTGAGTTGCTCAAGATCGTTCAAGGCATCAAAGACACGGAAAATGTCGACACCATTCTTTTTTGCCTCAAAGACAAACTGGTCAATGGCATTGTCAGGGAGAGAAGAGTAAGCAACACCGTTAGCACCACGGAGCAACATCTGGAAGGGAATGTTGGGGACAATGGCACGGAGCTTGCGAAGACGAGCCCATGGGTCTTCGTGAAGGAAGCGCATGGCAACATCAAAAGTAGCACCACCCCAGCACTCAAGGGCAAATGCACCAGCAAGAGCATGGGAAGTAGTAGGGGCAATCTTAAGCAAGTCGTAGGTTCTAACACGAGTAGCGAGAAGAGACTGGTGAGCATCACGCCAAGTAGTATCCATGATAAGAGTACCCTTAAAGTCACGAACAGCCTTGGCAAAGCCTTCAGGGCCCTTCTCGAGCAAAACATCACGCCAACCCTTGGGAGGAAGGACATTGTCAACGTCAATAGCAGGGCCATCAGGAGACTCGTAAATGGTGGGGATGGCGGGTTCCGAGGTAAGCTTGGGCAGACCAATTTGGCCAGCAACTTGGGAACCATTAACAGTCAGCTCAGCAAGGAAGGCGAGAAGCTTCTGGGCACGGTTCTGAGAAGTAAGCATCTCAAAAAGCTTTGGAGTGTCATCGATGAAAGTGGTCCAGCAGTCACCCTTGATGAAGGTCTCGTTGGTCAAGAGAGCAAGCAAAAAGGGAATGTTTGTCTTGACACCACGGATTCTAAACTCAATGAGAGCACGAAGCATTTTGCGGCGAGCAATTTCATAGGTAGAGCCAGAGCATGTGCACTTGACCAACATGGAGTCGTAGTGGGGGGAAATGATGGCACCAGCAAAACCGTTACCACCGTCCAAACGGACACCATTACCACCAGAAGATCTGTAAACTTCAATCTTACCAGTATCGGGCTGGAAGTTTTTGGTTGGGTCTTCGGTGGTGATACGGCACTGAATGGCAAAGCCACGGTAAGTGATCTTGTTCTGGGTAAGGCCAAGCTTCTCGAGAGTAGCGCCAGCAGCAATTTGAATCTGGGCAGCAACGATATCAATGCCAGTGATTTCTTCAGTAATGGTGTGTTCGACCTGGATACGGGGGTTGATTTCGATAAAGTAGTGTCTGTTTTGATTATCAACCAAAAACTCAGCAGTACCAGCGTTTCTGTAGTTGGCAGTCTTGGCGAGCGTAACCGCATCAGTCAAAATGGCGTTACGGACATCCTCAGGAAGGGTCAAGGCTGGGGCGACTTCGACAACCTTTTGGTGACGACGCTGGACAGAGCAGTCACGCTCATAAAGATGAATGACATTGCCGTGGTTATCAGCAAGAAGTTGGACTTCAATGTGCTTGGGCTTGTCGAGGAAGCGCTCGATAAAGACAGTTCCGTTGCCAAAGGCAGTCTTGGCCTCAGAACTGGCACGGAGGAAGGCATCGCCAATGTCATCACCTTCACGGACAACACGCATACCACGGCCACCACCACCAAAGGCAGCCTTAATAATGACTGGGTAGCCATACTTATCGACAAAATCCTGAGCATCCTTAATATCCTCAATGGGACCGTCGGTACCTGGAACAACGGGGACGTTGCATTTGAGAGCGAGATTACGAGCAGAGACCTTGTCACCAACAGAGTCAATGACATGGTGTGGGGGGCCAATCCAAATCATACCAGATTCCTCGACCTTTCTGGCAAACTCAGAGTTTTCAGAAAGGAAACCATAACCCGGGTGGATCATGTTGACGCCATGCTTCTTTGCAATTGAAATGATTTCATCAATTTGCAGATAAGCCTGGACTGGTGTGTATTTACCTCTAGGACCAATGGCATATCTGTTGTAAAAAAAGTTGAGGGTTAGAATTAAGAATTAAGGAAAAAAATTAAAAAAAATTTAGCTAATTGATTAATGCAAATAATACGTACGCTTCATCGGCCTTAAGTCTGTGCATAGAAAGTCGGTCTTCATGGGCAAAAATGGCTACTGTGAGCAGAGAAAGTTCGTGAGCAGTTCTGAAAATCTGTGAGCAAAAAAAAGAGAAAAGATACCAGTGTTAGTTACAACGGTTATCGAAGGCGATTTTTTTCTAAGAAAATTGGTTTTTTGGTTGTTTACGTACTCTGATGGCTATAATTTCAAAGGAAAATTTTGAGGGGTCACCGGCAAGCCCGGGTTACCCAAAAAAAAAACATGGGGGTAGAAAAAACCTGGTTAGTATATTTTTTTTTGTTGGAGAGAAATATAGCGTGATGACAGATTGAAAGAGAAAAAAATAAATAGGAGGGGGAAGGACTAAAAGATCCGGATCTGGGTGTTGCATGTCCGAAGTATAAAGATGATTATTTTAGAGATAAGGAAGGATTGGTGGTGACATAATTTTAACGCAGCCAACCCAGTATTAATACTTACGAATTTCACCACGGTTAGCAACTAAAAGGACGAGTTAGTACAATTGTGTTTAATTGAAAAAAGAATTGTAAAGATAAGTACTAACCTAGCAGCTTGTTGATTGAGCCCAGGATTGAGGACTCTGCGCGAATCTGATGAATGGAGGTGGTGGTGGCAACCTCCTCGTTAAGCTCCTGGATTTCTTCTGAGGGCATTGTGTATATAGATTGTTAGGTTTATTTATTTATTTATGAAATAATAAAAAAAAGACGATTGATTCTTCTTTTTCTTTTATTTCTTTAATATATAAAAATTTAATAAGAGAATAATAAGAGGAAAAAAAAATAAATAAAATAAAAAGAAAAAGAAAAAAAAGAAAAAAAGTTGAAAGATTTAATTAAATTTGGGGGGACGGCCCGCCCTTTATATAAAAAGTCTGATTTGAAAATTGGCAAGGTGTATGGCCAGGTTTTTTTTGTTGTTGTTGCACCAAAGCATTACACACTAATTTTATTTTACACCGCTCTATGTACTATACATATATATATGTCCACACTCTCCACACAATCACCATCACCCATTGACTGCCCAGCCGATAACAGCTACACTTATGATGGGTGCACTTTTGATTTGTACGTTTTTTGTTTCCCCAAGGGATTCTTCTTCAAAAATGTTTTTGCATGTTTGCTCTGGCATATATTACTGAAATTATAATGATAAAGATCATGAAGACTCGTATATTCTCATTATCATCTCCGGATCTTCCATCCGCCGGCCGTTGGATGTCCGTCCCCAGATGCGCGCACACACAAACAATAATGACGAACCAGAGTTGTTTTTTTTCTTTTCTTCTTCTTGAAAAGTTTTAGATATTTAGTGTAGTTAGTACTCGGATCTTTCTAACGAGGTTAATTTTTTTTATTTATCTCACAGCAGAATAAATAGAAACCCCCATCTGCTCGGTTATTGTCGCTGCCATTTTTTTTAAGGTTGCTACGTGCTGCTTTTCGCTTTTGGCGGCGTTTTTTTTTCTTGAAATGCCCCAGAATCACGTGTTAATAGATTATGTCATATTCTTTTAACTGATAAGAATTGTTTTATTATGTAATCTTTCTTATATCTTCTGGTCCTTTAGGTCCTCCCAAAAAAAAAAATAAAAAAATAAAAAATAAATAAACCTTCTTTATGGCTGAAATACCAAACCATTTGAAAAGATGGCCAGACATAAAGAACTTTAAAAATACTGAAACTACTGTCCAACCATTGGCCAAGTTCTTATCTCAATTCAAAATTTCTTGCACATGTCTTTTTAAAAAAAAATCTTTATAACACAGGTTTTCATTATACACCTTTAGTACACACTTCATGCAATTTCTCCAAGGTTGCTACAGACTAATGTACCCCGATCTATTGGGACGATCTGTTCTTATTTTTTCGTTCATGATTCTTCTTTTAAGTAGTGCGTCTTAAACATAATTTATTTATCATAAAGAGTAAATTTAGTAGTAAATATATCCAGTGTATAATTTCGCTCATCAACTATCATTTTATCATTATAATTATAATTATAATTATCTGCCCTCTTTCTCACGCTTGCTCTTAAGATATGCCTGTCGCGTGTTGGCCATCTCATAAACATATTGCCCCAAATGCTCAACTCCTTCAATTGCAACTCCTTCTCTATCCTTCTGTTTCCTTTGCGTCTTGGTTGTACTAATGGACCCACTGCCATACATCTCCCCAGTCACAACCATCAACTTATCATCCACATTACGCTCAAGCATGCGTCTCACAATCTCCTCATCCCGTGCAAGTTGCCCCCGTACAAGCCCACCATGTCCTAACACATAAAGTCCCTGGCGTGCACGCGAAAGAGCAACCGTCAATCGTCGCGGATCTCTCAGATACCCAACCCTCTTAGTGCGCACAAGTGACACAATCACAATGTCATTCTGCTCACCCTGGTAATCGTCAATTGTCTTCACTGCCCCAGGTCTCCCAAAAATTTCTCCCACAAAACTCTTTGAAGAGTTGCTTCCACCTCCTCTTCCTCCACAACAACGTCGCTCAACAATCTCTTCAATCAATTTCTTTTGACCGTAGTAAGCACTTAGAATCGTAACATTGTGACTAGGGTACCCCAACAATCGCAAGTATTGATATAGGGCCACTGCATATTCAGCCTCGGCAACGTTTTGCAAAAAATGTTTGGAAGGCTCCGACTCCACTCCTTCCTCAACATTAATAAACTGCCAACTGTGCAACAACCCCGGATTGGGTCGCTGCAATTCCGCAGCCGCCAATACCCGGGGTAAGTGCTCTAGTGAACCCCCACGGATAATGCTGGAGTTGCCATTATTAGTGCTGTCATTGCTACTACCCTCACCCCCAATAGCCCCGTCACCATCCACCTGGTACTGCCAGTCGTAGAGTGCCACAATCTCAGGCCGGGCTCGTCCCTGAGCATTTAACACAATTGCCGGAGTCCCAAGCCGCACAAGTCGTCCAAACAAACTTTGGTCCAAGTGCCCATATTGACGAAGGCCACTGTTTTGCACCACTGGTGCGTTTTGTAAGTCGTCGCCAATTAACACTACCCGCCGCACGCTCTGCTGGCCGCCTAGTGCCAAAACAAGTATCGTCTCCAACTCTGTCAACTGTGCAGCCTCCTCCACAACAATGCTGTTGCATTGGAACCCAGCCTGTTGCAGCTCGGCACGATTCATAGCCGCAAAAGTAGCCGTTACCGCGACTATCCGCGCAGATTCATGAACTAGTCGATCCGCTCTCACGCGAGTTCCTCGAAGCACATCAAACGGGCGTACCTCGCGTAGAACATCAAAAAGCCGAGCCTGAATCTCTTGTGCATAAACTCGTTCGGCCACAGCTAGCGCTCGTCCGAAAACGGTTTTGCTGGGCTTTAAAGTCATATTATTAGTTTTCGTCTTAAGTTTTGTCTGTTTCTTCTCCGCATGCACGGCTGTGCCTTCAACCTCCACCACCTTTGACCACCATTTTTGAAACTGCGCCTTCAGCCGGACACTATCTAAATGGTTCCCGTCACCATCATCGGCTTCGGCCTGTTCGAAGCCGCCGCACAAGGACCAAAAAATACGTGCCCGGCCTTCGTCCTCATCCTCCCCGGACTCTGAAAAGTATGTTGCAAACGGAAACCCCAGAATAACTTTCTCCACACTCCCATTGTTCTGGTCTCCATTTTTATTGTTTTCTCTCATAGTTTTGCCCACCTCTTCAATGTATCGATCCCACCGAGGCTTGACCTCCTGCTCATAAAATGCAAGTCCAGTATCACTTCCTTCTCCGTACCCCCCGGCCCCAGCCGTCTTTACAGATGCTGCAAGTCTGGTCACTGCTCCAAGCACCTCGTCGCGCGTCTGTTCCAGCCGTTCAACGCATCCATACTTGGAAAAAGACCCTCCAAATCCTGGTCCGCTGTCGGCTCCGGCATTACCACTTTCCGGCTTCCCCTCGGCTTCGACCAATAACAGCTGTTTCTGTCTCTTGGAACCCTTACCCTGCTGTTGGCGAATTCTTTCGTCGAGCTGCTCTTCACCACCACCTAGCCGCACTATATGCCGACCTTCCACATCAAGCTCAACAATCTTTTCAAATATGTGGTTCAACGCGTTATTGCTGTGTGCAACAACAAGAACTCGCTCCTCAGGATAATTGTGGTAAAGGTTTGCCACTGCTTGAACAGCAACATCTGTCTTTCCTGTGCCTGGAGGCCCAATCACTACAGTCAAACCAGGACTCACGCCTCGTACTAGTGCCTCTACTTGCCGGGGTGTAAATCGCACCTTGTTATGCTTCTTCGGTGCAAGCCCATACACAGATTCAGCCCTCGTAGAAACGGCTTTCAACGGCTCGGTAACAAGTTTAGCGTCGCCGTCACGGCTACTGCTACCCTTATATCCTTCAATGTACCCAGGTAAAACATATGGAGGCAATGGGTCCCCGTTTGGGTCGCGCCCCTCATCGTCTTCTTCCTCTAATTTCTCCACAATAACCTTTCGTCCGGGGAAGCTTCCCTCGAGGTGCTCTCGATCCAAAAATGTGTCAAAATAATTCACTTTGTCAGCAAACCAGTCTTTTGTTTTCTCGTTTTCGTGCATTGCAACATAAGAGGCCCCGCTTGGGTTTCCAAACCCTAACACAACTTCCACAAGCCACTCAGGAACAGCTCGCTCGGAAACTCCTTGACCCTCAAGAGTTAAACTTTTAATGTTTTCCAAAATTTTGTGAAAATTGTTTTCTCTAGGACGCCGCCTCAAAATCACATTGAGATCCTTGTAAATGTGCAACGCTCCAGAATCTTTAGCATATTGTAATGCATCCAAATAAACGTGCAATTTACGTCGTCGTCGAAATCCACGCTTTGTCGACTTGCCTTCACCATCAAAGTCGTTGTCGTCAATGTCAACAAAATCATCAAGATCTTTTTCATCAATATCGAAAAGATTATCCTGACCAGAACCCTTATAAATAGGTCGATCACGCTCATCCAAAACTTTGATCACTTCGGCAGATCTTAAATGTTTGATTCCAGTTTGTTCCCATAGAGGAGACGCGGATCGGGCTGCAGCGGGAGTCACAAGTTCCGCCAAAAAGACAACTTCGCCAGGTCGTAATGCATCCCACTCAGACAAGACACCATATCCAGCATTCTGGCCTTCAAATTCAACAACCAATTCAGCATGAACTTTTCCAGGAGCAGGAATAATGGTAGTTTCTGTAGTCTTGACAAAACTGTGCGAAGGTTTTTCTTTAGTTTCCTGAACAATATCATATGAGCCAACCTTGGGTGGTGTAACTTCAAGAATGGCAACAGGCGTCGACAACTTGGCTGCCATCTTGCTTGAGCCGTTAAACTTTGTTTTGATTTCTTGGTTTCCTGCACTATTCATAATGACTGTTTGTGGCTTAAGTCGCTGGACTGTTGTTTCAATATCTTGTTGAATTTGATAAAAAGATTCGTACCGTTCTAGTTGGAAAGCTCGCATCAAAAAGTCAGTAACGCTCAAGTACTGTAGTCCCATTTGCGGGATGGGTAATGGCAAAACATTGGTGTTTCCATCACCACCTTCTTCTTCAGTCAATCTCAAAGTTTGTGAGAAAAGCGTGTCTTCGGTTGGTAGGGTTTCTAAAGACATACATAATTGTTGGATAGTAGCCTTTTGTTCATATCGCGCAAAAATACACTCAAGCAAAAATTCTCGTTTGTTTTCTGGTGGGGGTAATGATTCAATTGGGTACTGAGTGCGCAGGTTGAGTGCTTCGCAAAATGATTCCAGTTGTTGTAACGTGATTGACTGCAAATGATCGGCTAAAATCTCGCGTTTACCCAAAGATGCTAAATTTGAGTAAGCCAAAAATCCAGTATCCTCCAAAAAATTTTCGTATGCCGTAGTCCTTAGCTTTTTATATTGTGCCACTAGTCTTTCACGAGCTTCATCTTCGTTCAGCTGTTTCCCAGAAAAGTCGTCAATTGGAAACTGCATGTAATAGTCGAGCAAGTTGACAAGTTCCAAAAACACACGTGCACGGTGCTCTCCATCATCGATGACACTCTTGTAAAATGGTGATTGTTTAATGGCGGAAAGCAGGTGAACGTCAACCAAAAGTGTATTTGTAAATCTTCTGGTTGGTAATTGTGACACAAGCGCAATCAAAAACTCCAAAATTCGCGTGGTATATAAAAACCTATCTGAGTGAACAATTTTTCTAGCCTGTCCTTCGTCATGTTTGTATAAAATGTCAAGAAACCCCATGATTGTAGAATATAGCCATTCGCTCGCCACAGAGAGATGGGCGTAAGCCTCACCCTTTTCTTTATGAGCACTTGTCAAACGTTTTTGATAATGTTTCCAAAGCTTTTTTAATGATGGGTTCTGTGTAATGATTTCTGTTCGTGAAGTCTCTGAGCTTAACCGGTTCCAAATTAAAATTGAAACCACAGGGGCAATCTCCTTGCGAATTATCGGGACATCGAGACTTTTAGTTGCAATGGTGAGGAAATGAACGAGCTGTGTGCGAACCCATAATTCTGTGGACGGTGTAGAAAGAATAGAAAGAACGCGATGAAAAAACTTGGAAAACGTATCCGAAGATTGGCTCAAGGTTTCTAGTTTGTGTTAAAAAACTAATCCAATAAAAATCATGTCAAACTTACCCCAAGGTTTGTTGTTCTCATTATTTTTTGCCACCACCATTAGCGCAATAGAAATAACATGTTGATCATTAGAATCATCTGAAAAGTTCTCCCAAAGGTATCTAAATAAGTTAGCGAGGGAACAACAAAACACAATATTAAGGTTGCTTACTTCTCAAGGTACTTCAAATGGTTCAAAATGAAAATATTGAACATAAGAGACGAAAAGGCAGCACTTGCATTTGTCGCAGATGTCATCATGGGTTTTGCAAGTTCCACATAAACCTCTGATATAACTGAATTTGTTTTTTTTGTAGATTTCTTGGTATTGGTCTTGGTAGTCTTCTTTTGTTTCTTTGCTGGTGGTTCAGAAGAATCATTTTGCGATTCAACGCCATGGTCCCAGTAACGCGTCGCGATTTCAAAAAATGTAGAGGAAATCACATCGTCTAAACATGGACGCTCAGTGCTGGTCCCTTTAGCTTTCTGCTGAACAGGGCCACCCATGTTTCTCTATGTTTTAATAATAGTTTGTAAGAAATACGCGTTGTCAAAAGGCTTTGGTTTTTTGCAATTTTGATTTGGGTTTTAATGGCAGAAGAATTTTTGGAATATTTAAACCACCCTAACCCTGAAATAAAAAAGCGCTTAAAACAATGAAGATGGACTTCTGAGAAATAATTTCAGTAAAAATTGCTTAAAATTTGTTCCAATCCTTAAGTATCATTTGTGAATAACCCCATTTAAAGTCTTTTTTAATATATATTATGATGATTCCTTTTCTGAATCATGTTAAATCTTCCTGGTAAATCTTTGATTGAAAATAATGCTACGAAGTGTTCCAAATGCTTGGTCACGTTTTACGTAACACTCGGGAAAATTTTTTTGAAATTTTTTTTTCCATAAAAATTTTTTTTTCTCTGTTCCCCTTCTTAATCACACACACACGACACCTACAACCTTTAAAAACTGCAACTAGGCCGCACTCGCAGGATCCCGGATCAGTTTTTCTTGACTTTTCAGTCTCAGTCGTTTATACATATACATATATCTTAAAAAATGTCGTTCAGAGGAGGACGTGGCGGTGGCCGTGGCGGTTTCGGCGGCGGTCGTGGTGGTTTCGGCGGTGGCCGTGGTGGTTTTGGTGGCAGAGGTGCTCCCCAGCAGCAGGGCCCCCCAGACAGAGTCTTGGGTATGTTTGATTTTACTTTAAATACCTTTATTTTGTCAAGATTTTGCTTCTTTCTCAAAACTCTTTGAATTTGTTGATAAAATGTAAAGTTTTGTTTGAATTTTCACTAACTAAAGATTTATAGAAATGGGCACATTTGTTCACCCATGCGAGGGCGATATTGTCTGCAAGTCTATCAACACCAAAGTTCCTTACTTCAATGCTCCTATTTACCTCGAAAACAAGTCTGTTGTCGGCAAGGTTGACGAAATATTAGGTCCTATCAATGATGTTTACTTCACAATTAAGCCTGCTGAGGGTATACAAGCCACTTCTTTCAAGTCTGGCGACAAATTTTACATTGGTTCCGACAAGCTTCTCCCATTAGAACGATTCCTTCCCAAGCCTAAGGCTCCTGCTGGACCTAAGCCAAAACGTGCTCCTGGTGCTGGTGGTGCTGGTAGAGGTGGCTTTGGTGGTGCCCGCGGTGGCTTTGGTGGTGCCCGCGGTGGCTTTGGTGGCCGTGGTGGTGCCAGAGGTGGTGCTCGTGGTGGTTTCGGCGGTGCCAGAGGTGGTTCTCGCGGTGGTTTCGGCGGCGGCAGAGGTGGTTCTCGTGGTGGCTTTGGTGGCTCTCGCGGTGGTCGTGGCGGCTCTCGTGGTGGCTTTGGTGATCGCCGATAAACCCAAAAAAAAAAAATTGTTTAATGATGAAATGAACATATGAAATGAAAAGATAATTTTAAGATAGAAAAAAATGAAAAAAAGAATAAAATGGTTAATGAAAAAGATCAATAATACCCTTAAAGCAAAACAAATTCAATTTCTAAAAAAAATAGTGCAAACTATATTAATCGTTCCAGTTTTTCCGAGTGCCAATGTATCTCACAACATAGACAAGGCCTAGTAAACATGGAACTTCCATCAAAGGTCCGACAGTAGCTGCCAGCGCTTGATTACTGTCATGACCGAATGTAGCCACAGCAATTGCAATTGCCAGTTCAAAATTATTACTTGAAGCAGTGAAACTCTGAGTCACTGATAACTTGTAGCCAAAGTTCATTTTGTATGATACCGCTAGTGTTGAAAAGAAAATCAAATTGAAATAACAAAACATGGGTGCAGCAACTCGTACAACTGATACAATTTGGTCAACCACACGCTCACCTTGAGAAGCGAAAAGAACCAAAATAACGAAAAGAAGTCCGATTAAAGATAAAGTGCCCATCCATTCCATAAATACATTGTCGTACCAGTTGGCACCCACGAGTCTTCGAAACCCGAATCGAGTAACAAGGCCTGCGGCCAAGGGTATCCCTAAAAAGACACCGACACTTTTTGCGATATCGGAATAAGAAAAAATAAACTCAGTTTCAGATCTGCTAATGACTTTAATAAGTAAAAGAGAATATGGTGCGTAAAGGATCATTTGAAGAATGGAATTAACAGAGACCAAAATTGCACCGTAGTGGCTATCGCCTCCTGCAAGGCCATTCCAGATTAAAACCATGGCAATACATCTAGCAAGTCCAACCAAAATGAGACCTTCTCGAAGCTCTGGTTTGTCTGGAAGAAATGCCCATGCTAATGCCATCTAAAATAATTGTTAGCGTCCATCAACAGCATTTAAATAGATTCATACCATAAGGAAAGGACCGATAATCCAGTTTACAAATAAACTAAAAGCTAATTGTGTCCAGATTTTCTTTTGAGCAAAAACATGATGCAGTACTTCGTATTCAATATTGCATAAAATAGGGTAAATCATGAGAATAAGCCCAATAGCTTTAAAAATGTTAGAATTTAAATGGTATTTTGTAAAACAAACAAATTCTTACCTATAGGAACAGCAACGCCAACAAACTTGCCCTTTTCCAAAGCATGGCCAGTATTTGGAACAAAGTTTCCTATAATAATTCCCACCGCCATAGCCAAAAAGATCCAGATATATAGAAACCTGTCTATAAATCCCAAGCTTTTAAAAACTGATTTTTTCCTTTCTTCCTCACCACCACTGCTGTCATTTTGCTTTGATTCGCTTTCTGATCCGGACACCACTTGTCCTAATTCCAAGTCACATGCTTCCTTAGAAACGGACTTGTTTTCTATATGGGAATCAACTTCAAAATCTGGGTCAGTCTTGTTATCATTATTAGAACTATTAGGTTCGTCTTTGGCGTGAAGAACATAGTTGTTTGTGTTAATGGTATCTAAAATATATTCAGGTTTCTGATGACGATGATGTAATGCGTGTGTATCGTGTCCGTCGCTCTCTTGGGAGGTTGCAATATTTTGGTTTTTCTCCTCAGAATTCATTGTGAATAAAATCTCAAAAAGTTTTTGGGAGACATTTGAAAAAAAAAAAAAGAATATCAAAGAAACTGTGGGAGTCCCAAGATATTTATTTTCTTGAACTATGAATGAATGTTTTTCTTCATTGGGTAGATTCTTCAGCTTGTTTTCTAGAATTACTAGGCTTTGAGATAAAATTTCAGATAGGGGTGGTGATAAAGATATCGAATTGCTCAGCAACTTTTCCTTAAAACCTTCCTATTTAAGTATATTTATGTGAGGCTCAGAACTTAGGAAATACCTCTTCACGTGATCAGAGTTCATTGGCAGATTCCCCATACATTTAGCATATGGCTTTTGAAAAAGTGATTCTTGAAGTTGAAACTTTTTGAATGAGATTTATTCGTTTAAATTTTTTGTTAATATCAGTTATTTTACTTAAAACCTGAAATAAATAGAGCCATTTGTAAGGTTGATTCCCTGTTCAAATAATTTTTTTCAAGTGCAAAGTTTAATATAAATTTCCTTTTTGAATAACTAATTACCTTATTTAACACCGATATCGGTTCTAAACGCTTATCAGATCTTGGCCCTTTTATTTTTACCTTTAATTTTGGCTTGACAAAAAAAATAACTTGGAAAAAACAACAGCAAAAAAATCGGGCATTCTATTGTCAATTTGTCCAGAAAGCTCTATTGAAAAAAATAAATTAAAATAAAATAAAATAAAATAAAATAAGATGCAAAAAAACAACAGCAACAATCATTTATTGTGGTTTATTCGACCATGTATAAAGTTTACAATATATACAAATGCCAACAAAACTGGGACCTCTATAAGTGGCCCCACTGTAGCGGCTAATGCTTGATTACTATCATGACCAAAAGTGGCTACAGCAATGGCGATTGCCAACTCAAAGTTATTACTGGAAGCAGTGAAACTTTGGGTTATTGAAAGCTCATACCCAAAGCCAAGTTTGAGAGTAATTGCTAGTGTTGCGAAGAAGACAAGAATAAAGTAGCAAACCATAGGGGCTGCTACTCTAAGAACTGAAACGATTTGTTGAACTACACGCTTACCCTGTGACGCAAAAAGAATCAAAATGGTGAAAAGCAATCCAATGAGAGAAAGAGATCCCATCCATTTCATCAGTACATCATCATATCTGCGTGGACCAAGAAGAGGTCTTAGACCAAAGCGAGTTATTATTCCTCCACCAAGTGGAATTCCTAAAAAGACACCCACGCTTTTGGCTATTTGGGAATAAGAAAGAGTGACTTCATTTTGAGATTTGCTGATTGTTTTTAATATGAAAATGGCATATGGGGCAAATAGAATCATTTGAAGGATAGAGTTGACAGAAACTAAAATGGCACAGTATTGGTCATCGCCTCCGGATAAACCGTTCCAAATTAAAACCATAGCTATACATCTGGCTAATCCCACTAAAATAAGGCCTTCTCTGAGTTCAGGTTTATCTGGAAGAAATGCCCAAGCAAGACCCAACTGAATTCCAGAGTTAGTAAGTTTTTTTTTTTTTTCATTAATTCCAAGTGTGCTTACCATTATGAATGGGCATATTACCCAGTTTACAATCACGCTAAATCCCAGTTGCTTCCAGACTTGTTTTTGGGCAAAGACACGATGAAGGACTTCAAATTCAACTCTACACAGAATAGGGTAAATCATTACAATCAAGCCGATAGCTATTAAAAGTTAGAATAAAATATATCTTAATGATTTTTTTTGTTTGTTTGTTCTTACCTATTGGAATGGATACACTGACAAACTGTCCTTGTTCAAGAGAATGGCCAATATTTGGAACAAAGTTCCCTAAAATTATTCCTACTGCCATGGCCAAAAAAATCCAAATGTACAGAAATCTATCAAGGAAACCCAAGCTCTTAAAAACAGATTTATTTTTTAATGATGGTTCATTTTTATCAATTGTTTCTATTAACGTTAAGCTTTTACTTTCTTTTGAGTTGGAATCTGAAGAACCTAATTCAAGTTCAACATTGGAAATGTTTTTTGTAATGTCAGAATTCGAATGGATTTTGCAAACTTCTTTTTCAGTGTTATTCATTTTGAGAACAATGAGAATAATGGGAATAACAAAATGGCAAAAAACATTTTTTTTTTTTTTTTTGAAATTAAATTATCTTGTTAAAAAAAAATTTTATCTCATTGCACCATTTCCTTGCTCTTGAAGGCTTTGATCTAGAAATCAAATCTAGATTGAACGAAAGCTGGATATCAGTATAATGAAGTCACGTGCCTATTGGGTCTCTAGCATCTAGACTTTGATTCCAGACATAAATTGGGAGGAAAAGAAATGATCATTTAGAGATAATCTAGTATTACCATCAGATAAATATAAGTAATCACAACAGTGGCAAAACACTAATTGATTGTTAAACTTGCGTATCTGGAATGGTAAATAGCTCCATAATAATTCACACTGCAAAGCAATGATTCTGGTTGATTTCCCTAGTAAACTGTCTGATTTTTGGTATTCCTTCTTAATAGAATAAATAATTCATCTACTATAATTTACATAATTTTATTTCGTTTTTTTAATCTCCCAAGCATACAAATTCATTCCAATTGACATCATCTAAATATCCCATATCAGTATCCCTTATCTTCCGCCAAACCCTGGAGGAGGTTGGAAGCCAGGGGGAGCGCCAAACCCAGCGGGACCGCTGCTGCTTCCAAAGAATGAAGCGGCAGTGGTACGAGCTGGGCCAGAAAGAGTTGAGGCTGTACTTGGGACACCAAACCCGGTAGCATCTGCAGATCGGTTTATCGGTCTCGCGGTTCCTACTCTGGAAGTGTTTCCACCAGCAGCTGCTGCAGTGGCAGCTGCGGAGGCACCTAGTCGGGCAGCATTGTCAGTATTGGGGGGAGGAGCTTCGACGGAAACCGAAATGATGGTTTCGCCGCGGAGAATTACCAGACCAAGAGTTCGCTTAGTGTCTCTAACGGAATAAGTAGATTCACTTGAGGACCCTGTTGTAGATGAATTTGCTGCCTTCTTTGCTGCCGCCAGGGACTTTTTAGTTGCTCTAAATTCTTCAGTATCTGCTAAAACAAGATTCATAAACTGGTAAGGTGTTAGAAGGGTTGATAAAAAAAAATTAAGCAATGAAACATACCTTGTCAAACGCCAGTAGTTGACCTGTCAGCTGGCGCCCATCTAGCAATACGACTCTCAGTCTGTAGTTTACTAAATCGGCCTAAAAAAAATGACTGTTAGTCATTGATGTTTTCCTTTCAACGCGAACTTACGCGGCTTTCTATAAGAAAAAAAAAATCAAGAGTGAATCATTTGCGTACCATTTTGGCCTTTCGTGGTAAATTCTAGATAACCATGTTAGCTTTTTGAATAATGATTAGAGATATATTTATGAACCACTTACAGTCATTGTGAAATATTTGTATGTGTGTATACTAAAGCCTTTGTTGGTGATGGCAAGTCGGTCTTTTTTGGAGGTTAAGCCTAAGAAATTTTTTCAAGTCTCGCGTGTTAGCTCCTATACATAACCTAGAAAAGAATCCCACACAGACACACACAAGACACACACCCCTAGTCTGTTTTGTTACATAATGTGTTTTGTCACAAAGATCAATTATTGTAACAAAACACCCCCATTTTTGAAAATTGGTGCTAGAAAAAAAAAAATCCTGCAAGTCGCGTCAGTCTGGACCTTCTTTTTCCCATTGAAATTCCCCAAAATCACAACAGATTCCCCCTTTCTTTCTTTTCTTTCCTTTCTCTCCATCTTTATCAATCAGATTGGCATTCTAAGCTGGTTATTTTTCAGGTTAGTTTTTTTTTTTTATTCTATTCTATTCTATTCAATTTTAGTTGGTTGTAATTATTTGAGGTGTTGGTTCCATCGCTTATAAACTTTTCCATCAATGCTCTCCGCCACATAAAAAAAACTTTCAACTGACGCGCTTGTTATTTAGAGTCCACCTTCATTAAAAATTAGCAATTAATAAATAAATCAAAAAAAAAATAAAAATAAAAAAAAATGACTGAGGAAGAAGTTAAAGTTTCTGAGACCCCCGACGTTGCTACTACGGAGGAGAAGACAGCTGAAGTGTCTGTAGGATCTAAGCGCAAGGCTGAAGACGTCGCCGAAGAAACGGGAAAGACTGAAGAAGAAGAAGAAGTCAAGCGACCAAAGACTGACGACAAGGAGGAAGAGAAGAAGGAAGAATCTAAGGCCGATGTTACTGAAGAGAAGAAGGAAGAACCTAAGGCCGATGTTACTGAAGAGAAGAAGGAAGAACCTAAGGCCGATGTTACTGAAGAGAAGAAGGAAGCTACTGTTGAAACCAAGAAGGCTACACCTAAGAAATCATCCAAGGGTAAGGGTAAGGCCAAGAGCCGATATGCTCAGTTGGATCAGGAAGAAGATGAAGATGAAGATGAGGGTGAGGGTGAAGATGAAGATGACGAAGCCAAGGTAAGTTTACAATATGTTTAAAAATGGGCTGTTTCTAACAAAAAAAATGTAGCTTGCTGAAGAGGAAGAAGACTCTCTTGAAGAGATTGATACTTCCAACATCATTCCTGGTAGACGTACTCGTGGTAAGATTATTGATTACAAGAAGATCAACGAGGAACTTGAGAAGAAAAAGAGAGAGGGTATCACCGACGACTTGTTGGATGACGAGGATGATGATGATGATGATGCCAATTTCCAGGAGCCCATTGCTGAGGAAGAGTAATCTTTTTTATTTTTTATTGTAGTTTGTTTTTTAATGTGTATTTTTAATAAAGATAAAAGTGAGGAATATTTTTTTTTTTTTTTTGAAACCTGTCCTTTGGGAAATTTTACGCTTTAAGTTTTTGGTAAAGTTTTTGATTAAATAAAAAAAAAAAATATGTTGGGCAGTCTCATCATGATATGATCATATAAATATAAAAAAAAAAAAAAACATGGTCCGTTTACCACAAGTTTTTTGTAAAAAAAATAAATAAAAAAAAAAAGAGAGAGAAAAAGATTTAGCAACATTCATTCATTTATAATACCTTTAGTTGCCTTATACATGTCGTTCCGTTCATCCAAATGTGTCTAGCAGCACTGTCCAGCCTTCTTTGCACCATCCTCATCAGGTGGTTGGGTAAAGTCGATAGTCTGTCCTTGGGTTGGTCGCGACTGGCCAAGATCAGGTTGTAAGGATTGGTCAGCATAGAGTCTGTAAATCTCCGTAAGAATTTGTTGAAAGGCAGCCTCAACGTTTGTGGCATCAAGGGCAGAAGTCTCGATAAACAAAAGACTCTTTTCGGCGGCAAAAGCCATGGCCTCATCGGTTAAAACAGCACGGAGGTGCTTAAGATCGCACTTGTTGCCGACAAGCATGACAACAATCTGAGGGTCAGCATTACTCTTGAGCTCTTCCAGCCATCTGCCAACATGTTCATAAGTCTCTGGTTTAGTGATATCATATACTAAAACGGCACCAACAGCGCCACGGTAGTATGCCGAAGTAATGGCGCGATAACGTTCCTGGCCAGCGGTATCCCAAATCTGGGCCTTGATAGTTTTGCCGTCGACTGTGACTGTTCGGGTAGCAAACTCGACGCCTATCGTACTTCTGGATTCAATATTGAACTCATTTCTGGTAAATCTACCCAAGATATTTGATTTTCCGACACCGGAATCACCGATCAAGACAACTGCAATCAAAGTTAGACTCGAGAAATAACAAGAGGGTTGAAGATGAGATGGAATTTAGAGGGCAGCTGATCTTCACGTGGTTTGATACGTACCCTTGAAAAGAAAATCGTATTCGTCACTCATAATATACTATTTTTAAAAAAAAAAAAAAAAAAACCTGAATGTAAGGGGAATAGGTAAATAATTTGAAATCTCAAAAGCGAAGAGAGAAAAAAAAAAAAGGGGGAGGAAAGAGTACAAGTAGTCTGAAAAAAAAAAAAAAATTAAAATAAAATAAAATAAAATAAAACTCAAGAATAGGAGACCTAATCAGTATATTTAGTTAAGGGGTTGCTAAAGAAGGATGACCTAAGTAGTAACTCTTGTTGCGATAATAAATGGTAGCTGGAATTGAAGAAAAAGTAGGGAAGATGATATATAAAAAAAAAAAAAAAAAAAAAAAGGAAAGCCGTGAAATTATGGACGTCGTGGTAAGAAGGAGGTTTTATTACAATGTAACAACAACAATAACAATAGTAGAGAGAGAGGGAGAGGGACTTGTAACAACTAAAAAAAATTATTATTATTATTATTATTATTATTATTATTATTATTATTATTATTATTATTATTATTATTATTATTATTATTATTTCAATTCCAATCCATACCAGGCAACATTAAAAAAATAAAATAAAATATAAAAATAAAAAATGACATCAGAATGCTAATTAAGTTGCATAAGAATTTACACCAATTTTTGTAATATAATTTGTAATAATAATTTGTAATTACCAGTTGTTATGATTTGCCAAATGGACGTGTTTTTTTTTTTTTTTTTATATTATTATATATATTCAAGTTACCCTGCCAAAAATCTGTCAAACCCACCAAAAGATGTGATTGCAGAATTCACGGGGGATCTTTTTATTTTTATTTATTTTATTTATTTTTTTTTTTTTCAAAACAAAAACATGTGTGGGAACTAAATGTAAACAAAAAACTCATTCCATTAAATTTTTTTTTTTTTTTTTTGTTTTTCAACAAATTTTTTTATTTTTTTCCCTCTAATTAACGAAATCAAAAGAATTCCAATCACTATCATTTCAAATAGTGGAGTTTTTTTTTTTTTTCTTTCTTTCTTTCATTTTTTTTTTTTTTTTTTTTTCACTTATACTAAAATGTCTGAAATTAAAATCGACCGTGCCTTGTATAACAAGCGCATAGATATGATTCATAAGGCTCTTGCCACCAATCGACCTTCTCTTAATGGTGCAGACTCTATTTTCATTCTTATTGGCAAGACCGATGAAGATAATCCATACCACAAGAGTGCGGTTCTACACACCTGGCTGCTTGGTTACGAATTTCCTACGACTGCACTTTTGATTACCAAGACTGAAACAATCGTCATCACCAGTGCAGCCAAAGCAAAGTACCTTAAGGATCTTCAGGCGTCGACTCTTGTATGGACCCGCTCAAAGGATGCAGAGCACAACAAGAAGCTTTTCCAGGATTTAATTGCCAAAATGACAGAGGCTGGTGTATGTATTTTTATTATTGACACAAACTTACAAGAAAAAAAAGAAAAAAGAAAAAAGAAAAAAAAAAAGAAAAAAACTAACTAACAATTCAAATTTAGAGTAACCTTGGTATTATCCAAAAGGACAAGTACGAAGGTCCCATGGTAAAAGAATGGAACGAAATTTATGGAGCTTCCGAAAAGAAATTTACTGAGGTTGATGTTTCCTCAGCCATTGCAGAGCTTCTTCAACTTAAAGATGAGGAGGAATTGCGTTCTATTAGAAATGCATCTCGAGCCAGTACTGGAGTGATGACAAAGTTTCTTTCTGAAGAAATTTCGACCATTATTGATGAGGACCGTAAAGTTAAACATTCTGCACTGTCAGAAACAGTGGAGAGCAAAATTGAGGACGATAACTTTTTCAAAAAAACTCTTAAATTGGGAGACTCTCTTGACCCTAGCCAGTTGGATTGGTGTTATTCGCCCAACATTCAATCTGGGGGGAAGTTTGATTTAAAGCCTTCTGCAATGCCCGATGATAATGTTTTGTATGGTGGCGTTATTGTAACTTTTTTGGGTCTCCGATACAAGTCTTACTGCTCCAACATTGGTCGCACATACTTGATTGACCCTACAAAGACCCAAGAGCAAAACTATTCTTTTGCTGTTGCCCTGCAGAAGAAGGTTTTGGAGACAATTACCAATGGTGTCAAGGCGCGAGATGTTTACAAGGCTGCCCAGGATTTCATTAAAGAAAAGAACCCTAAGCTTTTATCACATTTTCTCAAGAATGTGGGATGGGGTACGGGAATTGAGTTCCGAGACACGTCACTTTTGCTTAATGAGAAGAACCAGCACGTGCTGAAGGATGGAATGACACTTACTTTGGTTATTGGGTTTCAGGACATTCCTAATGACGATGCTCAGGATAATAAGAGCAAGGCTTATAGTATACTTCTTATTGACACTATCAATGTGACTAATGGAGCTCCTGAGGTATTTACAGAATCACCCAAGAGCCGAGGTGATGTTTCATACTACTTTAAGGAAGAAGAGGAAGCTAAGCCGGTCAAGAAGGAAGTTAAGAAGCCAGTAAAGTCTGCAATTTTGAAGAGCAAGTTGAGAGGTGAGAATAAGTCACAGGAGGATGACCCTGAGGCTAAGCGAAAAGTTAATCAGCGGGATCTTCATGATAAGTTGCAAAAGAGTGGTCTTGAGAAGTATGCAGCTGAAAGTTCTGGCAACAGTGAGGGGACCAAAACGACTTTTAAGCGGTACGAATCTTATAAGCACTTGAGTCAACTCCCGAAGGACATGAAGGACTTGCGTATTCGGGTTGATGCAAAGAACCAGACGATTCTTATTCCGATTAATGGTCGTTTGGTTCCATTTCACATTGCTTATTACAAGAATGGTAGTAGCAACGAAGAGGGCGAGTATGCTTATTTACGTTTGAATTTTAATTCACCTGGCCAGGGTGTTTCCAAGAAGGATGATATTCCATCTGAGGTTGCGGATGCACAGTTTGTTCGCAGCATTACACTTAGGAGTCGAGATGGAGAGCACATTGCTGGTGTTTTTAAGAAGATTACCGATTTAAAGAAGGAAGTGTTGAAGCGGGAAGCTGAGAAGAAGGAGATGGAAGATGTTGCTCCTCAGGGCAAGCTGATTGAGGCGAAGAACCGACGCCCTATTCGTTTGGATACAGTTTATGTGCGACCTGCTCCTGAGGGCAAGCGTGTTAATGGATTGATTGAGATTCACCAGAATGGTTTAAGATACCAGTCTCCAATCAAGAGCGAGTTTAACATTGAGATTTTGTTTAGCAACATTAAGCACCTTTACTTCCAGCCATGTGATCATGAATTGATTGTGATTATCCATGCACACCTTAAGAGCCCCATTATGGTTGGAAAGAAGAAGACTAAGGATATTCAGATTTACCGAGAAGCGACAGATTTGGCATTTGATGAGACTGGCAATCGTCGTCGGCGTTACCGATATGGAGATGAGGATGAGTTGGAGCAGGAGCAGATGGAGAGACAGCGCCGGGTACAGTTGAATAAAGAGTTTAAGCAGTTTGCTGAGGCGATTTCTGATGCTACTAATGGGACGATTGATGTTGAGATTCCATTCCGAGAGCTTGGGTTCAATGGTGTTCCATTCCGGTCTAATGTACTGTGTCAACCGACAACGGAATCATTGATTCAGTTGATTGATCCTCCATTTTTGGTTGTGACACTTAGTGAGATTGAGGTTGTGCATCTTGAGCGAGTACAGTTTGGGTTACGACAGTTTGATATGGTTGTAATTTATAAGGATTTTACACGGCCTGTGACTCATATCAATTCGATTCCAATGTCTCAGCTAGATGGAGTTAAGGATTGGCTGAATAGTGTTGATGTGCCATATTATGAGGGACCTGTTAATTTGAATTGGCCTACTATTATGAAGACGGTGACTTCAGACCCACATCAGTTTTTCAAAGATGGAGGATGGAGTTTCTTGACGCTTGATAATGAGGGAGGAAGTGGGCAAGAATCACAGGAGTCTTCTGATGAGGAGAGTGAATTCCATGCTTCTGATGAGGATCCTGAAGATGAGAGTGATAGTTATTCTGAGGAAGATAGTGACATGTCTGAGGAAGGGGACAGTGAGGGGTCATTTGGGTCAGATGATGAATCTGGGGATGATTGGGATGAGATGGATAATAAGGCCAAGAAGCTTGATACAAAGGGTCGTGGAGGGGATGATCGCAAGAGAAAGCGTTAATTTTGTAGTGAAGTATAGTTTTTTTATTTGATTATTTTATATTATTTTATTTTATTTTTTTATTTTTTTTTTTTTTTTGGTGTAATTAGTTTAATTTTTATTTATTTATTTTTTTTTTTTTGGTTAATGAAATTTTTGACTGCTACACTACTACAATGGACCAACAAATTGATTATATATTTTCAGAATTGTTTAGACTTGCCAGGGGAGATGCACATGAAGTTGAGAATGAAATATCCAAATTGCTTGTGATTTTGGAATGTTTATTACCAGTTTATCATCGAGCAGTTGACTTGATTGAACAGCATTGTGCCATTGCATCAGGTCAATGCAAAGAGAACAATTGTGGAGATAGGGGTGAGACACGACAGATGGGGGTATTTCGAGCTCCAGGGAGTGTTGATTATGGAGGGTGGGATGAAACTGGAGTATTTACACTTTATTCTGGGACTTGGGGTGGGCTTAACAAATCAGGAGGAAATCAAGGTCAAGAGAATTACGAGTATTGGCACGTCCAGCCGATGAAGGCATTTCGAGGTAAAAGGGAAAAACGGACAGGTAATATGAGGAGGAAGAGTATTGGCAAAGTCCAAGAAGGCCGAAGGACACAACCATTAAATGTTCTTGAAGGGTTTGGGCTTGTAAACTTAGAGCGCTGGGAGTGTAATTGTGCAGAATACACTGCAGCCAAGTACCGTGGGCGTCGGGTAGGAGTTTTAAGGGGTCGTCGTGAGAGTAAGTGGGAAGGGTATGTTAGTAAGAGTGGCTGGGCACAGGGGTATTATGAAGCCCATAAACGTGAACAAGAACGGGCTGAACAAGTTTGGGGTCAAGAGGAAGTACGGGTTCCACAGTGTGTACATTTGGTAGGAGTATTTTTGTTTGTAAGGGGTCGGGTATTGTTTGAATGGAATCGTGGAGTACGGAACTTGAGGCCCGGGGGGGATAATTTACAGGCAAGACTAGATATTACAGGGCGGGGGTGGGTTCAGAAGAATCAGGAGAAAGAAAAGAAAGGGAGTGAGAGTAATGAGTTAAGTGAGAAAATGAAAGTATTGGAGAATGGAAGAGAGCGAGACTTACAGAACAAGCGGGACTTTTGGGAATTGTGGGACCCGGTTGGTGTTTATGAGAGGACCGAGTTTATTAATGTTTGTGAGTATTTAGGACTTTTGTATCAGCACCGGGTGAGTTCAGCAGCTCTTGAGTATGTGACAACAGCATGAGAGATGTAATTTATTTGTAACAAATAAATGAAAAATTGAAAAAAAAAAAAAAAAATTTTTTTTAAGCATTGCCACCATGGAAATTTTATAGGTAATATATAATTTTTGGTAATAAAAGTGATGGCCGCGCGGATTAAAAAAAAAAAAAAAATTTAGCAAGAGAGGGAAAATTTTTTTTGTAGAGGGAGACGGGTGGTGCATATATAGAGAGAAAGAGAGTTATATTATTATTATTATTATAATTATTATGTGGTTGTGTTTTTTTTTTTTTTTTTTTTTGATATGTGTGTTAGTATTAGTAGTATTGGATTTTTAACAACAGCAAAGAAATTTTTTTTTTTCCCTTTTTTTTATTTTTTATTTTTTATTTTTTTCTTTCTTCTTCACCACCACCACCACCATCACAAAATATTAACCAACCATCTCAGAAATATCTAAATTTTCAAGAAAGAAGTAAAAAAAAAAAAAAAAAAAAAAAAAAAAAAAAAAAAAAAAAAAGAAAGAAAGAAAGAAAGAATTCTCAATAATCAACTTATCAACTTCTATCTATAAAGAAAGATTCAGATATACATATATTTTCTCATAAAAAAAGAAGAACGTCCAGCAGCATTCTAGAGCCAGATTTTTCTTAATCATAACCAAACCAACCAACCAACAACAATAATAATAATTATAATATTAACAACCACTTGTTAAAAACAACCACCACCACCACCACCACCACCACCACCATCATCATCATCATCATCATCATCATCATCATCATTATCAACCACAACAGAGCTTTTAATAATAATATACTAATAATCTGACTATCTTGGAATCTCATTTTTTTTCTAATCAAGATTCTAATCAAACAATAACTGTGATATCCATCTATAGATTACACATATTCTGGACTTTTACTTTCTCTCTTTTATTTTATTTTAATTTTTTTTTGGACCATATCAAAACAATTTCTCCGATTTCTCCTATATTTCCATTTATACTAAACAATGTCCAACTATTCAGGCTACGCAGCCACACACCAACAACCACCACTATACTATCCCAGTCAAAATGGCTTCACACCTCCCATGTTTTATGACAATAGTCCTATAATGTACGGTATGGCCTCTTCCCCAAGCATGCCTAATGGCCCAACATCACACGACTATGCCGGACCACCAGTTTCTCATGGTGGCAACTATGGTGGTAGTAATGGATCCATCACTAATGGTGGCCATTTGCATCACTCTGGTAATGCAAACAATGGAAGCAACAGTAGTAGTAACAGTAGCAGCAGCAGCAGCAGCAGCAACAACAACAACAACAACAATAACAACAATCAACACCGCCAAAACAAGCATTCCAAATCTTCGGACCATTATAATAACAATAGTAACCACTATCGTCCGAAATACCACCGTCATCATAATAATAATAACAACAACAACAACAATAATAATAATAACAACTCACACAATAACAACAACTCATCCAGCAATAATACTAATACTCATGGCTACCAATACCACCAAAGCCACCAACTCTCTTATAGACCGTTTTATCCCTCTCAACCACCAGCAGACTTTGCATCTCCTCAAGGCCTGCAAACACTACCAATGCATCATCAGCACATACCTCATCACCCTCCTCCTCCTCCTCCTCCACCTCCATTCATCCCTGGTGCAGATCCAGGCGATGCAGAGGCAGCCGCACTTCTAGATCTAAGTCCACACCACCCTGCACTCCCTCCATTGGCTTCTCCTCCTCCACCACTATCTGGACTAGGAGGGCCTCCACCACACACATTACCGCATCTTCATATACCTAACCATCCACGACACCCACCTCCTGTTCATCACCACCATCATCATCATCACAATCATCCAGCAGCTACTAGCCATTCACCTCTTCCTCCACTGGCACAGAGCCCGAAAAAGAAACCAGCGGTACAGGAGGAGCCCAATACTAGTTCTAGTGAGAGTATAAATGAAAAGCATGGTACTATTAATACCAGTAGTAGCAATGGTAGTGGCAGTGGCAGTGGCAGTAGCAGTGGCAGTAGCAGTGGCAGTGGCAGTAGCAGTAGCAGTAGTAGTAGTAGCAGTAGTAGTAGTAATAACAGCAGTAGTATTGCCAGCAGTAATGGTAGTGCTGGTACTGGTACTACAACTACAACTACAGTTTCTAGTCCACAAAAAACTACTACTACTACTGCTACAGCAGCAACAGCAACAACAACAACATCACCATCACCACCACCACGGAAAGAGGGAGAAGAGTTTGTACATTGTGGAGGCCAGATTACAAAAGTATGGTTTTCTGCACCTAACGAGCCATTCCCTAAACGGCGAGCATACTACCGACGATTAGAGAAGCTGAAAAGAGAACGGGATGAGGCCAAGCGGTTAGAAGAAGAGAAGAAGAAGAAGAAGGAAGAAGAAGAAAGAGAAAGGGAAAAGGAAAAGGAAAAAGAAGAGAAGGAGAAGGAGAAGGAGAAGGAAAGCAAAAAGGAGTTTTTAAAGACTAAGGAGAAGGAGCCACCTTTAGTTGCTGAGGAGAGTGTTACACCATTGACATCACCAGCTCCATCTCCTAGACCTGTAATAATACCAGCAGAAGCACCTATTCGGGTGGTGCCAGTGCCGACAGTGCCTACAGTTTCCAAGGGGATTTCATGGGCAGAGCGATTACAACAAGATAATCACGTTGGAGTTTTGCCTGTGTCTCCACGGAAGCAACAGCATCAGCAACAGCATCAGCAACATCAGGTCAATGGGGGTCATGCGGTTAGTAACCATACAGGTTCAACTTTAAGTATGCATGAAAAGAAACCCCATGTAGTCAAGGTGAACCAAAAGGAACCTCTTGGGGTTTTATTGCACAAGTATGATTACAAGAAGGTTAAGCGGATGGCAGTTCCACGGATTTACTCTCGAGGAATTATTAATACGGGCAACATTTGCTTTATGAATTCGATTCTACAAGCACTTGTGCACTGTTTGCCGTTTTACCAGTTGCTTGAATACATTGCATCGAACAGTGTGTTTAGTATTAAGAGCGAGACACCATTATTGGATGCGTTGATTAATCTTACGCGGGAATGTACTGAGAAGCCGAAAGATCCTAATAGGAGTATCAATTCGCAGCCATTGTCACCAGAGGCGTTTTACAATACGGTTCGTGCACATCCACGGTTTGTACATTACAAGCGGGGCCGACAGGAGGATGCTGAGGAATTTCTTGGGTATTTATTGGAGGCATTACACGATGAGTTTGTTGGAGTGATGGCAGCAACAAAGAAGAAGGAGGAAGAAGAGGAAGAAGAGAGGGGGAGGGAGAAGGATGAAAGGGGAGGAGGAGAAGGATGGCAAGAAGTTGGGAAGAATAATAAGAGTTTGAATGTTCAGCAGAATAAGGGGTTTGGGGAGAGTCCAGTGACTCGGTTATTTGGAGGGCAGCTCAAGTCGACATTAACAGCATCTAATTTAAAGACACCATCCATTACACGGGATCCATTTCAACAGATTCAGTTGGACATTTCTGATGAGCGAGTGAGATCTATTGAGGAAGCATTTGTGAATCTTGCAGCTCCAGAACAATTACAATACTCGACATCTACGAAGCAGGAGGTACGAGCTACTAAACAGATTGTAATTGATGAAGTTCCTGAGGTTTTGATTGTTCACTTGAAGCGATTTTCATATACGAATGATGGAGAAGGGTTAAGTTCAAGTTTAGGTGGTAGTGGTAGTGGTGTAAATGGTGTTGGTAACACTGGAGGAGCAGGGTATGGAGGGAATGGTCAAGGAGTTGGAGGAATTGGGGGAGGAAGTGTTCCATTTGCAGTTGAGAATGTACACAAGATTTCAAAGCCAGTAACATTTCCTGAGCATTTGACTTTACCACGAGAAGCGGTAGGGTCAGTAGGAGGAGGAGGAATACAAGGGTCGTCATTACCTGAGTATAGTTTATGTGGAGTTGTATATCATCATGGGCCATCTGCAGCAGCAGGACATTATACGGTTGATGTGAAGACACGGACTGGGAATATTAAGAGAGGTGTTTATAATAGAGAAGTAAGAGAAAAGGAAGAGAAAGAAAAAGAAGAAGAAGAGAAAGAAGCAAAAGAAGAAGAGGAAGAAGAAGAAGAAGAAGAAGAAGAAGAAGAAGAAGAAGAAGAAGAAGAAGAAGAAGAAGAAGAAGAAGAAGAAGAAGAATGGGTTAATATTGATGATGTGACATTGACTAGGGGAATTGCAGCAGCTGGTGGAGGAGGAGTTGAAGTTGGGAGTGGGACTAAGACGGCATATATATTATTTTATAAGAGAGAAAGTAGTAGTAGTAGTAGTAGTTTATAAGAAAGAATATTCTTTCTTTTGTTGTTTTTTTTTTTTTTTTTTTTTTTTGAGGGAGGGGGGAAGAAATATATATATATGTGAAGTTTTATTTATTTTTATTTATTTATTTATTTTATTTATTTATTTATTTTTATTTATTTAAAAGTACACAGTAATAATTTTTTTTTTAAATAAATAAATAAATGTAGAGTCTAATTGGGTACTAAAGGTTAAAAAAAATAAAAAAATAAAATAACTAGTTTAGGCTAATTAAAGTTGAAATAGGCGAAAAATTAAAAAAAACCGGTTTAGGAAATACGATATTGTTGATATAATAATTGAAATAAGGAAAAAAAAAACATTTTTTTTTAAAGTGTAAGATCATTAAATATTAAATCCTAAAAAGCAAAAAAACTATATAAGTAAAAAAAAAAACCATTTTTAAATAAGTACCCAAAATAAAAAAATAAGAATATGCTAATGTACAATAAAGAAGAAAAATAAATCTACCAAGTCTATTATATTAAAAGTTTTTTATTTCTTTTTTTTTTTTTAAAAAAGAAATAATTTCAAAAAACAATTAAAACCATTTAGAGGAAGTAGACAGCGGCAGCAATGGCACCGGCAACGGCACCAGAGAAACCAACCTTAGCAGCAGCACCCTGGGCAATGGTGGTGGTGGGGACGGTGACATTAGAGGAAGGAACAGGAGCGACACCAGAAGAGGTGGGCTTGGGGGAAGCAGAAGCAGAGGTAGAAGTCTTGCAAACCTCCTCAGTGCAAGGGATGGTGACAGTCTTGACAACACCGCCCTCAGAGGTGGTTGTGGTGATGAGGACGGGAGCAGAGGAAGTGGGCTTGGGGGAAGCAGAAGCAGAAGCAGAGGCAGAAGTGGTTTGGCAAACCTCCTCAGTGCAAGGGATGGTGACAGTCTTAACAACACCACCCTCAGAGGTGGTGGTGGTGATAAGGACAGGAGAAGAAGTGGTAGGCTTAACAACAGGAGCAGAGGTGGAAGAAGACTTGCAAACCTCCTCAGTGCAAGACTCAGTGACAGTCTTAGTGATGGGGGTAACAGTTGAGGGGAGGACAGGGGTACCAGAGACAACGGGGCAAGTAGTGACGGTGGTAGTAGTCAAAGTCTTTTCACGAGTGCAAGGGCAGTCAGTGATGGTAACAGTGCCAGGGGCAGTGATGGTGTAAGTCTTAGTGTTCTCAACAATGGTGGTAGGTTCAGGGCAGTAAGTAGTGTAAGCGGTGACAACTTCGGTGGTAGTAATTTCGCAAGGAATGGTAACGGTAGTGACGTTAGCATAACCGGCAGAGGCAACACCAGCAAAGAGGGCGACAGCAGCAGCAGTGAACTTCATTTTTGATTATATAGATTTGTTAAGTTAGTTAACGGGGGGGGGGGAGAAAATAGATTTTTAGTAGTAAGCGAGTGACTAGGTTTGGATCTTAAAGCGAGAGTGATGAAGAGAAAAGAAGAAGAAGAAAAAAAAAAAAAAAAATTTGAAATAAAAAAGAGGGAAAATTCTTGTCTTTTATAAGTTTTTTTTATTTTATTTTATTAAATAATAAATAAATATATGATAGAAACGATTAATTAATTAATTAGTTCAATTAGTTCAATTAGTTCAATTAGTTCGATTAGTTCGATTAGTTACGCGCCACAGGAGGTTTTTATTTTTATTTTTTTTTTTTTTAATAGCAGGAGAGGGGAGTAATTACTCCTATAAAAAAAAAAAAAAAAAATAAAAAAAAAACCAAGTGAGAGCGAATGTTGAAAAAAAAAAAAAAAAAAGTTAAAAAAAAAATTAAAGTGTTTTTGTTTGTTTGTGTGTGGCCCAAATGTTTCTATTTTTAGTAGTGGCGCGACATGACCATTTTAAGTAGCAAAATTAAATAAATAAATAAATAAATAAAAAAAAAAATGGTAAGGTTTTTTTTTTTTTTTTTTTGTTTCTATTAATATTTTTATTATATATAAAAAGGCAATTTTTTTTTATTTTTATTTTACTTTTGTGTACTAGTTATATTTAAATATATATAGAGAACAAAGAATATATATATATATATATTTTTTAACAAGTTTAACAAGTTTAACAAGTTTAACAAGTTTAACAAGTTTTATAATATATGATATGAAACTATTTTTATTTTTATTTATTAAAAAAATAAATGAGTCAATTGAAAATTTTTAATTCAATTGAATTGAAGAATTGAAGAATAAATAAAAAAAAAATAAAAAAAAAAAGTTTATTAATTAAAAGGGGGTTGGTTGGTTTTAATTTTTTATTTATATTTAAAAGAAAATCCTAATTAAATTGTCAATGCGCAGTTTCTGTGGCGATGCCAAAAAATGAAAAAAAAAAAAAAAAAATTAACATTGCGAAGAAAAATAAATAAATAAAAAAAATTAAAACCTCCTTTTTTTTTTTTTAATATTTTTAATATTTTTAATATTTTTAATATTTTTAATAAAAATTAAAAAAAAACCTCCTTTTTCATAATAAAAAATTCCCCAATTTTCAAAAAAAATTTTTTTTTTTTTTTTTTTTTTTTTTTTTTTCAATTAATTTCATCTTTAGTTGTTGTTGTTGTTGTTGTTGTTGTTGCTGACTTGTTGCACAGGAGACTTTCATTCTAACATTTAAATATTTTCAAATAAATAAAAAAAAATAAATAGAAAAAAAAAAAAAAAATACAAAATGTGATTGATTGTTTATTATTTTTTGAAATATTTTTGGAACGCAGCTGAATTAAAAAAAATTTAAATTTATAAATAAATAAAAAAAAAAAATGCCTTTTTCTTCTTCTTCTTCTTTCAAATATAATTTTATAAATATAATTTTATAAATATAATTTTATAAATATAAAAAAAAAAACAATTTTTTTTTTTTTTTTTGTTTAGTTTTTAAATTCAAAATCTTTTTTGGGTTCCTAAATGTACCCAAAAAATGGTAGAGAGAGAAAAAAAAAAAAAAAAAAGAAAAACCTTTTTTTTTTTTTTTTTTTTTTTTTTCCCTCTATGACGTCGTTTATTTATTTATTTTTGAAAAATAAATAAAATAAATAAAATAAATAAAATAAATAAAATAAATAAAATAAATAAAATAAATAAAATAAATAAAATAAATAAAAAAAAATGAACTCAAAAGACCCGCCACTGTTTCTTTCTTTTTTTATTTATTTATTTATATAAAAATAGACTTACCAGAATTTTCATCTTTATATCAACATTTTATGATAATGTTGATGATAATGTTGATGGAGATGATGGAGATGATGGAGATGATAGTGGTAGTGCTTTTTTTTTTTTTTCTTCGTTTATTTCCTAAAACAAGTAAAAAACTTTATTATTAAAAATAAAAAAATGTCTTACCAGATTTTTGTCTTTTGTTTTAAAGTAATACAAGGCGATAAATAAATAAATAAATAAATAAATAAAAAAAATAAAAATAAAAAACTTTAAAAAAAATAAAAATTTTTTTTTTTATTTCTTTCTTTCTTTCCCATCTTTCTATCTTAATTTTTTTTTTTTAAATTTAACATAAATTTAACATAAATTTAACATAAATTTAACTACTAAAATTTAAACAAATTAAATTAGTCATCATCATCATAAATCAATCAATCAATCAATTAATAAATTCTTAAATTCTTAAATAAATAAAAAAAATACTTGGCATTTTATTTTTTTTATTTTTTATTTTTTTTCTAAGTTACCCATTCCAATCTTAATTTAAATTAAAAACACCAATTTCTATCCATTCCATTCCAATCTATCTTTTCTCTCCCCCTCTACAAATAATAATAAATTTTATCTTTCCATTCTTTTCTCACACACACTCACACATCAAAATGATATCCTCTCAACAACAACAACAAACAACTCTCTCACACACAAACCCCTCTAATTTCCCTCCATGTGCCCTTTGTACTGAATCTGTACTATACCCTAACCCCGCTTTAAACCCCGATTCAAATTCAGATTTAGATTTAGATTTAGATTTAGATTTAGATTCAGAATCAGACCATAACAAACAACAACAACAACAACAACAACAACAACAACCACAATTCCTCCTAGATGATATCGTTCTAAATAATTGCCCTGCTTCCCATCATTTCCATTGGGATTGTATCACTTCTCAACCTGGTCCTAACGTTGACTGGTGCCCTGCTTGTATACAAACCCCTTCAAACCCTATACTATCTTCCCCACCTCAACCTTCTTCAGGTTATGTCGCTTCACCTATCGGTCAAATCTTAGCCTCAGTAACTACAACTGAAGGAGGTACTGTCCAAAATTATGATATTAAACCTGATATGTTAGCTGAACGCTCTTCTCCTTTCCCTCGTGCAATCTCTGTTATTCGTTCCCAAATTGAAGACTCTGCTACTGAAGAAGAAGAAGAAGAAGAAGAAGAATCTACTTCAACTTCAACTTCAACTTCAACTTCAACTTCAACTTCTTCAAACAATACTAATAATAATACTGAAAAACTTTCTCTTCAAAGAACTATCGCAAGAATCCCTCCTGCCCTTCTTGTTGCTGCTGTTTTTGAATCATGTGCTGCCGGTGACCCTGAAGCTCTACTTGAACTTCTTACCCTTATGCCCACACAAGCTGATACTGCCGCTTTAGCCCGTCAACCTCTTAATCAAGCTGTAGCTGCTGCCGTCCCCCCACCACATCCATCTGATCATGGTTCTGCAGCTTACATGTATGCCGTACATGGCCCTTTTTCTTCTTCTTCTTCTCCTTCACCTTGGACTCCTCTTTGTGAAGCTGCTGTAAATGGAAGATCTTATATTGTTCGTATTCTAACTCAAGCATGTCCTGACTGGTCTCGGGAAGAACTTGAAACTGCTGCACAGGTTGCAATTTCTACAGGGCGTCCTGATATTGCAGCACTTTTAATAGATTTTTAAAATCAAATAATTTTATATTATTTATTTATTTATTTTTTTATTCATTAAAAAAAAAAAAAAAATGGAAGGGACCCCTTTGTATAGGAAAGAAAAAAAAAAAAAATTTTTTTTTTTTTTTTTTTAAACTTTTTAACCGGTACAAAGCCAAATTTTAAAAATAATTGCTTAAATGCCATCAATTTCTTTTTGGTAAAAATTAAAATAAAAAAATAAAAAAAAAAATAAAAAAAAGTTTTTTTTATTTATTTTTTTCTCGTTTTATATTTTCCGTTGATTACCGTCTTAAAACTTTAAAAATATATATATTTATTATTATATTTATATAATATATAAAATTTAAATTTTTTTTTTTTATTAATCCAGACTATGATATACACAAAATAACCCAAAGTGTGTAATCTATAGTACCATCAACTATTTATTAAATAAGAAATAGAAGATAAAAGATGAAAGATAAAAGATAAAAGATAAAAGATAGAAAAAAAAAATTATCCCAAACTTGATATAAAATTAACTCATTAAAAAAAAAAAATAAGAATTATAAAATTTCCAATTGAATTATAAAGAACTATTATATATATATATATATATATTAAAAAAAAAAAAAAAAAAAAACTCTTGGTTTCTAAAATCAAACTAATCTAATCTGGCAAATATATATTATTTACCCTTTATTATATTTTCATTAACTTGATTAGGATTAAAAAGAAAAAAAATAAATAAATAAATTGACTATTATATATATATATGGTCTAACATTAGTTATTAATAATTACAGTGCTTTTAAAAATTTATTTATTTTTTATTATATTATTATAATAATAATAATGGTAATTACCAAAAAAAAAGTATTAAAATATCCATATTTATTATTATTATTATTATTATTATTATTATTATTATTATTATTATTATTATTATTATTATTATTATTATTATTATTATTATTATATACACTACTATATATTTTAAATATTGTTAAAAAATTAAATAAGAAATTTCTCTCTTTCTTCAAAAAAAAAAAAAAAAAAAAAAAAAAAATAACTAACTATAATTGTTGAATACTTAGAGAATTATTTTATTTATTTATTTTTATTTACAACTTGTTGCCAATATTTTAAAATAATTTTATATATAGTTGATATAAGATAATTTGTTAAACAAAAATCTTAACCCATTTTCCTAAAAAAAAAAAAAAAAAAAAAAAATCTTTCCCTAAATTTTCAAAATTTCAAATTTTTTTTTTTTTTTTTTTCCTTCCCATTTTCTATTTTAAAGATCCTGTTCATTAACCTTACTTTCCAATTTTTTTTTAATTTTTTTTTCTTCCTCCCATGTTTGATTTTTAAGGATTTTACCAAAATAACTTTACAGTTAAACGGTTATATATATATTTCATTCATCAAACCTTCAAGATTATTTAAAAATGAAAAACTAAAACTAAAAAATTAAAAATTAAAAATTAAAAATTAAAAATTAAAATTTAAAATTTAAAAAAATAAAAATAAAAAAATCAACTTTATTTGATATTTAAACATAATATCAAGGGGTAAAAATTTATTATTATTATTATCTTAGAATGGTTTATTAGTAGTAATAGTATTAATAGTAGTAGTAGTATTAATAGTAGTAGTAGTAGAAAGAATAATATATATATATATATAAATAAAATATTATACATTAAACCAATTTCAAACTCAATTTTACTTTAATCAACACTTTATCATCATTTATTTCTTCAATCATATTTTTTTTTTTTTTCTAACTTTACTCTATAATTTATTATTGATGAAAAATTCAATAAAATTCAATAAAATTCAATAAAATTCAATAAAATTCAACAAAATTCAAATCATTTACCTAAACTATATAAAGTGGTTCTGGACTCACACTTTGAGACCCACAAATTCCCTTCAAGCCACCTTTTTCTTTTTCTTCTTCTTCTTCTTCTTCTTCTTCTTCTCCATTATTATTATTAACAACCCCAGGAGGCTTGAAATTCCCCACAACCCCGCCACACTCACCACGCACTGCAAAAACAGCCACAGCACCGCGCCGCAGTACCGCAGGGTCCCCGGAGTCCGCATAAACTACCCGTGCAATATGGTGGACAGCTGTTAACTGTTCCTGCTTCTCCATCAACAAACTTTTATCATCTTCGTCATTACCATCACCTTGACCTCCACGAGGTACAGCAGGTAATACATCCTTATACAACACAACACGCGCATGCCACAGCCGTGCCCACGTACCGTCACCCAAGGCAGGAACTAACATTGAGCAACCACGCGTCGCACTATGTTGAGCTACCATCCCACCAATAAACATAACTGCAACATGATGTGACCGTGCAAAAACAGATGCATCTTTAATTAACCTACTCACAGCACGAGACCGTCGCCGTACTGCACTCGCTAATGATACTCCATAACCATCACCACGACCAACTAACCCACCATAAGTCGCAGAAACAAGAGCTGCCACATCGTCAACTATTACTAACGCACAATCACGCGGAGGCATAAACTCTGGAGGACTTCGAAACATCATAGCTAACTGTGCTAATGACCCTACTGGCAAATGTAGGGCTCTAGTAAGTGCAGATTCTGTAAAAGTTTTTACATCATCAGCTCCACCACTAACTCTACTACTAGCTCCACTATTAACTCCCACTGCATCAGCTAATCTTGCACCGGGTAATGTAACCCCTCCACTTGTAATCCATAACACGCTATGACCACGTCTTAACGCGTCCGCACTTAAACTTAACGCGACCGCAGTACGTCCAGACCCAGGTGTCCCGGACATCTCACTAAGAGTCCCGCGTAGTAACCCAGGAGAACTAGGTGACCCCAAAACTGCATCCACATGAGGACTGCCGGTGTATAACGCTGGATCTATGTCGGCTTGTGCGCGGGCATGGGAAACTGCAGCTCTTAAAGAAAGTGAGTCCGGGTCTTTGCTTGTGTAAGATGACATTGTGTGTAATGATATATATATATGGTGGAGAAAAAAAAAAAAAAATCTAATGTCAGAACGAAAAATTAATTTTTATATTTTAAATTAAAAATACGCGTTATTTACGCGATTGTTGATTTTTTACACGTGACTACGCGTATACTTATTTATTTATTTACTTTTTTTTTTTTATTTTTATTTATTTATTTGTTTGTTTACTTTTTATTTTTTTTTTCTTAAACCTTTAAATCCTTCTTCTTTCCATAACTCTTCAAAAAAAATGTTCAGACAAAACTTCAAACGCCGGCGCGCTCAAGAAAAACGCCATTTCGCAGATTCCTCTCTAGAAACTCATTCAGCTACTCTTACATACCCTTACAGACTCAACTTTTATGATACCCCACCAACTCTAGAAATTACTGCTGAAGAATTTGAGCAATGGGCAATTGATCGCATGCGTGTACTAGGCGAAATCGAATCACGTCTGGCCAGAAATTTCCCTCCTAAAGAACTCGAAGCTTCCCTGAGGCCTATCCTTGACAAGTACCTTCCTCTTGGTTCTAATGCATCTATGGCCCGTGCTTCGTCATCCGATCCTACTCCGGTAGATATTAAAAATGGACCTTTACACTTTGATGAAAATAATGAACAACATAAACGACTTAAAGATCATTACTCTCACTTTATTCTTAGACTCGCCTTTTGTCGCTCACAAGAACTTCGTAAACGATTTGTTCACGCAGAAACTGTTCTTTTCAGAATTAGATACAACTCAGATGACCCTGAAGAACGTGCAGCTTTTGCTCAGTCATGTAACTTGGCTTGGGACCCTGTCACAGATTCCGAACGCTCAGAACTTTCCAAAAAGTTAGACTGGCTGGCTGAAACTGATAAAGACTCTTCATTTTTCAAAGTCGACTTTGAGCGTGTCCCAGATCTTGTGGCTGACCGTCGCGTAGTTCTTCATAATGGCAAAGCTTATGTCCCCCGCTCACAACTCCAATCCTTTGTGCAAACAGAATTTTCCTCAAGACTTGACCGTGCACTTCTCCAAACTGTCCGTGCCCTTCCTCGTCTTGAAGAAGACGACCGCTTAGTCCCCCTACTTAATCACCTTGCTGTCGGATTCGAGGCTTTCTCCACTTACGATCCGGCCCAGGTCGGCGGTGTACCTGGATCTGCAGATGAAATTCGTGCATCTAACGTTGACGCTCTTGTTGACGCACACTACCCGCTATGTATGCAAACCATGCACCGTGGACTTGTTTCAACAAAACATTTGCGGTATAATGCCCGGTTACAATATGGTAATTTCCTCAAGTGGATTGGTCTAAGTGTTGACGAAGCACTCATTTTCTGGCGCTCACATTTCAATGTCCCAGAAGATAAGTTTTCTAAAGAATATCGCTACAATATCCGCCATCAATACGGCCTGGAAGGATCTCGTATTAACTACCGCCCACATTCATGTGCTGAAATTATAAATGGTCCACTACCAGCTCGTGGCGAATTCCATGGATGTCCATACAGAACGTTTTCCACAGATACGCTAGTCGCCTCGCTCCAGCGTATGGGTATCAATGATACGCAGCACTTGGCTGAGATTCAAGGCAACGTTGCTCGCCGGCAGTACCATGTTGCGTGCACCCAGGTGTATGAGCTGACGCATCCAGAAGATACAAAGAAGTATGATGAAACGATAACGCATCCAAACCAGTACTTTGAACGGAGTTATAAGCAGAAATAATTGGTTTCTTTTTTTTTTCTTTTTCTTTTTTTTTTCTTTTTGATTTATTTGATTATTTATTTTTCTAGTTATTTGGGTTAAAGTTTTTAAAATGTACTTTTTTTTTTCTTTAAAAGAATTGAATATTGATACCAATTCATGAATGGCATATGTATAAAGTGCATTTAAATGAAAAAAAAAATATATATATATATATATATATATTTATATATATATTTTGTTTTACTTGGAGCCCATATAAAATATCAGAATCACTTAAATCTTATAAACCCTAACATCCTCTTTAACTCAACAATATTCGAATATTGATAACGGAATTCCGTTGTTCACACTACAACCATCACAAAAAAAAAAAAAAACTAATACAAACGCAAATCGAACCATACGTTTTCATAATCTTAATTTCACTTATATCAATACGGGCTATTTTTAATTTGAATCATTAAGAAGTCGTCTTTGTAGACGAAAAAATTATATGAAAAACTAAAACTAAAATTAAAATTGACATTCTTTTCTTTTGGAAAGAAAAAAAAAAAACAGCATCGCATAACCATGATTTCAGAATTACCGTTTGAAGCTATTCAAGGAATAACAAAATATATCTTACATTTTATGATATGAAAAACTTAAGCCAATCTAACCAAAAACATCGAATAGCACTTCAACCCTTTTTTTTTTATGACAAAATGTTCATGCTGCCTGAGGGTTAAGTGAACATAACAAACCATACAAAAACTATTATCTTCCTGAATTTCGTGGCGGGATCGGAATTACAACATTAGATTTTATTGAATATGTGACATCTCTTATAAATAGATATGCATTTATTTATTCCAAATATTTTTTTTTGAAAAAGTCTTACTTCCTGATATTACCAATCTATACATTTTCATGCTTAGATTTAATTCTCGGTTTTAAGATTTTTACTAAGTAATATTACGTTTCTACAGGCTGGCTTTAAATGTGAATTTCCTTTTTTTTTCAAGTCTTTTCGTCTTTGAAGAATTTAAAAAAAAAGTTGAATTTAAATTTTATGAAACTGCAGAAGTTATTAAAAATTATGACTTTTTATCCTATTCATGTTTAAATGACAAAGAAAAAAAATTTGATTTGGAGTTTCTAAAAGAAAAGGATACTTTTATCAATAATATTAGCAATCACTTCACAAATATCACTCACGAGTTTCTTATCAAATTATTTGACACACTTTTTTTCTCAGATAACCTAATGGCTTCACTTGATTATCGCAATGAGTTCAAACATAGTAGTGCACTATCATTTATTGTTTTTAACCAATGCCTATTTTATTCTATAATGTCTTCAAAAATTTCCTTTATGGTTCTCGAAATACTCAACTTATATTGTTTTTCCCCTTGGTTGACAAAGTTACTAACTGATTAGCCTGACTTAGTGCAGGCTTATTTATTAAATAGTGAAAACAAAACAATTCTTCCTGATTTTGACCATTTTATTTATATATGATGTAAAGTTTAAACGTAAATTTCATTAGAAAACTTTACGCGAGTGTGACGAATATTTTGAAATTAATGATATTAGAAAAACTGATTTTGAAGGGTGGGTATGAGCCCCTTAATTTAAATAAATAAAGGTTACTTCTATTTAATCCACAGACTTGATTCAACGAAATAGAATAAAAATATCTATAACAGCTAAAGTCAAAGAAAGAGTTACTCTTTTTCTATATTCTTTTTAAATTTTGTTCTTGATTTCATTTTTTAATATAATAATGTATAGTATTAATTTACAAAAAATATATCTAGATATATTTTAGATCTATTTTATCCATAAAAACAATTTAAATTTTATAATTATCAAATTTCTTGTAATTATTGGTATTATTGCAATTTTTTTTTGTTCAAAGTTACTTTTAAATATCAATATAATCAATACATTTTTATTTTTTAATTAAATAAACTAATACTTGATTATTTTAAATTGATACAAACCATACCATTTTTTATATCATAATTTATTTTAATTGAATCTGAGTTGTAGACTTGTAAAAAAAAACAAAATTGATTATGGACATGCATCTTAACAAATATGATTCTTAGCGTTGGTACAAAGCGCATTTTATTTAGATGGGCAATCTAGTAACACCCATATTATTAAACACATAATCACTTTAATTTAATTTCAACCCCTAACCCCATTATTTACCTCTATGATATTTCTTTGTTATTCACAATGTAACCTTTTCAGCATTATTTTTGCGCAAAAAAAAAAAAAAATGGAAAAAAAAAACCGTCAAATAAACAAGATTTTTCCTTCACTTCTTACTATTTATTATTGATTGAATTCTCATGAATTTAGTTTTGAATACTAAGTATTATAGGAAAAACAATATAAAAGAAAAGAAAAGTAAAAAAAAAAAATTTCAACAATCATTACTCTAGATATTGTTTTGGCAAACAACCACATTGCGCAGTAATGATTTCACAATTACCAGCCGAGGTTTATAATCAAATAATAAAGTATCTTTCCAATAACGACATCAAAAATATAAGTCAATGTAATCAGGAGCTTCGGAAAACTTTTCAATCATTTAAATGGCAAAATACTCTTGTTTTCTTGTTTTTCGAAGATTCTAACAAAAAGGCATATAAACATAGCAATCTTAAAAGTTTAACTAATACATTTCAATTGAGTGTATATGCGCCATATAACTTTCCAAGATATTCTCCTATACCATGGAAGGTTTTTATATCACCGCATCGTTATTCATGGTTTTCAAATGAAAATGTCAAGACAATCGTATTGAATTCAGTGGGTTGCTTTTTCACCAAGCTCAATTTTTCTGATTTATACCCAAGTAATTATCCATATCTTTCTACAATCAGATTAAGTTATGCTGAATACCCTGTTCATATTTGTGATTTATCCAGGTTAAAGAATGATGATTTTTTATTTTCACTTGATAAGTTTTTTCAAAACACAACTCATTCAACTGCCATTACCACATTAAAAAATAATTTTCGTCTGAAATTTTTTGGTTCTTCCATTTCAAGTGCTAGAGACTTTACCTTTGCAATGATGGCTTTATCATATGTCACTACTCTTCATTTAAGCCGCATCCCGGTTAACGACACATTTTATTCTCACAATTTGCAGGCACCATCACTTCAACATTTGACATTAAGAGACATTGAATTTAAATTTGCTATAAATATTTTAAAAAAGCTAACACAGTTTCCAATGCTCAGTACGGTTGTTTATGAATTAAGATCTACAACATGGACTACAACAAACTTGATCACATTCTCTTCACTTTTGGAATCTATTGTGATACCACTCAAAGAATTTAAATTGGCAATGTTTAAGTTAATAGAACCTATTGATATTATTCCATTGACTGGTATTTCCTTTAAATCCATTACAACTTTTAATTTGACTTTGAATGATCTTCCAGAAGATCAAAATAGTCATTTATTTTTTAAAAAAATCACCTTTCCTGATATTACCAGCCTAATGCTTTGCAACATTGACTTGAATTCAATGATCTTTGACTTTCCATCAAGCAATATAACTTATTTAGAGCTCAGATGTTCATTTAATCTTGTATCTTTTGATGCCATTTTGTCTTTGAAGAATTTAAAAAAAATTTATTTTAATTTCACTGAAACTCCAGTGGTTAGAGATTATGATTTTTTATCCTGTCCATTTTTAGATAACAAGGAAAAATTTAATTCTGCATTTCTAAGAGAAAAAGAAGAATTTATCAAGAATATTTGCTGGGATTCCGATAGAAGCTTCAACCCGGAATTTCTTATCAAATTATTTGACATAATTTTTTTTTCGGAAAATCCAATGGCTTCTCTTGTTTACAAAGATGATATTAGCTTTTGTTATCCGCTATTATCAATTGTGTACTACGAATGCATATATTATTCTATAATGTCGTCAAAAATTTCCTTTATTGCTTTGGATATGGGCATTAGTTATTCTTCACCTTGGATGGCTAGAACACTAGCTAATTCAACGCATTTAGTGCAGGCTTATATATTAAATCCTAGAAAATATCTTCTTTCTGATTTTGACTATTCTATTCAATCACCAAGAGGTATTTTATATGATGTGATGCATAAACGCAAATTTCATCAGAAAACCTTGTGCAAGTCTGACTTCGATATTGATATTAATGATATTAGTGAAACTGATTTTGAAGGGTGGATATAAGCTGGTATCTTTAGTGCTTATCATTATGCCATTGTGTTTTTTTAATGCTATACTACAATGTTCTCAAACTCATTGATAAAATATTTAAGATAAATATCTACAAACCATACATTTATATCGATGTAACAATTTAAATTTCAGAAATGTCAAGTTAATTGAAGTTATTAAGTCTATATAGACTTATATTATAGAATATATTGCATCATTTAATCTATTCACAATTAAAAAATCATTAATTTTAAACGATAACCAATTTTTGTTTTTTATTTTCCCTTTAAAAGCCTTTTCAAAACACAAATAATTCAACTGGAATCACTATATTAAGATGTATTTTCAGTCTGAGCCTTGATCATTATAAATTTTTGGAATACATAAAATGAAACGTTTTAAAACGCATTTTTATCACCTGCCCCTACTTTTCATTTATACCGCCTTCCGATTGACGACACGGGGTTTTAAATAATTATGATAAAAATTATGTTCTGTCGTACCAGTAATGGTTTCTCATTCTTTATCAAAAAAAAAAAAAATATAATATAACAATTACTTACTTCTCACTCTTTTTGTCATTTCCTGAACAAATAAATCACTGGAATTCGCCTACTTATAAATTAGTTTGTTTCAAGATGACCAGGGTCCTTGTATTTCTAATTAATATAAACGAAACCAAAGTTTTAGAAACCAAAACCAAAATATTGACAGGGTTAAGTCTCCTTTGAAATGATTTTCTTTTCTTTTGAATATTATTAATTGTAAATGAAAAGCGTTATTTATACCGAAAAAAAAAAAAAAAAACAAAGAAGCATAACAAGAACAACCAAAAAAACAGAATAAAATTTTTATCTATATATTTTATTTTAATCCTATTTTATAAATATATACTTAAAGAACAAAACTTATTAAATTAATCGAATACAGAAATATTCCAACTAGTTGAGGGATTCCAAAATACTAGCATTTACACCTTTATTTGGATATTGTTTCTAAGTAATATCATTTTTATACTTAGTCCCAAATTACTTTTGAATTTTAAAAAAAAAATAATAAAAAATTTAATTTTTTTAATTTTTTTTTGTTTTTTCTAATAGTTAATGTATGTTTTTACTTTAGTTTTAAACATTTATTGTTTTTTTATTTTCATTCAAAAGTTTTTCAAACGTTTATTTTAATTTAAGCAATTTATATAACCTTTAATGAGACTATTTGATGTAAGATTGTGTACTACTTTTAATAATTTAAAGGTTCGATGGTCTAGTCGGTTATGGCATCTGCTTAACACGCAGAACGTCCCCAGTTCGATCCTGGGTCGAATCATTTTTGAAACATTTACTTTTTTTTATTTAATCAAGATTTGTTTTTTTTTTTTTTTTTTTAAAAAAATTGTGTGGGAAGCCCAGTGTTGAGTTTATATGTTTGGAAACAAAAAAAAAAATTTTTTTTGTTAAAAATTTACCCAGATTACATAAGCTCATAGAAATAAAGTTTGGGGTGGGCGGAAAATGAAAGTTCCCCAACAATGTAAAAGCGACTCAAATCAACATATTCATTCAAAAGAAATTTTTTTTTGACAAGATATTTTTTTCAAAATTCAAAATAAAATCAAAAACTTTTTAACATAGTATACAATATATACAACCCAGATATATATAACCACTTTATTTGAGGACCTTGCCGTCAGCAATCTCTCTCTTCTCGCCGTTAATGACAACAGGCTTGTCCCAGGCCCAGAGGTCCTCAACAAGAGCCTTGTCCTCAGGCTTAGAAGCATCGAGCTTGGTGTACTCATAAGAGTCCCAATCAGGAGCAACATCAAAAGCAGGAGCGTATTCCTGACCACGGACAAGGAAGGCACCAATGATACCATTGTTGTTGTTCTCACCGTAGACAACCATGCAGCCAAACATGTACTTGACAGAGCCAGTCAGACGGTTGAAGAAACCACCAACAAGGTTGTTGGACATAAAGGTGAGGGTAAGCTCATCATTGTACTTGTAAGCAACCTTCCAGAGGGAGTACTCCTCGGGGTCGTAGTGTTGCCAGAACCAGGGGAGGGCGACCTCACGGGTCTCTTCGTTGGAGTAGGTGCGCTTCCACTCGTCAAGGGCCATCTTAGCAGAGCCAAGGGCAGCAATGGGGTGAGCAACCTTCTTCTCCTTGGGAGGTTCATCAATGGGCTCCTCAGCCTTGGGCTTGGGGGCAGCAGCCTTGGGCTCAGCCTTGGGCTTGGCCTCCTTCTTGGGGGGGACAAACTTGATGGCCTGGTCAATAGGTGTGGTGTTCTTGACAAAGGACTTGAAGGGCTCCTGGGCAACAATGGTAGTGTACCAACGAGCAATGGCAGGGTGGGCAGTGGCCCAGGCCTTGTCCCAGACGGTGCCGTAAGCCTTGTCGACGAGGGAAGCGACAAAGAAGTCAGCAACGGTGGGGCGCTCACCAACAAGGTAGGTGTTGTTGACGAGTTGAGCCTCAATGGGGGCAGCAAACTTATTAGAGTTCTCGAGAGCAGTGTCGACATTCTTCTTGTTGTAGGGGATAAGGCCAACAAGGGGCATGATGGCACCAACAACGACAGCGTTCAAGAGATCAGAGTTGGCAAGAGAGAGCCACTTGAGGACCTCAGCCTCCTCGACGGGAGAAGCACCGAAAAGCTTGTTGGGCTTGAGGGTGGTGAGGTACTTGACAATGGCAATGGTCTCAGTGAGGGCAAACTTGCCATCAGCAGAAAGGAAGGCAGGGACCTTCTTGAGGGGGAAGTTGGCCTCAAAAGCGGCATCGGGCTCAGCAGCCTTAACATCAAGGTTGAGGGCCTTGATAACGCAGAGAGCAGCGACCTCACGGCCGTAGTTGCGGTGGTAGATAGTGCCTTGGGACATTATGATTGATTGGGGTTATAAAAGAGGGTTGATCAAAAAAAAAAAAAAAGTGATGTGTAGGAAGAAAAGTTAAGATGTTTATGATCGGTTGCTGTTAAATAGGGGTCAAAAAAAAAAATTTTTTTTTAAGTGATAAGTTGTTGGTAACATTAGAAGAATCGGTAGGACCCACACATACGGTTGGCCCGGCACATGGCTGATCTGGTTGGCAGCGGGCATCTTTCTGTGTTGTTTGTTTGTATAGAACAAAAATAGACTTTAAAACCCGAGTCCCGTTGATTGAAAAAATGTTGTTACTGACATTTACAAACTAGGCATTAAAATTACATAGCTGTGGCTGGTGGATTGAAAAATAAAAAAAAAAAACCCCGATTGTTCCTGGCAAGCCACAAGATGGGCGCAAAGTCGAGTGGCGGAAATTCATTAATAAATTTAATTGAATTAAATTAAATAAAATTAAATTAAGTTAAATTGAGTTAAACTAAAAATTAAAAATTAAATTGAATATTCAAAGTCACGTTAAAATCACATGGTAATCATGTGATTTAAACATTACTTGGTTCGAACCCAATATTTTTATATTTTTCAAATAGGAAACTTTGCTACGCCCAGCTGGCCTTAAACCTGCAATACTAAAAAAAAAACCCTTCTAAACTCAGCTGCCACTGTCAGTCAATAAATCTTAGCATATCTTAACCAAGCTTTAACCACCACCACCACCACCACCACACAAAAGATACAATCAAACAATGACTAACGTCTGGAAAGCACCTGCAGACATTGACGATGACGATGACAATCTTCTGATAGACGACTCAGATGGGTCTGATTTGGAAGTATCTGGCCTGGGCAATAGCAGAACAAACAATTACTCAAACCAAGGCTTTATCCAACCAGACCACCAAATCGAAAGCGATATCCCAGCAACACCTGCACCTAAATCAGTCCCTACAAATCCAACAACTTCAGCAAATGCAGCAGCTGCCTCTTCTTCATTCATGTCCAACCAACCGCCACCCGCATACTCCCTCGACTCGGCATTCACAACCACGACAGGCGATCGCGTGGAGCAGCGCCGGTTTATGGGCGGCGATACGCTCGATGAACCCGTAACTGCAACATTGATGCGTGACGTACGAGGAGTCGGCCATCGTTTACGTCAAGTCATTTGGTATTCTCCAGCTACAAGTCTGCGTGAGGCCCGCGGGCTGGACCCGGAAGCCGCTGGCGGGTTTGGCTATGACCCTAATGCTGCTGCCAGCGCCGCACATCTTACTCGACAGGAATGGGACCTTTGGGGGCCCCTAGTATTCTGCCTCGTCATTGCTGTTGCCATGAGTATGTTGGCTCCCAACCACCAGGCTTCCGAGGTCTTTTCTGGTGTCTTTGTGCTTGTATGGTTGGGCCAAATGGTTGTTACCCTTAACATTAGACTTTTGGGAGGAAACATTCTCTTTTTCCATGCAATGTGTGTCACCGGGTACTGTTTGTTCCCTCTCGTCATTGCTGCCATTATTTCTGCATGTGTCGGTTCGTATCTTGTCCGCATCATTGCTGATACTATTCTTGTGGCGTGGGCAATTTTCTCGGCTACAATGGGACTTAAACATTCGGGTGTATTGCCCTCGCGTGTCTTTTTGGCAATGTATCCTGTCGGTCTCTTTTACACTGGACTTGGCTGGCTTTGCGTCATCACATGAAAAATAAAATAAACATGGTATAAATCAGATAAAATAAAATAAAATAAAAATAAATAGTTAAATTTAATTTGAACATTAAACAATAACGATCATTTCTAAAAAACTATTTATGATTTCCATAAATTGAAAGTGAGGCACTATTTTTTTTTTTTTTTTTGGAATTCAGTATAATTAAGAGATTTTCTTTTTTTTTTTACTGTTGTATTACCAGTATTTTTTTTTGGATCGGCAAGCTATTTATTTAAGTTCATAATATTGTTTTTTTTTTTTTTTTTTATATTCACAAGATGATATTCTCATAGTCAAATTTTCATAATGTTAAATTCTATCTTTTTTAATCATTTCAAACCATTTTTTCTCGTTTTCTTTCTTGTTCAAATTCAATTATTTTACCTTTCTTTTTATACTTTTTTTTTTTTTACTTTTGTTAATTTGATCAGACATAATGGGCATAAGCAGACTTGACAACACGATTCCCAACAAGCTGTGCCTGTATAAAACGTGCTTATATATTTATATTTGTAAATTATTTTAAATGAAAGAAAGAAAAAAAAAAAAAAAAAAAAAAAAAAAACCTAAGCTATTATACATTTCGTGCAGACTCAGGGGGAGGTCCTGTAAAATAAGAAGCTAGAGATGACTCAAACTCCCAAGTCCAATTGGAAAACCAATCAAGACTCACAACCGGATCAACAAACGGCATGGTAGGGTCATTAGGATCCACCGAATCCGAGGGCACTGCCGACGGATTTGATGTGGCTGCGGGAACATGTGAGGGTCCCGATCTAAGGGCAGCTGAAGAGTCTGATGACGTGTTGGATAACGGGGGGTCAAAAATGACTTCAGAAGAAGAAATGTGTATGGCGACTTGCTGTTGTTGTTGCTGTTGTTGTTGCTGTTGTTGTGATGGTTGCTGTTGTTGCGGTTGCAGTTGCGGTTGTTGTTGTTGTTGTTGTTGCGGTTGCGGTTCCGATAGCGGTTGTGGTAGTAACTGTGAGACCACGGGTGCTGCCGAAGTTCCTGCTCGTTCGGTTTGCGCCTCCACCACAGGTTTCTGAGGGTTCCCCTTTTCATCTACAAAACCCATGTCAAAGAACCGAATGTTATTGATACTCGACTCCCCATGGTCAATACCAATTTCCTTGAGTCTGCGCTGAGACTCTTGCATGCGAGTGAGTAACATGTGATTAAGTGTTTTAAGAGACCATAAACACTCCTTGGCCATCACAAACCGGCCATCCTCTGCAATGAGCGTGACCTTGCGAATAACTTTGGCCAGTTCAGCCGTCATTTTGTTGAGCTGGATATTGTTACTAATGAAAAGCAAGCATACACACCCTGTGCAAAAAAGACTCGAAAGTGTGTACCACCATGGGGCAAGCAATTGCTTTTCACGCTCTAAAATGTCAGTAACTATGTTGACTCCAGTAATGGCATCTGTTAGAATCTTAACATCCGGGTACCGGTCACCCATATCCTTGTCAACTAGCGAAAAGATGGAGCGCATATAAATGAAGAAAATGAAATTGTAGTATGTGAGTCTGACATGTGCCACAAGACCAATTGGGTACCGCGTGTTGCCAATACGATGATCGTCTGCTAGGTTAAGTTCACGCATTGAATTGTTCCACTCCAACAAGTTTTGTGCAGTTTCCTTTACCTTTTCTTCAGGCATGCGGAAATCCGTATCAAAGCACAAATCGCGTATTGTGTGGCCAAGCATAATGAGTCCATATGTCAAGGGTGACTGCCACCCATTGTCTTTATATGTTTGTGGGACTGAGTATGCAAGCTGGTCTTCAAGAAAATGAAACGTTCTGCAGAAATCAACACAGAGACTGCGTTCAAGTGAAAAACATGACCACAATGCACTGCGGCGTTTCAAATGGTCATAGTCACTAAGATAAACTTCAAATGATGTGCGTTTGTGAAGACCCATGCCTTGAACCATGCGAGCAGCTTGACATAGGGAACTCCAAGCGGCCGGTTGACGATAACAAGCGCGGACATAAAAAGTAATAAGAAGCCAGCCTTGGATAATCTCTGTGCTTTCCCATTCAAAACTAAAGGCTTGGATCGTCGACAATGCGTCATCAAAAAGCTTTTCTTCCAACCCTGACTCGTACTCTTTGCGATCAATAACCTCGGAAAATCGCATTGCAGTTGCACAGGCCACATATAAATTTGCCATGAATAGCCGGCACTCACGCTTATCAGTGGTAGCGAGAAACGCTTCATATTGTTTCATAAACATGGGCTCATGTATGATTGAATAGAGGGGATTGATGTTTATGAAAAAGTATTTGAGAAGGTACCTTGTGGTAGTATCATCAAGAAGCTCGACTCCTGGATCCAGGCTTCGAGCTTTAAGAAAGTGCGAGCCTGCCATGTTCCAGCCGTAGAGCTGGACGCGCGGGACACTAACTTTTTCGCGAGCGCGCTCAGAAATTGAATTGTAGAGGGAAAGCCCAAATTGATGAGGCAGAAAGTTTAGGTATCTGCGAGAATAGCGAAGCTTGGAAAAGTAGTGAGTTGGGAAGGGAGCCTTGCGCATCTTGTACACGTCAAGCATTTGAGAAATATCAGAAATTTTTTCAATCTGGCGGTTTCGTTCAGAGAGATTATCTTTTTCATTATTTATTGAAGAAGATGAAGATGAAAATGAAGAAGAAGAAGAAGAAGAAGAAGAAGATGATGATGCTTGAGAAGCAAATGTGTTGTTAATAGCTGAAGCTACTTGGGCAATCTGGGATGAGATATTAGAAAGACAAGTCTCAAGGTCTGTAGAAATAAACCCGCTGGTCCGGTCTGAAGGAGACTCTGGAGAATCGTCTTCACCATTAGTAACACTGAGGCTGCGTTTGCGACTCTGCGACTGACTATAAGTATTACTATTTGTATTACTGCTAGAAGAACTTGCTGCTGGTGTTTCCTCATAGACTAGGTTTGTGATAGCAGGAATGCTTGCCAGGTTTTGTTGAGAGGGAGATGATGGTGACATGTTATTGTGTCTGTTATGGTCTGGAGATGTTGCTCCTGGGCTATTGTAGGATTTAATTACTCCAGTAGAGGAAGAGGCAGAGCGCACAAAGGAAGATGGGGTGTAGAGGCATGCAGATTTAGTTTTTTTACATGCAACACAAGGGTATCTGCCGTCGCATTTTGTTTTACGACGTTTGCATCGGTCGCAAGCTTTGGCGACCCGTATTCTGTTTTTTCCAGAGGGGAGGAGCGAAGAAGGGGACGAGATAGAAGAAGCAGAATTAGCTGTTGACGAAGTGTTCTGATTTTGGTCTAAAGATTCTGAGGAGCCGCTGGGGATAGGCATTGCATTTGTTCTTTTAGATGATGAGAAATTAGAAGAAGAGGTTGATGGTGGTTGTGTTGAAGAGTTTGTGGTAGTAGATGAAGAAGAAGAAGAAGAAGAAGAAGAAGAAGAAGAATAAGAAGAAGAAGAAGAAGAAGAAGAAGAAGAAGAAGTTGGGTAGAGACGGGTAGATGATGATGATGATGATGGTGATGATGCAGCAGGAGTAAAATTAGTCACTGCGGATATTACGTCAGATGGGGGTGAGGGTGAATTATTGTGGTGGTGGTGAGTTTGTGGAGGTGGCTGGTTTAGGGCCGGTAACGGAGATAAGGCAACGGTTCGCTGCCCGGAGCTAAGTGGGAGAGTCACGGCAGAGACCGAGGAAATTGTAATGGAGACAGAAGATGGGGGAGAAGAAGAAGATGGAGAAGAAATAAACCCTGCATGAGAACCCCCCGCAGGCCCAGTAAAGGAACAACTTCCGGAGGAGGAGGAGGAGGATGATTGGGTTATTTGTTGTGTTAGTGGTGGGGCAGTGGCTCGAGAGGCTAGTCTTTGATCATGATGAGGTTTACGAATATTTGCAGTAGTGAAAGGAGGTAAAATAGATGGAGATGAGGAGGTCGATAAAGAATTTGTTGAAATTGGTGTTGATTTTGAATAAGATGGGTCTGAAGAAGAGGAATAAGAACCTGGAGTGTCAAAAGCTGAAAGTCCGGAAGAAGAAGAAGAAGTAGGGAGAGGAGAGGATGAAGTAGATGCTGGATTAGAAGAAGTAGCTGAAGAGTATCCAGGAGGTCTTGAAGAGACTTGTGAGATTCCCGGTAAATACTGTTGCTGCCGCTGCCGCTGCTGCTGTTGCTGTTGCTGCTGTTGCTGTTGCTGTTGCTGCTGCTGTTGTTGTTGTTGTTGTTGTTGTTGTTGTTGTTGTTGTTGTTGTTGTTGTTGTTGTTGTTGTTGTTGTTGTTGTTGTTGTTGTTGTTGTTGTTGTTGTTGTTGTTGTTGTTGTTGTTGTTGTTGTTGTTGTTGTTGTTGTTGTTGTTGTTGTTGTTGTTGTTGTTGTTGTTGTTGTTGTTGTTGTTGTTGTTGTTGTTGTTGTTGTTGTTGTTGTTGTTGTTGTTGTTGTTGTTGTTGTTGTTGTTGAGAACCTGAAGTCTCTGGAGAAAGCATAGACTGCGGTTGAGTTAACTCTGGGGCAGATTGAGATTGCTGGAGATGGATTGGTGGGAGAACAATAGGTGAGGATGAAGGATCCTGAGTTATTGGAGGGGCCAATGGCAAATATTTATTATTGGATTTTGGACTGGAAAGCCATGGAGGTTTATACTGTTGATGGTGTTGGTGATATTGTCCTGATGTAAGTCCCGAGAAAAGAGTTTGAGTAAGTTGGTGTTTGCTTTCATTGCTAGAAGATGGTTGATTGTTGATGATAGTGAGTGGTTCTAAAATAAGCTGTTGTGGTGTGTGTATTGGTGGGGGTGGAAATGATTGTAATCGCTGTAATGGAGATAGTTGATGGTGTTGTTTATGGTGTTGTTGTTGATTTTGATTTTGATTTTGATGTGAGGATTGGTGCACTGGAGAGTTACTTGGAGAAGAAGCTGCTGCAGGACGGGAGCGGCTGGGTGGCATTTCTGAACATTTGAATTAGAACTAGTCAAATATATATTAAAATGGAAATGAAATGGAGGGAGGGGAAAAAAAAAAATGGTGGAGAAAGATTATAATAATAATGATTGACAATAATAATAGATTTTGAAAAAATAAACTGACGATATTAAAGATTATTTGAAAAAGTAAAAAAGTAAAAAAGTAAAAAAGTAAAAAAAGAAAAAGAAATTAAATATTTGAGTTACCCCAAAATGAAAAAAAATATATTAAAAATGAATTAAATTAAAAATAAAAATTTATAAAAAATTAATAAAAAATGTAGATTTTTTTTTTTTTTTTTTCATAGCACGAGCTTTAGCTTCACAATCACATAAAAATACAAATATTATGAAAAAAAAGGAGAATTTCTTAATTACTAACAAATGATAATCAAAAAAAAAAATATATATATATATATATATCTGCCCATTAATGATAATAACAAACAAAACAAACAGCACTGTATTTTCTACTTTTTCTGTAGCCATTTGCCGCAGCTATCCGCCAGATTTCAATTTACTCCCTTTTTTTTTTTTCTTTAAACTACTCATTTATAAATATATATATATATATATATATATATATAAATATGGCTTCTGCGGAAGCCATCGCCCGACGAAATCATCTACAAAATAGATACTAATTAGTATATTTTAGTATTTTAGTATTTTAGTATTATAATTAGTATAATGTATATACAAGTTAATGAGCTGATGACTCAAAAGTATGACTACGATTAGTAATTACTGCGGTCATCGCTCGAAGAGTTTCCAAAAAAAAAGCCCCCTTGTAAGAATTGAGCGAGCACTTTCTCCATTACTTATTTAGGAAATAAGCCGTGAAGAAAAATCGGTGATTCGGTTCTTCTAACTACCGGACTTTAGTAAACAAGACAGTTTATAATTATGTTAAAAGTATTGTTTTTTTTTTTTTTTTTTTTTGGAGAGGGAGGGGTTTATTATAATTTAATTAACAATTTACAGATTACTTTAACTATAAGTTTATTTATTTTAATATTAGTTAATGTTAACTATGATCATGTGATTCATAAATAGATGAAAGAAACTTTACGATGACGTAATTATTTTCCCACAACCTCTTCCGGAAAAGATATGTTCCGACTATTTTTTATCGGGACTTTAAAAAAAAAAAAAAAACTTTATTCTTATGGTGATATAAATATACCAATTCTTGGGGGGGAGTTTTTTTTTTTTTTTAAAAAAAAAAAATAAGATACCGGGTCTGCTCCGGTCATACATTTTTTTTTTTTTTTTTTCAATCTTACGCATGAATATTAACTAAAAGACCCGTCGTTTAATTAACTCATTTCAATTTTCAATTTTTAATTTTAATAATTTTAATAAGTTTAAAAGAAAACTAAAATAAAACTTTTATTTATTCTTTCTATTTTTCTTTTTTTTAAAAAAAAAAAAAAATTAGATAAATTTATATAACCCAAGACTTATATATTTATATTTATTTATATATATATTTTTAACCAACCACCTCATTCTTAACATTCTTCTTTCTTCCTTCTTCATATTTTTCATTTTCACTTTCATATTCTTTTATATTTTGAAATCATTTACTTAGTATATAAGCCATAAGCTAGTAAAAGATTACAAGTTCTTTCATTTTTTTTTTAGCTTACGTCTGTCAATTATTATTAATTTTTTTTTTTCAAAGCCTCGTTTAGAAAAAAGAAAAAATCAAAAAAAAAAAATTTCTATATAAAAAGAAAACACTCTTCCTCGGGTCATTCACATTTCTCCGTTCCATTTTAAAAAAAAATAAAAAAAAGTCCTCCTTTTTTTATTTTTATTTTTTTTTCTTTCCAATTTAAATTTTAAAAAAAAACATTCTTACTTTTTCTTCATAACTAATAATAATAATAATAATAATAATATTATTATTATTTTAATTTATCTTTATATCTTTAACTTTTTTTAAACTTTGGTTTATACTTTTTTTTATAGTTGCTTCATAATATAAACACACTCAAATTTCACTCATTGTTTGCGACTTAATTTAATTGCTCTTCATCTTTTATTTATTTTTTTTTATTTTTTTATTTTTTTCTTCCTTTCTTTCTTCTTCTTTATTTTTAATTCCTATATTCATTTATTCATTTATTCATTCATTTCATTTAAAATTTCTTTTTTTTTTTTTTTTTTTTTTGCCCATGTTCTGACACCAAAATCACGAAAAAAAAAAAAAAAAAAAAAATAAAAAAAATAAAAATAAAAATACCTCTGCACACAAGTCCCACTTAAAACCTTCCCTCCCAATAACCATTCATCACCAATCTTAATAATAATAATGTTCCGCGTCTTTGGACATTGGCAAATCCCTTTAGTCTGTGCAATTGTCTGGTGGGGGATGCTCATCGCCATGCTTGCAGTCTGGAGTGCTCAAGGTGTAAGTTAACTGTAACTCTCAATCCCCTTTAACCAAAAAAAAAAAAAAAAAAAAATTTAAATCCCGCGTTTTGAACATGTAATTTGACTAAATGACTAAAACTAATGACCATATTCTTGTTTACCAAAAAAACCCATCTCTTTTAGAAACCAAAATACGGAACTGATCGTAAAGACGTCGTTTTAGTGTAAGTTTCAAAAATAAAAATAAAAATAAATAAAAATACCATTCTAGGAACCCATAAATTAACACTCTGTGTTTTTTTTTTTTTTTTTTTCAGTTACATTTCAGATATTGGTGCATGGTCGCTCCAAGCACTTTTCATAGCTTGTGCATCAGTCCAAGCACCGTTTTTCATCCTTGCGCTTGCCGCAGAACGTTACCTGCGCCATGCAGGCCGACTTCCTCCTAACCTACGGCGTCGTGAAAAACTTTTTGCCGCAATCGCCATTATTCTTTCTATCCCAGGACAAGTCGGTATTATCCTTGTTGCAGTCTTTAATACTGTCAAACATCATACCCTCCACTTTTCAATGCTTATCATGTTTCTTGTCTGTACAGGTGTCTCAGTTCTTTTTACCATTCTTGAGTTTGGTTTCCTTGACTATTCTTATGCCCATGCTCGTCGTCTACGTGTGTCATATATGCTCAAGGCCTTTTGGCTTATCATTGCCATCATTTTAGCCATTTGTTTTGCTGCTCTAAACCGTTCTTCTAAGGACGTTGCAGCTGCTGTTTTTGAATGGTTTTTGGCCTTTTTCTACGGAATGTACTTACTTATTCTTTCTTACGACTTGTTCCCAGCATTTAAATCATATTCTAGTGCAAATGCAATTGAATCAGGAATTGATCGAACTCTTTTTAGAGTCACTTCTTGGTGGCTTCCTCACCGTATAAAAACTTCAGCACTTGCACATCCTCCATTGGAAAAGGATTTTGTTGAAACAGACTCTGACCCGGCATTATCAGCAGATGTTCGTCCTTCTACAACACCTACTTTTACTTCATCTTCAAATAATAATAATGCCGCAAATAATATTCCTTTGGAAATCCCAACACCTGATTGTGGAGACGCACAAAGACCTTCCTTAGGAGACAGGGTTTATGAAAATAGACGAAATATGACACAAGTCCCAACAGACGAAACTAATCGATTCCAAACAAGCTAACTCCAATGGTTAAGCCATTATCTCAATTATTTTTAGCTTTGTTTCTTAATTGGTTTTTAATTGGTTTTTTTGTTTGTTTGTCTTTTCTTGTTTTTTCGTTAACTTGTTTACTTGCATTATTTTTGTTTCTTGCATACTCTCGCTTATTTTTGTATAAATTTCTTATATCCCAATTGGGAAATTTCATTGATTTTTTTTTTTTTTTTTTTTTTTTCAAATAAATTGCATATTTTTAATTTTTGAATTTTTTTTTTGAATTTTTTTCATCTAAACAAAAAATTTACATTTTATCTAAACACTTACTCGGAAATAACAAAACTCCAAGGGTGCTCAATCTCACCATACTGAATTTGAGAAATCCACTCAGCAACCTGCTCCGTCAAAGGACCAGTCTGCTTGCCGGGCTGAAGAGGAACATTAATGTTCTTGTCATGGAAGCCAATCTCCTTAATGGGGGAAACAACAGCAGCAGTACCAGAACCAAAGGCCTCCACAAGCTCACCCTTGGCCTCACGCTCAATAATCTCGTGGATAGTGCAGTATCTCTCGCTGACAATCCACTCCTTGGGGTCAAGACGCTCGCGAGCCAACTGGAGAATGGACTCACGGGTAACACCCTCCAAGATGGTGCCGTCCAGCGGCGCAGTCACAAGCTCCTTCTTGCCAGTGGCCTTGTCCTCAAACACGAAAAACACATTCATGGTACCGACCTCGGTGACCTTGCCCTCAGGACCAAACAACCAGAGGTTTTGCTGGTAGCCACGCTCAGCAGCCTCACGCTGGGGCTTGACGCAGGGAGCGTAGTTGGCACCAAGCTTCTTGTCACCGGTACCGCCGGGCCAAGCACGGGTGGCGTAGTCGGTGGCCTCGAGACGAACAGCCTTGAAGCCGGTGGGGTAGTAAGGGCCAACGGGGGAGGCAATGACGTAGAAGAGAGCCTTTGTAGGGATATGGACACCAAGCCCGGCCTGGGTACCAATGAGGGTAGGGCGGAGGTAGAGAGAGTAGCCCTTCTTCTTGGGGATGAAGTCCTTTTCGAGCTTGACAAAATCGCTAATGAGCTTAAGCATAGTTTCAGTGTCAAAAGTTGGGAGACAGATACGGTCAGCAGACTTGTTCATGCGGATCATGTTACGGTCAGGACGGAAGATGCGAATCTTGTCGTCCTTGTCAACGTAAGCCTTGAGGCCCTCAAAGCACTCAAAAGCGTAGTGGAGCACAATGGCAGAGGGGTCAAGACTGAGGTTATGGAAGGGTGTGATTTCAGGAGCGAGCCAGCCATCCTTATCGTTCCACTCAATGGTGAGCATGTGGTCTGAATGAAAAACATTGAGGTTAGTATGTGGGTGGAAGGAATATGTATGTAGGTAGACAAAAGTATGTAATTGTGTGATTGAGTAATTGTGCAATTGTGTGATTGTATGTGGGTATGTAAAGATTGAAAAAGAGGGGTAAAGGTAAACGACGGCAAATATTTTAATTGGAGATTGAGGAAAAAAATGAAAAAATAAAAAAATAAAAAAAAATTTTTCATTCAAAGTCACAGGGAACGTTGAAAGACTAAAAGTGAAAAATAAGCGGGTATTATTTAGAGGTTGATTGATAACCGTGGATAGCCAGATGATTAGAGGGGAGTGTTCTCGAGAGGGTAATCTATCAGAAAAAGAAATAGAAAAAATAAGAGCCATTTATAATAAAAGCGCATAAAAAAAAAAGAGTCATCAATATATAAGGAAGAAAAGGGGCAGATTAAAAAGTCAAATTCATTAAAAATCGAATCAAATCAAAATATTAATCTGAATAAAAAAAAATTATTAATGAAGTTAACAATTGAGAATTGAGAATAGCCAAAATTGATAATCTGAATTGTAACTCATTTAAATCTTTTTCCATTCTAAGAAATCTAAGAAAAATCCTTTTGCAATCATATCTGTGTATCTTTTATAAATCTCAAATTGACAAACACAAACACAAACACAAATCATTAAATCATTTAAAAATACAACAATAAAAAAACTTACCAGTGAAAGTCTGACCAAAGATAAGCTCTTCAGGAGGAGGAAGCTTCTTAGGAGTGGTAGTCTTGGTGATCTTAAGCTTGGAGATATCAATGGGAGAAGGAGGGGCCAAGCCTGAAACAGCAGCTGTAGAGGTGGCAAGGTTGCGAGTAGCACTAGGCACTGCGGCCTTAAGTGTGCTGGAAAGAGCAGCGCGAGCAGCCATTTGAAATGGATGGGAAAGAATTGAAAAAAAAAAAAAAAGGTGGGAAGATGGAAGAGAAGATTTTTATTTGTGAAAAAGAAAGAAAGGAAAAAAAAGTGAAAAATTTCAAAAAAAAAAATAAAAATTAAAAAATTTTATGTGGAGGGGGGATTGATGAATATTTATATGTTTGTGATATTTTTAAAAAAGAACTTTGTAGACTAACTGACTGACTGATTGACTAACTGACTGATTTTATTATCGGCGACATCGGGCAAGGGAACGTCGGCAATTTTTAAAGAAAAAAAAAAAAAAAAAAAAAAAAAAAAAAAAAAAAAAAAAAAGAGCGCTTGTATGTGTGTGTATGTGTGGCTACAACTTAGTTGGCTGTGTATGTGTGTGGGGGGGGAGGGAAGGAAGTTTACCACTTAAAGTGCAAAGAGGAATTTTTTTTGTTTGTTTGCGATGGCTTCCTTCCCCCGGCAAAATAATAAAAAAACGGTAAAAAAAAAAAAAAAAAATATATATATATATATATATATATATATAAGATGAGTCATGATTAGTAATTAATGAGACATATTTTGTTTCAGATCACTAACATCTAATGTAACAGAAAATTATTTGTAACACGTTTATGTAACAAATAAATAATAATAATAATAATAATAATACTTGAAACTTAATATTTAGTACTTAAGATATTTATATTTTTTTCTTCAATCACCTTTACTTGTTGTGATGGGTCCTGTCAGTCAAAAAATCTACACATACAAAGGCCCCTTTTTTTTTTTTCTTTCTTTTTTTCTCCACCAAAAAAAAAAAAAAAAAAAAAAGGACGTCCCCTTTTGGGTTTTACAATTACAATTTACTACTTTTACTACCACCACCACCACCACCATCATCTTTATATTTATTTTATTTATAAATTTTTTTTTACTTAGAATTCAATAATAAACCTTCTTCTTTATCAATCAATTCTTCTCATTAGAATAGAATATTGCCACCTCTTTTAATTCCATATATAAAAAAAAAACCAATCTTTTTTTTTTCCTCTTTATTTTTTTACAAACCTTTTCATTCTTCTTACCTTTCCCTAAATGGTTTTATCAGGTGTCTTAATGGATGCCTCTTCTGCAACCTCAACTTCAGACCTAATCCCTTCTTCGGCTTCATCTTCTGCATCTGCATCCTCCTCGACCTCTACTGCATCAACTACTTCATCAACTACTTCATCATCTGCTTCATCATCTGCTTCATCATCTGCTTCATCTGCTTCATCTGCTTCATCTACATCTTCTTACCTTTTTGATGGCTTGCCTTCAACTCTTCAACAACCCAATCCTCAAACTAAACATTTCCCTATGGCCTCTCAAGATCAGGCCAACCCCCAATCACAATCACCCATACCATACAGATTTACACCTTTATCATCTTCCTCATCTCAAACTAACTCAGAAGCTGAGTACCAAGAAAATGAACTCCAAGCTATTCTTCAGTTAAAATCGCTTTCCTTTTCACAGCAACAACAGCAACAACAGCAGCAGCCACAGAAGCCGCTTCATGGAATCTTTGGACAACAACAACAGCAACAACAAATTGCACTGCCGGTTTCAAAAGCCTCTTTATATCCCTCATATAACTCTCAAAACTATCAGCAACAACAACAACAACAACAACAACAACAACAGTCGCAACCTACTGGTCTCTGGCAACCTCCACGAATACCAACGGTCTCCTACTCACCACTATCATCTTTGCCCTGCGATAACAATACCCCAGCAAATGACCCATCAAACGTAAACAATAATAATAATAATAATAATAATAATAATAATAATAACAATAGCCCAGTAGATGATGACCTCGACATGTCAGATGTCGAGGATGATGACAATGAAACAACCCCAGCAGAAACAAGTCTTGACTGCATCTCAAACACTTCTCTAGATGGAATACCTCCCACCTTAAACAACAACAGCCCTTACGCTACCTCATCACCACGGGTCCCGGCTTCTTCTTCCGCATCCCTATCCTCTCTCTCTTCATTCCAAGCTGATCCTCCCGATGTTCCGGCACTCTCGAGCCGCAGCGCGAGCTCACAAAGCCTTCAATCTTCCTTAATCTCATCAAAACAAACACAAATACACTCTCATATTCATCACCACTCCCATCATATCCAGTCTCCAACCCCTGCTTACCTCCAACACAATCAAAACCATCATTCACACCATTCACATCATTCACACCACCCAAATTCACTTTCTTCTTCTCCATCATCATCCTCTTCATCAACAACAACAACAACATCTTCATCATCATCTTCTTCTTCTGGCATTTCTTCAGACCGCACCAACCTCCTCAAAGACCGATTTATCTACTACGGACCCAAATCGGAAAAATACAAGGCATCGGCGCATCTGCGGCGTCAGGAACAAATTCGTGACTATTATAACAACAAGGGCTCTTCCTCTTACTCCTCAAGCGGCTCTGCAAGTAAGATTTCTAAAAAAGTGCCGGCCACGCCTACCCGCATCCGCAGCAGTAGCATTACCAGTAATGGAACAAACAATAACAATTCCATTATAAATACAAATACAAATACAAATACAAATACAAATACAAATACAAATGGAAACAATAATAACAATAATACCATTAACATTAACATTAACAATAATAATAATAGCATGGCTTCAGTCAACATGGCAATTAACGGATCCTCTTCTCCAAAAGCCCAAGGCTTGCTTTCATCCTCACCACGCAACTTGTTTGGACCTCTAGGAGGTTCACCCCCATTTTTGGCTTCCTCGTCACCTCCAAACTTATCTTCCAGCAGCAATTCTACAACTCCACTTTCTATTTCACCTGCATCTTTTACATCTTCTTCGTCTTCTTTTAAAAAGAAACCCCGTAGAACTGTTCGGTTTAATGTTTAAACCGAGTATTTTTTTTTTCATTCTTCTTTTTCTTTTCCTTTTGGATTACATATATGATACAACTTATTTGTTTATGACCTACTTATATACTATATATATACAATTTTTTTTTTATATAAATATCTATATTATTCTTTTGATATAAGCATTTTGAAAAATCTTTTATAAGACCAAAAAAAAAAAAAAAAAAAAAGGTCCTTTATAGACAAATTTTGATCTGTTAAGTTTCAACATATGGAAATCAAATTTATTGGTTATAAAAAAAATATCTCCTCGGTTTCGAAATTCTCCACCTTCCCCTTCCCCCACCATAAAATTTTAAATTATCAAACCGACAATTCTCGGTTCTTTTTTTTTTTTTTTTTTTTCTCTCTCTCTTCTTTTCTTCTCAACACCACCCAATTCCTTTATAAAGTCCATTTCCCCACAACTTACCATTCCATCCTTCTCTTCATGTCACTAAGACCTGCACTTACTCTCTGGTCAACTGCTTTGGCAGCTGGTGCTATTCTCGGTTTCTCCGAACCACCTTTCAAGCTTGTCCGTTCCTACATTGAATACCAAAACTCTCGGTACCTCGACGCCGCCGCAGTCGCCGATTCTCTAGACAAATCCTCTCAAGAAACCTCACCATCTTCTACTTCTACTTCTACGAAATTCCATCCTGCCCTTCACGGATCTTCCTCAGCCCTTCTCGAACATGAACTTATGAACCTCCCACTAGTCCAAGCACTACTAAATGACCCTGCTCTTTCTGTCCGTCGTGCATGGGCTGGACCTCACTACCAGACTCCACCTGGAGATGCACCCTGGCGCAGTGGCCAAGTGTTTACTGCACATACACTACACCAGCCTGGTGGAATTGCGGCCAAGCCTGTTGTTTTTACAAATACAACGACCCGTGCAGCAACAATTGTGTTGCATGTCGGCCATAGAGTCACGGGTTTCCCGGCCATTGTCCATGGAGGCGTGCTGGCCACGCTACTCGACGAAGCCCTTGGCCGTACTGCCTTTCTATCTTTCCCTGAAAGTGCAGGTGTCACTGCTAACCTCAAACTTAAGTATAAAAACCCAACTTGGGCTGGCCAGTTCATAGTCATTCGAACACAAACAGATCAAGTCTCCGAGCGCAAGGCTAAAGTCTCCGGTAAGGTCATGACTCTTGGAGGGAAAACTCTTGTTGAAGCTGAAGCTCTTTTCGTTGTTCCTAAAAAGTTTAAACTTAAGCCAATGAAATGAAATAAAATGAAATGAAATAAACAAAAAAAATGGTACTTTTCAAATAATCATTACTAAAATCAATAAATAAATAACAAAAATAAATAAATTATTAATTTCTTTTTCAAGTAAATCTACCAGCTGATGTCGATGACAATGTGCCTGAAGATGTCGTCGAGGCTACCCGTGACCCTGGACCGCTTTCTGTGACTCCACGCGGCGCCAGATTCCGCCGCCGGTACAGCGACACAAAGTCTCGGATCAAGCTGCGAATCCTCTTCAAGTTACCCGACGTCAGTGCCGCAGCTACAGGCTCCAACAAGTTATTTTTCTCCACAACACCAACAGTTTCCTGTGGCAACCCATCCAATGCTGCTGCCACCCATGCCGTTCCTTGCGCAGGCCCAGCCAGCTGCAGAATGTTCATCATTAGTGTCGACGCGTCCGGTTCTGCATCTCTAGGTAGTGTGTGGATCAGCCCAAGCAGCAGCTTATTAAACAATTGTCCTCCACGCTCCGCAGCAAGCTCCAAAACTAGCGCCCGCACATTGTCTGGCACGTCCCGGAACGCTGACGTCGGTGGGTACCGTGACCCATATCCAAACAAGTCAATCAAAAACCGCAACACGCTAATCACTGGATCCTTTTCGTACAAATCCATGCCCAGCAATGCTGCTTCGTAAACTGGAATAAACAGATCTGACGACGTAATCAACCGGAACGGGAATGCAAGAACAACATCGCCCATCATGAGGAAAAAGTCGTCAATCAAATCAGGAATCTCCCTAAAGTCGGTAATAGTAGATAGGTATTGCAAAAACGAAATCATCTGGCGCTCAGCAAACTTCCACACCCCGCCCACAATCTGCTCGCCAAGATCGTCCATAGAAAACTCGCGGATAATAGACCCTGTGATCCACAAGTAGCATCCAAACCGTGTCTTTTCAAACATCTCCACAAGCTTTTCCGCAATCGCTGGTAATGCTTCCAATAAATCTGTTCGGCACTCCAAAATTGACGACCGCACAAACTTGCAATACCCCTCGGAAACAAACCGTGTGTTGCCGTGCTTATCAATAATGTTGTTCAAAATAGGCAGTACTTCCAGCGCAAACTTCGTCACAGGGTTCTGAGTGTGAATAGGCACGTCCACCCGAATGTTTCGAATAAACGCTTCAAGAAGATCAATCTGGTTCGCAATGTTGCGCTGAGTTAGAGGGTCTTCCGGCAGATTCGACAGCTCAATCAGACTTTTGCAGATTGGCTCGCCAAATCTATCAAGAGACTTTTCAATCTCTCCCAATGGTTGCGCAGCAATCACAAATGCAATACCTTTAGTAACCGTGTAGTATGATGCCCATGAAAGTGATGTCCCCACCTTGGACTTAAGTTGCTCGTAAAACGGGTATAGCTGATCAATATAATTCACCAAAAGTGGCCCACAATCGTAGCAAATCTCCCTAAGTGCAAGAGCTGCCGCGCTAACAACGTCAGAGCTTTCATGTGAAAAACCAGCCGTCACATAGTTGATTTGTGGCTCAAGCAAGTCTGGATGCTTCAGCGACCACTCAGTGTACCGGCCAATCACCAACGTCGCAGTGTACCGAATCTTGGGTTGTTCTGGAATGTTTTCAATCAACTTGATAATTAAAGGCATCACTTCGTTTTCGTTTTCGTCAATTTCACGGCCCATGGATCGAATGCCGAATAACGGCGCTTCAATAGACTGCCATAAAATAGGTGCTCCAGATGATTGGAGAGCGTCAACCATAATTTGATATGGAACCCGCAGCGCCCGAGTGCTGCCAACAACGCGGCAACAGTCCTTTAAAACATCTCCCATTTCATGACGGAACGATTTAAACTTCTCTTCGGCCTCACGGTCTCCATTAAATGCATCGCCAGAGTTATTAGCAATTGGGTATCTTAAATGTGTAATCAAAATCCCGATAAGTTGCAAGTAAATATCGCCCAGATCGTTGCGTGCTTCATTATAACGGTCTAAGGTAATCATCTCCTGCAGCTTGTTCCAAAAGTAAAACGTATATTTGACAACATCCAAGTCTTCATCATAAGCTGCACACTCGGCGATAGCCTCAACAAGAGAACGAAAGTCTTTTGGTGCTCGCGCAATGAGCATGTGCCACGCCTCACCAGCCTCAGTGAAAATCAATGTTAACCCTCTAAAAGTTTCCAAATCATCCTTATGTTGAATAATCAAAGGTCTCAAGGCAATAACTCTAGGATAAAGCGCCTCAATCATATCCTTCGACTCATCAACATCCCCAGTTTCTCGAATTATTGTACAGATGCACTCCACAACGGCATCAAACGTATATGGGTCATTTAACGCCTGGAAAAGCAAATTGAGAAAGGCAGGCTCGAAAATCAGTTGAGGATTAATCTCCCGCAGCCAAGATCTAAAACATTTGAAAATAAGGACTTTGTTGTTGTTATACTCGGTCGATTGTGTGTATGATATTAGCAGACGCATAACATCCTCCGCATTATTTGAAAGAAGTTCAGTTGCTCTAGCCTTAAATTCATCATCAGTAATCGGAATTCTTCTCGTAGAAGAAAGTTCTTCAGGCAACACCTGGAGAAATTCAAGTAAAGCTGGAATCGTCCCAGAATCTTGGCCCAACGCATTGACAAGCTCTTGGACAGCACCATTCCAATGCAGAAATTGAAGTGCAAGGTTGGCCAAAGCAAGAGCAAGCTGAACATTAATCACCTTGGCACTTTCCTTGTTTAAAACTATCAACTGAAGAAGAGACGTTTTCAAATTTAATCTGGCATCATCGGGAAGTTGATATAAATCATAAACGATCTTGGTTCTAATTGTCTGTGCAGCGATTAAACGAGCTTCAATCGGATAATTAAAATTTGATAATATATTGTGACTAATGGACCACGCTTCAGACTATAAAATAGGTTAACCAAGTCTCAAAATGAGAAAAAAAAATCACTTACCTTCTTCTGAAATTCTTCTAAAAACTTGTTAGCTTCTTGTATGATGTTGACAGAGGCATTAGGAGAATAAAGAGTGTTGAGTGCTTCAAGTACACGCTCCTCAGTGAACTCAGAGCTCTGACTCATGCTGTTCTAAAAATTGTATAAATATTATTTAAATAAAATAGCGGGATTGAATATGTTCCCTATGCAGTGATTCTATGGAAAGATCAATTAAAAAAAAAAACTGGAGATATTGTAAACGTGTTGCAGTGAAGGGGGAAGATTTTTTTTGGCAGTAAGTACAAAAATATCGAGGTTTGCTTTACAAAGGTTACCCCGTCTAGAAGTTCACAAACCACCACAAAAATCAAAAAAAATTTATTCACCACACCTTTAAAAAACAAATACGCAACGATGGCTCCACGACAACAGAAGGTGGTATGTATTAAAAAAAAATAAATGATATGATATGATTTAATCTGACATTTTTAGATGATCCCTCCGATCAATCTCCTGTTTACTTTTCTTCAATCACAAACACCGGTTCAAATTTGGTTATTTGAACAAGTCGACTCGCGTCTAGAAGGTACAATCAAGGTATGTTAATTGCAATCACTTAAAATAATATTCTAACGTGTATAAAGGGTTTCGATGAGTTTATGAATGTCGTCATTGAAAATACTGTTGAAGTGAACTATAAGAAAAATACTCGCAGAGAGCTTGGACGCGTTTTGCTCAAGGGCGACAATATTACTCTCGTGTCGAGCTTAGAAGGCGAGCCCAAATAAACGGCTCATTTAATGAAATGATATGATTCCACGATATGAATGTGACGGCCAAGTCACTCCTGCTACGACCCCCTATTAGCTAGAGATTTGGATAGAAAAAATCCTTGTTTTAACGATATGTACTACTATTATTAATTTTACACGTAAACATTTCTTACTCTTTTTTAAACAGTTGGTCGTCAATAATAACAACATCTAGAGGATGATCATGATCTTCTTGAGGAATAGACTCTACAAGCTGCTCCTTTGCTCCAATTCCTACCAAAAATGGCTTGACCTTGTTGTTTTCCGCGCACCATTTGGTATATTTAGAAATATAAGTGTCGTAAAACCCCTTTCCATGACCTATACGATGGCATCTCTTAGTGAATCCAAGCCCAGGGACAACAATTATGTCAAGACCTTGTAATGAAAGAGCTATTGAATGTTAGATTTGGAAAAGAAAATACATTATGCTTACCATCGGGGCTTTCTAACGGCGGCTCACGCAACTTGTAAGGACCATGTGGCACTAACGATAAAATATCTTCTGGAGATGTAACTTGAAGCATATTTAACTCTTTTTTATGTGACTTGAATAAAACCCCATGGTGCTTTTCAGGGAGATCCACAATTCTTGGAAGATACACAAGCTTTCCTAAAAAAACTGTTATTATTGATCGACTCTAAAAATCCAGAAAAAAATACCCTGTTTGAAAGCATCATCAGTAATGAAATTGGTTTCTATTTCATGCTCGTCCATATGTAAATAACAAGCAATGCTTTTAGCAGCTTGATATTCTGGAAGCGACTTGAGAATGTTGAACACATTGCGAGCTATGAATGGTTAATAGTTATAACTGCACCTCACTTTAAATCACATACATTGAGCCGTGATTTCAGCAGCACTAGTTTTATGAAGATTGCTTTTAATAAGTTTCCGAAGCTCCTTTTTTGCTATGTGGTGAGTCATCGTGATAAAGTAAAGTGTTTTGTGCTTTTTGACAGTGATGAACAGGACCCAATATTCAACGAAATGAGTTTGTTACAACACGGCTGGTTTTCGGTTACAAAAAAGATGTACCAAGTCAAACAAAGCTTATAACTATGGGCTTTGTGTTTGACCAGAATCTCCATCTCATTAAAACCCATTTTCAGTCTTCTAAACACTGTAGAATTAAGTTATTTTGTTGAATTTCGGCCTTTAAACCTGTAGCTATTAATTTTATAAACTTGAACTGCATTTTGTAAATTAGTTTTGTTTTTAAGTTTCTTTAAATTTACATTCAAATAATTTGTAACAATTTAAACGCCGTGAACATAGGCATAGAAAATTTTAATGTGCTTTTAATTGGAGTTTCAGTGAAAAACGTATTAGCTGAAAAAAATGAATTTTTTTATTTAATTTGTAGTTATAAAACTCGAGTTTTTTTTTTCTTTTCACTTTGGTCTACATTTTTAAAGATATTAATGGGAACTAAACCTGACTAGCTTTCAATCTTTAAGAGAAAAAAACTATTTTCTTTAATTTATATCTTATACTTTTAAGTATATGGTAGTCTATACTTAAGAATTTAATTTTTTTTAAAATAATGAACAAGTTTCGACACAAGAAAATGACTGTGATTCAATTTTCTAAATGGTCTATTGTTCAAAAAATCAATGCATTAAAGCGTTAGACATCCCGCCTAATATGATTTTTTTACCCTTAATTTAAAAACGAAATTATTTAACTCATAAAAATTTGTTAAAAAGGGTTTAAAATCATTGCTTTTTTTTGAAAAAATCCTTGATATAATAATGGCTCAAAATATTTTATCCTAGGATACACAGCCGCCAACCACTACAGTTACTGTTTCTCAATAACTAAATGTATGCCCATAAGCCAAAAAAAAAAGTATGACTATTTATGAAATCAATAATATTTTTTTTTAAGGATTTCTACTAAATTATGTTCAAATATAATGGATGCTTCAAGCATCATGTAAAGATTTGTTTTCAACGTAAGACATTACTGAGTATACTTAATCAGCCTAGATAGGTTTTTTTATAAAAAACCGTAAAAGATGAGCTCCGACAATACACGATTCAAGAACTAAACTTGGAAAATTGAAACAGTATTTATATTCATAGTATTATTTTCATATATTCACACGATGGTTAAGAAAAACTATGTATATACGTAACTTATATAAGTTTTTATTGTTATTTTGACACTTTCGATGTTAAACTAAATTACTATGAAATACCAAGGCTTCAATAATAATGTTTTTAGGAATAGATACCCTGAATATTTGTAAAATCGAAATTAACAAGTTGCTCTGTTATGATGTTTTTAAATTTACAGCGTTAACGAAACACCCTTTTTATGACAATCACTTGTAAGTACTAAGGTTTAATAACCGTAGAAATCCAAGTCTTGAAATTTTTTCTTAAAAAGCAAAACATAATATTTTATGCTTAAACAAAAGTGTAAGAGTTCACAATAGTTTATAAGTGTTATCCATGAATTCAAACTGTAAAAAAGTATTGAGAAATTTTAGGGTTTCAATAACTAAATTGACTTAATAGTTATTGAGCTTTTGCACAATAACACATTAAGTTGAAGAGAGGTAATACATATTAATATTAGTTTCAAAAACATTTACGAAATTATTTCATCCCAAATGCAATATGTGAAAACAAATAAAACTTTTGAGAAAAACAGAAATTTCAATATTATAATTACCTTTTTTTGAATGAAACATGATTTTTTTAAACACACTATTGGTTTTTTAGCAAAAGTATGAGAAAAAAATTAAAGGTTATAGTTTGATTGAAGATAAAGATAAAGTTAAATCCAACTTAACTTAAATTAACATTTAAAAAAAGTTAACAAGAATCAATATTTGTAAAATTGAATTAGCTGTGTTGTTTTTTTTCTAAAAAAATGAAGGTTCGGTTATTCTGTAAAATTTTAATCATTCTGGAAATTGTTGAAATAGAGGTAGACTCTAGGTACAGGTGTTAGAAATAAGAATTCTTGGAAATCCTAACAAAGAATTTATCAAAAATTCAAAATCATAGCTTTATCTTTGAATTATTCCCTTTTTATTCATATCAAATCGTACTTTCTAAACATAATAAATTAGAAATATTTTAAGCAGTATGGATCAAATTACTAACCGGCTGAATTAACAGAGTTCACAATATTTTTCAATACTGTAAATGATGTGCTTTTGTGCCTAAATTGATTTCAACTTCAACTTCAAATTCAAATTCAACCACAATCACATTAATATTTTGTTAATAGCTTCAAATTGTAACTTTGGATATAAACTAAAAGTTGTGAGCATCAATAACTTTTTCATCTAAAGTAGTTTGTTTGTGTGATATTGTGGCTTTCTACCAAGCAACAATAGTTGTTTACAAAAGACAAAAAACATAATAAAGGAAGTATTACCTAAGTTTGTTTTACTTTGAGTGAGCAACTTGTCCATCACTGATATACTTCATTTTTAAAAATATAAAAAACTTTTTTTAAAAATAATATCAAAAAAGTGTTAGCCAAGATTCCCTAGAAATTTACCAAATGGCAATTTTGAAAATACCAAGTGATGTGAAATAAGTTATGAGATTGCAAGGCTTGTAAAAAAAGGAACTTCCCCAATTTTTGTTTGTGTATTGAATGACGCCAGGCTCTGCCACTTTAAATTTACTAATCAAAAAAAATCTTCTTTGTTTTGCACCTTCAAATATATCGTCAGGTTTCATTTTTTAATGGTTTTTAAAAAAAAAAACTTCAATTGCTAATAAACTACACTAAAATTAAAGGGGGATTACATCTTTAATATAGTTCTTAAAATTACTCAAATTATTGATTAGAGTTGAAGTTTTTGAAAATTTTTCTTTTTTTGTCTACAAAATAAAAGGGTGCCATGATTTAGAAAAGAGCAATTGCTTATTTAGGCCCATGAAAGTAATAACAAAAAATGGTACATTTTACTGGAATGTCAGCAGCTAACCAAACAGTTGACAAATGATCCAGTTTGATACTTTAAGCCATACTCTCATTTCTTTTTTCATTTTTATTTTGCTCAGATATGTCTTCTAATCACGTGTTTGAGGTTTGCTCACATTTAAAATTTAGGATCGAGTTACCGGGTTCAGAAACAGCAGTTTTATCCTTGAAAAATCCAGACCTTAAGGCACCCTTTTCAAGGACCAAACCATGACAAATGAAATTTTCATGAGTTTTGATGAAATTTTCATTTGTGAAATGAAAAAATTTCAAACTATGATGGAAAATATTAGTCATATGCCTCATGAAAGAAAAAAAAATGAATCTGATCTATTGAACCAGTCACCCAAAATAGATTTCTCGGCAGAAAAAAAGAGGAATATTCACAAACGTTATCTAAGAAATTTGTTATTTAGAAAAATTTCTTACAATTATAAAAAAAATTTTTGCCACCAAAACCTAGAATTAGAACGAAAAACAGGTAGGTAAGAAATTTTCGTATTATTAAAAAAAAATAGATCCTAGAAACTTTGGGGGTGATGGGGGCATATTAAACAAATGAAAAAAAATCAAATTTAGTGCCAAGTACTTTGTAACGAGTTACTTGGGTTATCTATAAATTAGTGAGATAACAGTTGGGGGGTCAATTTGTTGGCCAATAGAAAAAGATTTTCAAATACAAAGTTGTCGGTACGTATCTTTATTAGCCAATTATTATTTTTAAAAAGTGGACTAGACCTTTATAAAGAATTGTTTTTTATCTCAACATTATTAACTATGTTTAGATTATTTTCAGATAAATAGAAATATTTATATAATGAAGATTTTTCCATTATCATGAATATACGTAATGATACAATGCAAAAAAAAATTATAATTATAATTATAATGAAATGAAATGAATACTACTTTTCTTATTTTGACCTATAATTAAGGTCACGATAAACATCCCCATTGCAAATAAATTTTTTCAGAAAGTTCTTTCCTAATGCGGAGCTTTGTAATGTTACTTCCAAACTTTCGAAAAATCATGTTTTTTTTGTCTTCTTCAGTTGCCTCTTTATCATATGCATCAACCAAAGAACGAGGAGTAGGATAAGAGTTTTGAATCATTTTTGCCTTTTCCAATGTGACTCCTTTTATCACTTGCAACATTCTAATGTAAAGTTCTTTAACTGTGACCATTCCAGATTTTGATAAGGCCGTCTGAAAAACTTCAAAATCAACGCCAAGACATAAATTACCTTCTCCCATAGGTTCGTTGCACATTGATGAGTTAATTTGCCCATTTTTCTTTCGGGAATCTATTTTCATCCGGGCCCTCAAAATGGCATAGCGGTAAGAAGATGGCGTCGAAATTCGAGGAATAATAAAATAGAGATCAGTTCCTCGATATTCATGCTCAATTCTTTTAGTCATCATGGCCAAAAATGTCACAGTGGATTCTGAGCTTGCTGTTCGCTTCAAAAAAAAGTCATCTACCGTAATTGCTTGAGACATGGCAGTAGCAATGGTTTGAGAAATTGTCGCAGTACGTTCATTTATATTATATTCTTCAATAAGGTAAGTAATATTGCTTATACCAGTTTTTTTAAGACGATGTTTTTGTTCAGAGAACCGACCATCACGGATAGATGAAAGCAAATCATCAAGACGCTTTCGTTCCAAAATGAAGTCTAATACAGCTACTTTCCCAGTCCGTTTATGACGTGCGATCCACACAACGTCACTAACTGCTAATGCTCTTTCTTCTACTAAAACACCTTGCTCTTCTAGTTTATTGATAAAGTAGTTTCTGTCTTCTACTGAGCGAACCTCACGGTTGTCAATTAAAAGACCAATCCTGTAGTCATTACTCCCCCAAATCACTCGATCATAGCGGCCATCAGCTCCAATTTCCTCAATTTGTCGAACCATTTCACAGTCTTCTATATTTTGTTTTATTGGTGAGCTTTCTGGCAAAACAGGAAGCGAAGTGATAGTATTGGCAGTAGAAATTGAATTTCCTTGGATCCCTGTGAGTTGAGTAAGCCTGCGAAGTTCAGCACGAACTTGACTATTAGGTGTTAATTTTGATTTTTCAAGTCTCCAGGCATCTTGAAGTCCATTTGAATTGTTTTTAGGAGTTTCTTTAGAATTCAATTCAATGGTATGATTTTTATTTGGGGTTGTTGCTGAAAAAGAAGCTAAAGTGCTTGGCGGGCGTATAATTTCTTCAAAATCGTCATCACTTATATCAATGTCTATAAAGTCCCCGACAGTCTGCGAAGCAGATGCTGATTGTGGGCGAGAAAACGCACTATAAGAGTTGGAAAAAGATCCAGGAGCCGAAGTTGTGAGCGGGGTATCTTTCTTTGCCGCCTTTTCCGCCTGAAGAATTTTGTCGGCAAGTAACATTCCTTCATCGGTTATGAAAAATTTAGGGTTGCGAACGGCGTTTTTGTAAACCAGGCCCTTTTCAATAAGTTTTTTGATACTATTCCATGCCGAGTAGCGCCTTCCAGCATGAAAATCACTTTGAAAAGACTCATTAGAAAGATGATGTGCAATACTGGTAATTTCGTCTCTAGACATGCCATTGCTTTTGCCATTTATTTCAGCATTATGGAATAAGGTAATTAAAATAGCATAGCCTCCTGAGCCAGGGCGGGGTATATAAGTTCGAGTTGATTTTTGACGTTTTGATTGTCTAGAGTCCGTTTGTTGTGATTCTGAAGATGCGGCTGCATCATCCTCAATATCAATGGATATTGGGATTGTAGATGTTGTTGTGGTATTACTTTTTCTAGATTGAGAGGCCACTGGACGCCTAGAGCCTATACCAGAAACAGCCAGATCAGGAGTAGATGCTGTAGTTGTTTTGTATGGATTTGAAGCAGACAAGGTCGATCGAGGAGGATCAACAATAGAGTTTGCGGGTGTTTTTCTTTTCCGTTGAGAGGTAGTAGCGGCTCTAGATCTTCCAATACCACCGGTAGTAAAGTCAGGTGTAGAGGTTGCTGTTGTGCGGTATGGGTTGCTTGCAGATAAAGTAGGAGCAGGAATATCAGGAAGTGTTCGAGATCTTGCAGCAGAGGAAGAGTTTCTAGCTCTTTGAGATTGTTGATTTGAAGAGTCGTAGTAAATATCAATTGATCCAGTGGATGAATGTTGTGATCTAGATCGTTGTGGAGCAGAAGCTGATGAAGAATCAGATTCAGGCATTGGGATACTTTTTGCATTGCAGTATTTTTGCATTTTTTTCTCGAGTTTTTGACATATAGCTGGTCCAAAGAACCGAAGCTCGACGAGTTTTGAAGGATGGTCGAATTGCTTTGGGCATTGCATGAGAGATGTTTGGGCACGCTTATAGATGATGGGTCTGCTTGTTTTGTTAGAAGCTACGGCTTCTTCATAAATCTCTTGAAGCCACTCAACAAAAAGGGGATTCCATGATGCTGGAGGTCCAACCATCGTTATGATGTTTTTTGTTACTTTTTAAAGATATGTCTATATTTTATATTATCGTGATCTGACAAAATGACGTTGGATTTAATTATTTTTGGACGAGAACAAAAGGAACATAAACAGTAGATTTTGTTACATAAATGTTACAATGACTTTTGTTACAATGAGGTTTTCAGGAGAATGTCAGTGTGAGATCCTATTTAAAATTTCTTTTTATGTAATTTTTTTTTTTTTTTGGACCACGACAATTAAAATAAATTACATAAGCCACCGGTGTGCTTTAGTCCAGCAAACAACGTTTACAACTGCCGTTTCCCTAACGACAATTTTATTTTTTTTAATCAGAAAGGGGCGGCTGCTGCCTCAGCGCTATCGGTAGGGTTTTGAGCCAGTCATCGGACCCAAAATAGGAAAAACTGGAGCCTCGTTCATGGCTCCGACTGTGCCGACAATATAAATTGAACAAGAACTAGTATATATAGAAAATGACATTATTAAAAAAAAAAAAAAAAAAAAAAACAACTGATATATCATTGATAACGATACGACAAACTTTAAATGAAATCTTTATTTATCTATCAGCTTGACGTGACACGTTTTCTCATTCCAAAGTTCATAGCCCGGTCAAGAAATTTTCGATAGTTCCCCGCGATGGTGTAAACTACCCAACTTATCTTTCTGATAGTAGATTTTTCTGCGGAATTTTATCCTAAAGTATTTTGTGACTAATATTTACATCTTGTTGGTGCACCACCGACACTACGGATCAGTAATTCAGTAATTAATATCATGATATCAAGGAGCCTTTTGTGGATCTGACAGAGAATCTTTTTTGTAAACAATGAACATCATTGACAAAATGTTTTAATGAATCTGAGGCATCTATAAATATATATGTTACCCATATAATTTAGTGTTCCCTATTCTTTCAATTCTTTTCAAAATGTAGCATTCTCTTTCTGAAATTTCAGACAAGAAGGTCAACGGTTTCATTTTGCCGGTTAACTATATAGTTTATAATGATGATTATATTTAACTTAATTGAAATGGTGCCAGTCTTTCATGGACCTACTGTATATTTTGAAACCCTCCAATGATTTCGAAGTTACATAGCCGAAGCCTCCCCGCAAAAAAAGAGAGAAAAAAGAAAAAAAAAATAGAAACAAATTACAAAGAACCCTTATTCACTATCTCTTATTTATTACTAGATTCCGCTCCGAAGATGGGTATCCACGATAGGAAAAATGCTCGGTCTAAAATGGTGACTTACGTACTTTAAGTAGTAATGTTGGTAACTGTCATTGAGATTTGAGAGCAAGATGGATTTAACCCCAACCCACCACCGTTACTCACGAGATACTTGCATTAATTTAGCTTAAATAGTAGTAGGCCTGCCCTTTTTTTTTTTTTAATTTTATTTTAATTTTTTTTTTTTTAAAAAACCCTCTTTCTTCCTACACATTCTTTTTTTTGTTTCATTATTTAACGGTTGAATACATTTCCTATTTTTCCCTTTTAATTTTGAAAAAAGATTTTGATCTTTAATTTTCTTTTTTTGATCTCACCATTTTTTAAATATAAGAAATAAAGTCAATCTCAATTTTTTCCCTAATATTTCATACAATTCTTTTTTCTTCTACTTAACTAGCCTTTTTGGTTTTTTGTGGCTTTTTTTTATATTTATCCTACCGTCCCCGCTATTCAAACGCTCTTTGGATTTTTTTTTTTTGAAAAAATTTTTCAACAACAAATGCCTAGACGTAAGGTATGTTACTTATATTTCTTTTTTATTATCATTAACTAACTGTATTTAGGTTGAAGGAAAAGTTATCAAAAGACGTAGTAGAAATGGCTGCCATAATTGTATGTTTTTTTTTGTTTCATTAGAAATCATCTACTCCTACTAACAATTTTCATTAATACTTTAGGCAAAAGATTAAAAATAAAGGTAAATAAATACTCATTGTACTCATTGTACTCATTTTCACTCTTTTCAATATGTTGCTAACAATAAGAATAGTGCGATGAAGCCAAACCTACTTGCAAAAATTGTACCAAGACCAATACCACCTGTGACTATTCCATCAAACTATCCTGGGGTGGTCGACCTTACAAGAAACCTCGCGTTGACACATCCGACCAGTATACCGCATTGGTGTCCGGTCAGAAGGCTGCCATCAAGTTAGCAGATCAAGATGACATTGACGATATGATATTTTCCGGGTTTGGGGACACCTCTATGCCAGCATCTATCAGAAACATCTCCCAAGTTTTTAAACCTTCTCCTTTTCAGCAACCAGTCACTATTGAGTCATTCATAATGGAGAAACCCGACATTTTTTACACAACTACAAAAATCGACGAAATTGATGCACTTAGCACCCCTCCTTCTTCTCGACGTGGTTCCCGTGAAACTGAATTTGTTTCTGCTAATGACAATAAATTGTTTACTGATAATGAAAAGCAGAAATCTTCTGAACCTTCAACGGTATCTAACTCGGAGGTTCCTTCTGCAGTCACTTCTCCCAAACCAGACAACTTGTTGGACCTGGTGTCTAATATTAATGACTCTGGTTCAGCTGTCAATGTTGAAAATGCCGCACCAACAGAAATTACAAACAATAATATGCTTTTTGATAATTTGACTGCTACCCCTCATCCACTATCCTTCACCAACTTAAGCGACCTGAACTTTTCTTTTGATTTAAAGAATAGCCGCCCAGATTCAGGTGACAACCTTAACATTCAAGCTACCGGTCAATCTTTTACTGTTTCCTTAACAGATGATAAGCAACTTACAATCAGTTCTCCTCTTGACCTTAAGGAATTCGATCTTTCCACTATTGACGATTTTGAAACAGACCTTGCTGCTCTGCAGTCTACCAATTTTGAATATTCTTCTCTCATTCAATTACCACTTCGTGATTCTGGCTACTCAAACACTCCTTCGTCTACAGAGGAGTCTCCTGCCAACTACGATTCACCTGAACTCAATCCTTATTCTGACAATCATTATGACACTATTCCCCGCTCATTGGAACCACTTCCCGATTTACTGCTGGCAGTCCCTACTTATCGAGATCTCTTCCATCATTATGTTTATGTGACAGCAGATATACTTGTCCCTGCACCCATCATCTATCCACAAAACCCCTTCAAGACTATCTTACCAGCCATGGCTCTTCAAACCCCTCATCTTTTGGCTTTACTGTTGGCCTTTTCTGCACACCACCGTGCACGTTTCTTACGAATGGAAATACCCAAGCAAGTTATCTCTAGACTTTTGGCACGCGTGTTTCAAGGTTTCATCAGATGTCTGGAAAATGAAACTGAAGCTAAAAGTGATACTACTCTGACAACAGCCATTCTGCTAACATCATTTGAAATCTTAACGTCTGGTGGTCGTAACTCCTGGAAGACACATATGCATGGTGCTCGCGATATTGTGATTGCTAGAGATTTTGCTCAATCTCTTATGGAAAAGAGCTACTTTTCCTTTGACTTTACCAAATCTTCGAGTTCTGGTACAAATTCCTCAACTCCTCAACATTCTTTCCCAAGCACTAGTCCCAAATTATCACTTAATGAAACCATTTCAAGCAACGTTATTGGTCCTAAACCCCTTGGTGTATTAAGATCAGATATTGACGAAACTAATGTTTCTTTCTTCTTGGTCCGATGGTTCGCTTATCTTGATGTTATTGGCTCTTTGTCATCCTTCAAAGCCTCGGCATTTCTTACGACTAGTGAAGACATGGCCCAGCTTTGGGGATTACATGACTGGCATATTGCAAGAATTAAGCAACGTTCTCTTGAGGAAATTCAACACTCGCGGTCATTACCACCTACTCAACCTCAAACTCCAGAAGCTATCCAGTCTGATGGTGAGATTTTGGATGTTAGTGCACGTCATTATGGTATAAAAGTAGATTTCCTTTTGGGTATTGATCTTGATGTACTACCTCTCTTCTCCAAAATCAGTTCCTTAGTACGTCAGAGACAGCGGTTAACTGAAAGCTTGAAGATGTTTCTCAGTAACAATCCTAATGCAACTGAAGAGAACTCAGAGTACATTAGGGTTTGGAAGAATGATGATCAGAGTCTAAAATCAGAAGCCTTAGAACTTTCTGATATTCTCTTGTCATTATGTGAAGCATATGAACTTCGACGTAAACAATACATTACCAATGCTATTGGAATAATGGAACGCAAACGCCGCGACTCAAACTCATCTTCACCATCTTCAAACTCAAGCTCACCAACAAACAACAAGGACTCACCTATTACTAATAACAATTACCCCACCAACGCTGATGCATTTGATTATACTTCCATATTTGGGAATACCGTTCCTAAACAGGTTGAAACTTCAGTATCAGCGACAGTTCAAAACAATTCACTGCTAAATAATCCGAATGAGTTTGTTTTTTCTGCTGAAAGTTTGGAAAAGCTTAATATTGCATTAAAAAAGACTGAGGATGTTATGCCAGCAGTGTCGCAGCTTCCGGCATCAGTTCAGGCACACTCGCAGTTATCTATTATGAATACCACTTTCTGTTATGCTGCCATTCTTCATTTGTACCGTCGTGTGATGAATCTTCCTTCGTATTCGCCAATGGTTCAGAATATCGTTAAACACAACACCAAGCTGCTGACTCGTCATATACCTCTTGGTTCCCCTGTTGAAGCTTGCATGAGTTTCCCTGTTTTCACCATTGCTTGCGAAGTATTGGAGCATGACCAAGAAACTCGGAAAAAATACTGGCTGCGGCTCAAGGGAATGGACCGGTTTGGTGTTGAGCAAACATCAGTTGCACGTAAAATGGTTGAACGATGCTGGAAAGAAAAGCGAGATTGGCCTGATGTGATGCAAGAGATTGGCTGGGATATTGCGCTAACTTAAGCACGTTGCTGAAATAATGTTAATGATGAATGAATTGTAATGTGATTATGTTGTTTTTGTTTTATTTAGTTTTATTTTCTGTTTTTTTTATGCATTTTTAATGGACTTTTGTGTATATTTATATTAGAATTGGAAAAAAAAAATTGTGGCCTGTTTCAAGAGCAATCCGACCAAGTTGTTAGGTGGGAATATGGTTATTTATATTCTGGAGCAATGGAATCTGCTCATATCGCCTCAATTTTCCAAATTGAGTAACAAAAACCGATCTTGCTGAGCAAATATTGACCCACAATGACGAGGCTTAAGCTTTTTTTTTTTTTTTAATTTGTGAGCACAAAAACACACGCCATTGTGTGGCCACACAATACAAAAATGTCGCCACATGTACGTAACGTTTAGCGCCTATCTCCGAGCAAAAGACCCGATCTAATCCCAAATGTGTGTCCCGGCCACAACTGGTATATCGTTGCGAATCTCACAAAACTTCAACACTAAAATTACTTTCAACGTCTATACAATTTTTTTTTTATATCTGAAGGTTCCGTCCTAATCGTTTTTTGTCCCCGGCGGCCATTTGCAGTGTCGTTATATAAATACTATACTTCATCATTTCCTTAAGCAAGTATGTAAACTTGTCTTCCCAATTGCCAAATACAAGAGGCATCACGGGTAGTGACGTTTGGTTTTTATAGGCTCCTCCCAGTAATGCTCCAACAGCAATATGACTGTGGTAGGCTTCTTCAATAGTCTTGGAGTAACGATTAAGCACGTCAATTTGAGCCTGTTCACTGAGTCCAGACATAATTAGAGACGCCATAGGTGCACTCCACTTGCTCAGGTTTATTCGCTCGTTGTTTATCATCAACACATCACTTGAGCTTGTGGTCAAAAAGTATCGCGAGCCGCTGTAAATGACCACCAATCCACCTGTGGTTGTGTATGAATTAAGCTGTTTCAAGCGATCTTGCACAAACTGTCGTTGAAACGATGGATGGTGCGCTAGAGGTGTTGATTTAGTCGTCATATAGCGGGCATATTCTGCTGTGGCTGCGCTTGCGGCTTCCGATTCAGTGCGCAATCGTGGCAAAACCATTTGTTCAGATTCATCATTAGATGAGGTTGCAAAATCCGAGGCAACGGGTGTTGTTGATAGTGGGAAATTGTACAAAACCTTTGCAGCGTCAACAAGCCCTAATGTCATGAGCTTTTTGTGTGCAGATCCCAAAATAAAGCTATTAAATTGCGCCACAATGTCGGGATGATCAAAATTGGGTGATTGGTGGGTACCATTCCCGCCATTAGAACTATGGATACTTGATGCGGAAGAGTTTAAGGACTTGACACCAATCCTACTATGTTTGGAAATAAATTGAAGAGACGGAAGTGACTTTTTGTGTGAAAGTGTTTCTCGTGTTGAAGAACCGGACCGAGAAAGACAGGATGCATCACCATAAGATTTACTTGGAGAGTGTCCGGGTTTTGATCCTCTCGGGGTATGAAATATAGTATTTATGGGCTTATCCCAACCATACTCACTAGAACTGACGGCCTCTAGCAAAGGTTCTTTGGAGACCCGGGCAGCCCAATAATTACATGAGTACACAAACTCTTCTGCAATTTCCTTTGTCCCCGCATTAAACAATAGCACACCTTTATTTGGCATTAACAGAGCCCACTTTTTGCTTTCGTCCCGATTGCCTAAGCTGGAACTGCTATTGCTAAAGACATCTAAATTGGTAAAACTGTTATTGCTACTACTGTTATACCCAGAGTGATTGTTGCTTGATCCATTCCCGGGCTTTTTACCTTTACTTATAATACCTTTGGGGAGCATATCAAGAATGTCATTTCCATCAAGATCAGTGTGGACTATCTGGGCTATTGTATGACAAAGTGAAATGCTATCTGTCATTGTTGCATTTTCAAGCCAGTTCCCGCTTCCAACTTGCTTCACTTCTTCATGGTGCTTTCCTAGGCCATTATAATTATTGGATTGGCTTTTGGGAGTTCTGGAAGTGCTGTGACGATGACGGTGTGTTTTTCGCTTGGGTTGGTTATTGCTTTCAGTATCTGAAAGAGAACTCATGCTACCCTTATCAGCCATTTTTCGTCGCCAAAAGTCGCCAAACCCATGCCGCTTAGATTTTGAAAGAGATGATAAGTTTCCAGAGCCTTTATGATCAGTTTTATCAAAACGAAACATTCGCAAATACCCTTGCTGAACAACAACAAATACCCTAGACCAATTACTTTTGTTTGATCCATTGCTACTGGATCCACTGCTGGAATTGATGTTTCCTCCTTGTCTGAATTTCTTGTCAGTGTTGTCCATGTAAACTTGTATTTCTAGTAATCCTTCTTTCCCCCATGGAGCACCGTGAAGTAGCAGATCTTCTTCCCTGATTTCTTTTTTGGCAGGTTCTTGAGAAGGTTGTTCTATGCTCTCATAAATACTAAATATTTCAGAGCTTGAACTAGGCAAGATTGTAGATTCTGCAAACGGCGCAAATGCTGAAAAGCTATGGGGGTTCACGCTAGATGTAGGGAACTCATTGATAATTTTATAACGCGTATCAAGACCATAACTATCGTTGCGTATCATTGATGATGGAACATTCATTGCAGTTGGAAGTGATAGTGTAGATGCTGAGTTTTTATTTGTAGAAGGGTTGAAGCGCATTATTCCACCAAATTGTTCTCTGAGTTCCGGTGTAGAAGGTTTGCTCTCAATCTTTGAATGATTAAATTGCAGAGAGTTTTCATTGATGGAAGAAAGAGATGATTTACAAGACACTGAAGAAGACATTGTTGTATTTGCTGTTCCAGAAGACCTTGTATTTGTAGGAGATATAGTAGAACCAAAAGATACGCTATTTGAGAGAGAACCATGCTGCTCAATATCTTCGGGTATAGATGAAGATCGCATATGTGTTGCATTTCTTTTAGCCTTTTCTTGTTCATCGCGTTGTATGGAACTCCATAGTGCACCTGCAAATCCAATCGTATGCTCTTTTGTTGATCTCTGTTTGTTTGTTCCTGCATTGAAATCATTATCTGGAGTGGGAAATGGGTTATTATTGGCAATGGCATCTGAATAATCATAATCCGACCAAGATTCTGAGGAGGCCATCCAACTGTTTCTGCGACTGTTTGAAGTTTTTGGACGCAATAAGCTAGTTCCCAAGCCCAAATTGTTGGACAAGTCTGTGGTATTGGAGGCATTACTTGAATTTGTATTAGCACCTTTACCTGGAGCCAAAATCAAGGGACTCACATCGACCGAGTTATAAATATTTTTCAAAATCCCACCTACAATTGATTCCCATTCTTTTTGACTATAATTGGTGTCGTCATTGACCAAAGCTAAGTTGTCTGATTTGGAAACTGTAGGTCGGGAGGGATACTCTTTGCGAGAGTTGACAGAAAGAGTCCGACGGATTTTCATTGCTTGGTCTGAAGATTGGAGGCTTCCTACATTAAAAAAAAATTAGTAAAAAAATAAGATTGGAAAAAAAAAAAAAACAAATTTAACTTAATTCTTTTTTTAAATAAGTACCTTTATTGAGTGACTTGGTTTGCTTTTCTTCTGCCAAGACAAGATTTTTCATTGCTTCTAAAGTTGATTGGATATATTGTGACCTTTGCATTTTTTTAACACCTTGATTAGTTTCTGAATGATGATCGGTATTAAGTAAAAGGATTGAGTAAGCCAAAGTGTAAACTGCTGAAACGGATTTAAGCTTATGGTTTGGGTTGCATTCGCACCACCGCTCTGAAAAGGCGTCCACGATACGGTCGAGCTGTTGTGACTCAGCTTTCATGTAAAGTTTTTCGCATAGAGTGCGCATAGAATAGAGAATAGAAAAGTCTGAAAAATCAAAAAATGACATGTATTCTTTAAGAACTGCAGCCTTTGATTCTCCTACATCTCCCAGCCATGACGCTGTTTCAATATGAGGGATAGTAGGGTTTGTACCATAATAAAGTGATTGTGCAATTTCATAAGTTGAATTAGATAGTAATGGCGGTGGTGTGGATGAGTTTAAAGGCAAGTTTTTTAAAGTAGAAGTTTCAATAGATAGAAGCATATTTGCGGGTGCTGTATGATACTCAGTAGTATTTGTAAGAAATGACGACTGGGTCATATCTGGAGATAAGTCAAAGAAATTAGCGCTTGAATCTGATTCTGAAGTCAAAATGGTTCTAGGAGTCACAGATTTGGGGACATCTGTAGGAGGAAGTAAATTTGAACGAGAATGGGGGAAATAAGTGTCTTCGAAGAGGGACTTGAGGGGTGATTCAAGTTTGATAAGCTTATAAGTATTAGACCCGCTCTTGTCATTCAAAGTATTTGTGCAGTTTATGGTGTGGGTGGAGTTTCTTTTAATCCACTTATCTGTTTGAATTAAGGGATCATCAAATAAAGAAGGTAACGAAGATCTTCGGCGTTCAGATGTTGAAGGTGATTTAGTGTTTGGGTCGATACTTTCTTTATGTTCAGGAAGTTTTTTAGAAGAAATTGGAGTGAGGGCATTGCCTGAACTATTTAACAAAAACTGTTGATTAATTGGAGTGTGATAGTCTGTAGTATCCTCATTACTACTTTGAAAGGAGTCGTTCTCGTCATCTTCTTCAAATCCAAAATGAAGTGCAGGGCTTTTTACTGGAGGAAATGAAGTATTAATAAGAAGATGCTCTCGTGATTGAATAATTGTAGAGTTTGAACAAGTTTCATCAATTGTAAAACTATTCCCATGGAAGTTACTGCTTTTTAAATCTGGCTTAGATTTTTGAAATTCTCCTGGAACCAAGTGCTTAATGTTATTAAGAGATTCTCCTCTACTGGATTGTATAAGTGTAGGATATGAAATCTGTTTTTTTTTAATATTTTTTGTTAGTTTGTATTTCAAAAAAAAAAAAAAAAAAAAAAAAAAAAAAAGAAACAAATTAACTTTCTTACCTTCCCCTTTAACAGCTTGGTCTCGATATTTTGATTGTCGAAAGAGTGGCAGTTTGTGTTTTCTTGTTCATTTGAAGAAAAAAAGACCCGTTTAAATATACTGCTCATTTTGGGCAAAAATGAAGTGATTATATCATGAGAATGGAGTTTTTTGTTTTTATATACTTTGGTTAAAAGTCAGGTTACCTAAAGATAAATTATTCCTTTTAATTTTAAATGGCAAGTCGGGGAACTCTTTAAATATATACCTTTTCAACATTCTAGTATTTTTTTTTATTTCTTTTAATTTAATATCTCGTTAAAAGATAACTTGAAATTGGCTAGCCTAGTAAGGCTTTGAATCTAATTTAAAGAAGTTTGTTTGTTTGTTTAATATTTTCATTCATTCATTTAGGTAAGAGGAAATACCAATTTTTCTCCATGATTCATGCAAATATCTTTTTTTTTTTTTTTAATTATGAATTAATCTCGTGCAAGAATGATGTTTATCATTACAATAAATTTGAAAACGGTTTCTTTAACACTTTTTAGAAGAAACTAATTGATAAGAATGATCAGCAAAGGAAAAAAAAGAAAAAAAAAAAAAAAAAAAACGGAAGCAATAGCCTACATAATGGATACCCCAGAATTAAAGTCTCATTAAACGAGAAAGTTCAAGGGACACACAAAAAAAAAGTTGCGATTAAAGAAACGCATGAATAATAATGAACAAGGGGTAAAAAAAAAAGCAGTATTAATTTACAATGAGACAAAATGTGTATATATTAGAAGATTTTAGCAAGATCTTTTTTTTTTTTATATATGAAAAAGATCTATATACATATATGAATTTGATGAGCCTTATTATTATTGTTAAAATCGAGTTAGTAGATTTTTCTTTTTGGAGTATTTCATTATTGATAACTAGTATAAATATAGGCATGAATTTAAATCTATGAAAAACAAAAAGTTGGGCACAATTTGATCTACTTAATATATATATATATATATATATAGTATGGGAACCATTCTAGAAGTTCAAACAGACTAAGATCTTCAATGGAAAGAATAGCAGATCATTTCTGTTGTTTGTCGTTCTAGCTTACTTAGGAAACCGGAAATATTTTACTTTTTTTTGAAGATTTATAGCTTTAAAAAAAGAAAAAGAAAAAGAAAAAACAACAAAAACAAAAACAAAAACAAATATGATAAAACTATTAAAAGAACGTATAGTTCCAATAGAGGTTAAAATTCCAATTCAATGAAATTTAGGTGCAAAGTAAAACAATGAATTAACAGTGCAACAAAAAAAAAAAAATATCTTGAAAAAACTTGAACAAGTTATGTAGTATTATATATACTGCAGTAAAACCATTTCAGAAAATGATTTTAATTTAGGCCATAAGTTATATTTTTCTATTATTTAATACAAACTTTACATGCATAATAAGAGATTAAGCAGGTTTTTTTTTTTTTTTTTTTTTTTTGATTTACTTGCTTTTTTTTTTATTATTATTATTTATTTGTTTGTTCCACTTTAGCTAAAGCTTCCAGGAAAAGCTCTTTAGGTGAAGTTAACTTTTGAAGAAAATCTCTACGTGTTTTAGGTAGAGAGAGAATAATGAATTGAACAATTAATTGTTAATTGTTTTTTTAAAAAAAAAAAAAAAAGCATGTTTGGAAAAGAAAATGTATATTTGGATGATATCCAAGCGCTGTTGTTATGTGAATTTCAAAGATGTAAATAACCTTTGTTAGGATTATTTAAAGATTACTTTTATTGCACACATAAACCTATTAAGCAGGATTATTATTGAATGATTGAATTCAATTCCGATATCCAAAAAATATCATATCATAATATCATATCATATCATACTAATATTTTTATTTTTTATTTAAATAAAAAATATTTATTATTATTTATTATTTATTTTTTTTCCAATATAACCATAACCTCCATTTAATTATCTGCTTAGCCGGTTAGAATAATTACTTATAATTACTTATAAGTAAGAAATATTTCACCATTGAACAATAATTATAATATATCTTTAATGAGCAAACTTAACAGTTGCGTCTTTTAATATATTTTATTTTTTTTTTTAATATTTTTTTTTTTTTTGTTGTCATTAATATTGAATTTTCTTTTTATATTCAAATTTATTTTTTTTTTTAAAATACGAGTTTTTATTTTTTATTTTTTATTTTTTGATAAATGGTTTCAACACTTGTTATTTGATAAAAATATTCCTTATTTCACCCCTGAAGCCGTTTACTTTTTTTTTTTTTTTTTTTTTTTCAGAGGTCCTAATTAGGCCTTTGGTTTAATAACTGGTTTTGCTTGTTAGCTGATATGAAAAAAAAAAAGTTACAAAGAGAGATCTTTCGTTAATTAGTCAGGAATTATGTCATAAGCAGCATGTAAGTCTTGTTGACGGATGAAAGTTGCGTTACTACGGGAATACAAGGGGGGTGGGAGAAGAAGAATTAGAAGAATTAGAAGGATTAGAAGAATTAGAAGAAGGGAGGACCTCAATTTTTTTTTTTTTTTTTTTTTTACCTTCCCACAATTGTTACAACTTTTATGGGCATATTCCTGGTAATAAGACAAAAAAAAAAAAAAAACCTTCAAGTCTTGTAACACACTGGTTGTTGTCTTTTTTTTTTTTTTTTTTTTTTTTGGGTTCCCCAGAAAAACGCGAATTATTTCTACTTCTTCTTTCTTTCTTTCTTTCTTTCTTTCTATCTATCTATCTATCTATCTATCTATCAACTACTCTAGTAGAAAATAAATTTAAAAATAAAAAAAATCCCAAAATCTCACACTGCATTTCCTATATAAAAACAATTATATAAATATAATCCCTTTTATTCAATTTTTTTTTTTTTTTCATTGATTGATTTTTTTTCTTTTTTTTTTTTTTTTTTTTTTTTTTTTTAACCTTTTCTTTCCGTTTCATGGATCATCATTATCATGTCGTTTCTATTCAATCGCAGCAAGCACAAAACTCCACAAGACATTGTCAAGTCTCTCAACGATGTGCTTCATCGTCTAGATACGGCCTCTGTTACTGACAGAAAAAAGGTATTTACTTGATGATTTGACTTGTATATATTCATTCTTTAACAAATTTTTTTTTTTCAGCTTACCGACGAAGCAACTAAAATGTTGGCCCAAATTACCGTTTTACTCTGCGGAGATCAAGGTATGTAAAATTTTTTATTTAATAATCTTTTCAAAAAAAAAATTAACTAAATATATCTTAATTACTATAGAAAATGATCCAGTACCTGATCAAATCACAGCTTTGGCTCAAGAAATTTACTCTTCAGACATGTTTCTTTCACTCATCACCCATTTACCAATGCTAGAATTCGAGTCGCGCAAAGATGTGATTGTCGTATTTTCTACTATGCTTCGACGTCAGATTGGTAGTAACTCTCCCACTGTGGATTATTTGGCAACAAAACCAAAAATCTTTGACGCATTACTGATTTCTTATGGGAACCCTGATATTGGTCTCACTGCAGGTACTATTGTGCGCGATTGTATGAAGCATGAAGTCTTGTGTCGTGCAGTCCTCAAGTCACAAGTATTTTGGACCTTGTTTGATACAGCTGCAAACGCCCAGTTTGAAATTGCAACAGACGCTTTTGCTACCATCTCAGACGCACTTTGCACTCATTTAAAAACCGCAACTGACTTTTTGACTGCCCATCAAGCGCGGTTTATTCAAAAAATGATGATGCTTATGACCTCAGACAATTATGTTACCCAGCGACAGTCGCTAAAATTGGTCTCCACTCTGATTCGACGAAGATCAAACTATTCATTTATGACGGCATACATTTCGGATCCTACTAACCTCCGAGCTGTCATGGTGCTGTTACGCAACAAGAGCCCAATTATGCGATTTGAAGCTTTTCAAATCTTTAAAATTTTTGTGGCTAATCCTAAAAAGACAAAACCTGTTCATGATATTTTACTTCGAAATAAATCACGGCTAGTGGAGTTTCTCAAAACCCTCAATTCTCCTACTAAAAAAGATGATGAGACATTTAATGATGAACGAAACTTTATTATTTCACAGCTCTTAAATTTACAGTCCTTTAATACCCCATTGCAGCAGCAGCAGCAGCAAGTTCAACCCCCTGTTCAGCAACAACAGCAACAACAGCAACAAACTTTCCAACAAGTGCCCCCTCCTTTAAATTCAGCCAGTAATGCTACAAGTTCCTCTTCACCTCCTGCAGCTTCACCTTCGTCTCTGCAGCCAGAGTCTCCCTATCCGGGACAAGCCACGCCGCAACGCTACATATCCACCCCGACTTCGCAACTTCCTTCTCAGCAGAGACAGCAAATGGAGCTTTTGCAGCAGCAATACAGCAATATTAACTTATATACCCCTTCTGCAAGCCCAGCTCCAAGCGCATTCAATTCTAATGCAAATTTAAATGGATATTTTCTGGGGGCTGCTGTACCTTCTTCTTCTTCTTCTTCTTCTTCTTCCTCTTCTGTGGCAGTTACTGGGGCTACGACAGCCACCCCTTTGGCTGGTACCGAATTGGATCATGGTAGCAGCTTGGCCCCCTCGGACAATCAAAATGGGTCCAATATTTTCTCTAATGGAGAAGAGTTGGCATCATACCCTAAAAGCAGCCATGTTAATTTGGCTCAACACTATTCCCAGCATGATGGTCTCAGCTTTATCGCCGAACCAATAACTGGGGTTACTGGCAGAAATAACGGGGGCAGTGGTGGTGGTGGCAGTAATAGCAACGGTAGCAGCGCAGGCCCATCTAGTGCCAATAGCTCGGTAGGTGCTTCATCTGCCGGAGTCTCTCGTCTCAAACCCCAACTCATGGGTGCTGTCGGATCTGCTGCCGTCCTAACCCCGGTTGTTCAGACTGATCAGGTACTACTTTATCCGGGCGCTGCGCCGGCCGTCTCGCCCGTCCCTCTGACTGTACCCTCGCAATTGTCGTCGCCAGTCTTTCAACTTAATACCAATGCATCGGGAGCTAGTCTCTCGCCTAGTCCCACCACTGGCTCTGCTTCTGCAAGCTCATCAAGTGGCGCTGTACACAAGTCTATATCGTCACCCTTGCCTACAGCCGCATCGCCAGTGGCTGGACATTATACTAACCAGCATACTAACACTCCCAGCTCTGCATCATCTTCGTTATACAACTTGACGCCAGGCAAGCATGGAACTGTAGAGATGCATAATCATCACCAACAGCAGTCTAGCTTGGCTTCAAGCCCATCATCAACTTCTTTGTCTCGCACTCGATCTCGTTCTAGTGCTGGTTCTCCATCGGCAGGTTCCCGAGGCGGCGTCGAAGGCTACGGTGCCAGCGGGTACGGTGCTAGTGGTCACGGGTCCCCTCCTCCAGTCCCTAGTTTTGCACAGCAGCAACAGATGATGCAGCAGCAACAGCAACAGCAACAGCAACAGCAACAGCAACAAAGATAGAAAAATGAACTTTTTTTTACGATATACTAAGGGAAACAAGAAAAAAAATAAAATAAATATAAAGTATAGCCTATATTGGCAATTGATAAGTCTATTTTTCATTACTTTTAAAAATATCCTTAGGGTCCCATTTAAAAGACTCAAAGAGGTTTTCGTAAAATACTGTACCAGAAACTTGGTCATCTCTGCACAACTCACCGTTTTCTTCGGCAAGTTCGAGTTCCTCAGCTGCAATCATTACACTCCAACGGAACTTTGAAGATACATCAACAGCCGTAACTCCTGACCCTTCAAATCCCAAGTACTCTTCCTTCTTGGTAGTTATATTTTTGCAAGCCTCTTCACCGCGCTGTACCATCCAACGACGCACGCTGCGCATAATGACTTCTGGGGTCTTGTATGCCTCTTGGACAACAGTGAGTCCCGAACGGAAGGAGCGGAGCCGCACAGGTAGCGCTAGGTCCGTAAATAGAGCACAAGCCGACGCCAAGTCTTTTGGGGAGATGAGGGCGACGCCGCGCGCACGATTATAAACTGCAAATAAGTCAAAAAGCGTAATAATGCCACCCTCACGTTCCAGCACACTTGCATAATGCTGCTGCTGTTGTTGTTGTTGTTGTTGATGTTGATGTTGATGTTGTTGTTGATGCTGATGTTGATGCTCCTGAATGTGAGGCTGAGTTGCCTGATTTTTCTGCGGCTGGTACGGAAATGTGCTGCCGTTAGTCGAGCCTTCGTATAAGTCATTCGTGCTCGCGTGCCAATGTTTATGGTCCATTAAAAATTCTGCAATTTGTCTGGCAAGCTCCGCATAGTATAATTTGGAATCCTCCGATGCAACCATATCTTTCGTGACGACTGTTGAAGAGAGACCCAGCGCTTGAGTCGAGTATGCAAGCGAGCGCCGAGCCTCTTGTGCAGCTGCCAATGATTCCGATGATGAAGCTGGGGTGTGCTCCAAAAACCGGGCATAGTCATCTGCAAGCTTGATCAAATCTTGGGCTCGAGCCATAAGCTCTGTAAGGTCCTCAAGACCAGCACCTAGAACCTGTCGGTTATGTTCGCGCTGCGACTCCACCGAAAGTTGTAGCCCGTGGATTCCCATAGCCAGTTTGTCGGAAACCTGTGGAGCCGTACCACTCGTTGAGTTCCCAGGTGTTGCTGATGTACTAGATGTTGACGGAAATGATGTAAGTCTCTCAGTAGTTTCTTGTTGCTGCTTTGCAACCTTGATTTTGGCCAACTGTTGCTTTAGCACGTCATAGAATTGTTTATCCCCACCCGACCGGAAACTCAGCTTGTATGCTAGCGGCTGACCCACTTGCTGTTGTTGCTGCTCTGCAAACGAATCAGGGAGCGCATCTGTTCCAAGCAACGACACAAGGTACCCGTCATCATCGTACTGCAGTACTGCAGATGCCGTGCTGGTACTACTACTTTGAAACGGCCGCCGTGCCGCCATGGTTTGGGTACTTGGGACCGTTGACTGGTCTGATACAAGCACGCGGTTCAACTGTGGTGGAATATGTGCCGAAACTAACCGTGCGCCACACATTTCGCAAAAGTTGAGCGAGGGGTGGTTAATGAAGGTACATCTGGGACATGCAAACCCGTCGTCGTTGTCGTCGTCGTCGTCGTCGTCATCATCATCATCATCATTATCATCATTATCATCATTATCATCATTATTATTAGAATTAGTATTAGTATTATTGTCACCATTTACAGGTAGATCAGTTTTTGCAACAGCCGTGTCGGCCATTGTGGGTATCAGAGCCGACCCGTTTGTATCGTCATCGGTAATCATCATCATTAGATCTGGGATCCCAGATGATGACGGTTGTGGTGGTGTCGGCGCTAGTGCTGGTGCTGCTGCTAGTGGTGACGTTTGTTTTGGCGGAGCAAGCGTCGGTGTTTCAGTTCCAGAACGTGTAGGTCCGAGAATCTGAGCAATGGCTTGGAATATAACTTTGCGGGCTGGCTTGATTCCACATGTAGAACATGGAGGCATTCCTGTGTTGCCTTCCGGATCGCGAAGCGCAGCGATATCGTTAGGCAGTAGCTCTTGGGTGGGCCACTCAAAGTCGCGGGGGAGTGAGTTTGCAAAAAAGCAAATGGGACAAATCCACGAAACTTCATGAAACGGGAGTTTCCTTCGACGAGCAGTCAAAGGAGATGCAGTTAATGGCAACGAGATGGAAGATGGAGACGGTGATGGTACTGAGCTTGAATTTGTAGTTGAACTAGTGCTGTTACTTGCTCGCAGTGGGGTATTTTCGTCAGCACGACCCATGCGAAGAGTGATTTTGGGAGATGAACGCATAAACCCGCCGTAAAACTCAATACCCTTGATATCTGATAATGCCAGTTCAATGGAGCGCTCAGCAGGACATGCAGAATCGACGTAGCAAATGCGCTTGGACGTCAAGTAAACACGGCCGCTGGGGAAAAGTGGCGCCTTACGTTTATCCTGATAAAGCCCGACATTGTTTTGAACCAATAACTCAGATTCGGCGGGCCCCAAACGTGGCCGTTGGCCAGCAGTAAGCTCAAGCCGTGACCACCAGCCTACTGGTAAAGAAGAAGAGGATGTTGCTGATGATGCTGCCGGGGGCATATCTTTGCAGTGATTGAAGTTGTGTTTTGGGGGTTTTGGTGATTGTCTGGGAAAAGAAGGATGTTTGCGACAATCAAGTTTTTTTTTTCTTTAAATATACTAATCACATGACTTTTATTATGTACATACAAAAAAAATTATACAAGAGGAGGGACGACAAGAAGAACCAGCTTTTCCTTTATTATTTCGATTCACGCTCAGCGTCGACCTGGGACTGGAGACGTTCCTGTTCCTGGAGCAGCTCAGCAAGAATCTTGTGGTGCTGGACGGTAGCGCCGGAGATGGCGTCCTCGACTTCAGCAAGACCCGGCGCAAAGTTGGAGGTGACGCCATAGAGTTGCTTAGCCATGGTGCTGCGGAAAGAGTCCTTTTCAGACTCGGACAAGACCTTTTCCTGTTGGACAGAGGTTCCTGGTGCAGAAACACCGGCCGAAGTCACATTGGCAAATGTTGGGGCAGAAAGAATGGCGGAAGATGGGGTAGAAGAAGACTCAAAGGCAGAAAAGGGGTTGTTGGAAAAGGGGAGAGACGATGAAAAGAACCCTTGGGAACGACCGCTAAAACGACCGCCCATAGCAGGATGGTCAGGCTGAGCAAACTCGGCCTCGATGGCAGCGTTGAGACCCTCCTCAGTGGTAATGAAAGTAGATGTGCTCTGGTAAAGCTCGAGGAAGGAGCGTGCACGAGACTCAGTTTCGGCCAAACGCTTGCGGACCAAATTGGCCTTTCTCTGGGTGTTAAGAAGCTTTTGTTCAGCGCGGGTGCGAGGAACGACAAACTGAGAAACATCGTTTATGCTTGTTATGCTGGAAGTAGATGGGTGTGTGTTGTTGAGGAAGGATTCAATGGTAGGAAGAGTGAGGAGAGTAGACTCAGACTGCTTAGTGAGTTCAGGGTCGGCCTTCTTGAGGTCCTCAGCTTCCTGGCGAGCCTCGCGCTTCTCGCGGAGTTTCATTGCGCGCAGTTCTGCACGGTCCTGGTTCTGAAGAGATTGGACAAGGAATGAGCGGCGCATGGCAGAAAGTTCCTGACGCCAGGGTGCACGCTTAGATGCTGTTCCGCCAGGGGTAGGTTCCTTTGCACTTTTTTCAATGATTGAATCGATGGTCACGCGGGGCTTGAGGGGAATCACGGCGGCTTTGACACCCTTGGGGATGAGTTCCGGATCACGGAAACCAACGTTGGCCTTTTCCAAAGCCTCGATCTCCTTACGGGTCTTATAGGGCTCAACAATTTGACGTGGCTTAGGGAGGATACCCGACTTGAAGCCGTACTTGGCGATTCTCTTGACCATTGCTGCTGGTTGGTTGGGGGAGGGCGAATGTGGTGATGGATGGATGGGAAAGTTGGTGGTGAAAAAAAATTTTTGCAGTTGTGCTATTGGCCGTAGGGTAACCTTTTGAAAAGAAAAAAAATCCAAAGGCCACACATTTTAAAAATTAAAAACGCAAACCTTCATTTAAAATACACTTGCATCACCAACTAGGGATACATATTGTTTTCTATAACAGTAAACCTTTCTTAGGCATTTTCTTCTATAATATTTCCATCGGCATCAATGTCAACCTCATAAGAAGGTTTTTCACGTACACATCGGGAACATTCACACTGAAATCCCCAATTTCCCTTAAGCTGACGCTGGCGCGCCGGATAGTCAAGCGACGGATCAACATAAGAAATTGTAAGCTCTTCGTCTGCAGAAATGTCCCTGAGAGCCACAATAGAAATTGGATCAAGTGTAGTGTTTCCAAAGACCGTTTTGGAGTTTGGTTCGCATGAGTGGTTGAGGTTGGATTGAATTAGAAACACACAATGCTTGATATTGTTAAGGTTCCAGGTCCCGATATTGTGCAAGTACCGGTCGTACGAGTAAGTGAGCTTGCCCGGGGTATTTTCATCAAGAGAAAATGCCTTGGTAATAGCCTTGGAAAGTAGATTGTACCCATCCTTAAGAACTAGCTCTTCCTGCTCGCTTGCAAAAAGACTTCGAGATGCAGCATTGGATCCTGCACCAGCTGCATGTGCCTGACGAACGTCTTGGCCAACAGTGGCCATAGCCTCAAACTGTTCCTGGAGCTTGAGTGCACCCTCAAGAGATTTTTGGGCTTCTGCTGCCAGTCGTACGAGCACCATTCCTACTGCATATCCTGCAGCCCAAGCACTTTCAGTCGCAGCCTCATTGTTCTTGTCTTTAGAAGCAGCTCCTGAGCACATGTCTTCATACTTGCGCCATGCTTTGGGCCCAATCTGTGCCGTTTTGCTCAACTTAGTACCGACGTGCCAGGTAGCTGCATGAGCCATGGAACTGGTGGCGGCCGCACGGCACTTTGTTCCACAAAAACGGGCCTCGCACTGTGTGCACCCGACAGTGCCCAGCGCGCGAGCAAACACCGTTCCGCAATGAGCACAAGCATTCCCCGCACGCATGTGAGGAACTGAAGAAACTGAAGGAACCGAGAATAGAGCAGTTTCTGTCCAAATGGTTTTGTCCTTGGGGATTTCTGTTTTCGCAAAAACGCCCTTGCCCTTGTACTTGGAGTCGGAGGCAGATGGGTCGGATGAAACAATAGGACGCACATCAATCCAGCTGGAAGCAGAAGAAGGGATAACGAGATATGGAACGGGGAATTTTGATACAATCTTGCTAGCATAGGATTGGGGCTCGAACCGATCCGGGGTCATGTTTGCATCTGCCAAACACTTGTGGAGACGTTCCGGAGTAAAAGCGGCTTCATCGTCCAAAGAGGCTGGTCGCCACTCAGGCTTGTTTTTGAGAATTACGCGATAGAGTTTATCAGTGGAGAGGTTGTCGAAGCGTTTATCCTGTTGCCAGACATCGATAGCTGCCAATACGATTTGGCGATCATGGGGGGATTCATTTGTAGCCATTTGAAAATTAAAAAAAAATTTTTACTGAAAAAAAGAGAATTCTTGTTACAGGTAAGTAGTCAAGTTATTAAACATTATGCCCACCAAAAAAAAATTACATGGAAAAACTTTTTTTTTTTTACTCCCGAAAGTTGAGCTTTTCACGCACGGCGGGATACGTCTCGAGCATCTTGTGATACGTGTCTGGGTACGACAACCGAAATACTTCGGGGTCCTTTGCCAGGGCCACAAACAGGGTCGCAGTACCTGCGCGGACCGCCACCATAACTGTGGCACCGACCTGGATACCAATGAACATCGAGTACATTGTAATGATTGCAAAGTACCCTCCGGAAGAGTTGTAGCGTGGCCGGGTGAAACGCAAAAAGCAGTAGCCCATCATGGCACAAAGATAGCCCAGGAGCATCTGGGTAAAAGTCAAGAGATGGTCAATTAAGCAGTCATTGATGAGCGCATCAATTCCGCGCGCACGAATCACGGTCCAAGTGTCGCGAGCTGCTGGGATGTAAGCACGGCCATAAAGTGCAACAAAGGTATACGCGTAATGGTTAAAGTATGTGACCATCCACTCAATGATGCCCATAAAACACTGGGCAAAGCACACCAGGCACATTAAAATTGCACGAACAATGTCGTTTCCCATGTCTTGCTGAGCAGCCGAGCGTGCAAAGTCCAAAAGATAACGAATAAGATTGACAATGGCAACAATAAGGGAACCAAAAGAAATGGAACCAAACGAGTAAGTGAGTGCACGGCGAAGAGATCCGAGGGCTGGGCGCCGGGGCATACCCTGATCTGATTTAGAGCAGTAGTACCACGTGCCGTAAATGCCACAGATAGTTGTGTGAGTGACATTTTTAATAACTTCTGTAATGTAAAAGCCTGCAAAGGAAACAAAGACAAGAACGCCAATGAGTTTCCCATTGGAGCACGAACCGCCAGAGACATTGCAGCCTGGATTGTCTGCATTGGGATCATACTTCATGTATGTAGCAACAATTACCATGGAGAAAAGAAAGGAAAACGCTGTGGAGACGATAGTTCCTGCAAGAGCCATACCAAAAATAGAAGGGTTCGAGCGCGTCACGTCGATTATGGTTCCAAAGACTAGTGTGGCAAAGGGGATACGCGAGCGCATGCCAATGAAAAAGAAGACTTGGAGGACACCGAAAATAAGGAAAACAATTCCAGCTGAGTAGTAGTGCATGGCGAGATAAAAGATTGCTGTTCCAATACCCACAATAATTGAGACAATAAAGGCAAGGTAAATAAAGAATTTAGTAAAGGCCCGCATCAGAGCAATCAAAACAATTGCAAATACAAAGGCCACAACCGTGACAAAGCAAAAAAGAATGGCAGCATTGGTATCAAGCGAGTACGAATTGTTATTGCTGTAGATGCCCTTCCCTTGGAAGCCATAAGTCTGTGCCCACGCACGTAATGTAATGACGGCAATGGCAATAAATCCTGCAACGACTAGTAAGAAAAAAAGAGTAAATGGAATATCATTCCACTTGGGTTTTTCAACCTTGAAGCGGTCGTTAAACGTCTCACCACTTTCTTGCGGTTTGGTGGCGTAATTGATGGGTGGAGGTTTGAGTGCGTTAGTTGACGAGTCGTCATAGTCAAACTGCTGATGTTCGTTGTAGGACAATGTTGATTGCGGTTGTTGTTGCTGGTCGTAAGCTGGTGGTGGAGGGGCCGAGTAGCCCTGTTGTTGTTGAGGCTGGGCCGAGTAGCCTTGCTGATAATTTTGAGCAGACATTGAGCAAAGTGAATTGAAGAAGGAAAAAAGAATAAAAAAGAGAATAAAAGATGGTTTAAATGAAGTTTTTAAAAGGAAACACAATAGCCTTTTAATATGGAGGGGAGGGGAGAAAAAAAACTTGTGCCTTTCAAATGTGACCCAAAAGCTTAAAAACCAAAAGTTGCGATTAACGCGCGCGCCTCTCTTTAGGTTTTTTTTTTTTTTCTTCTAAAAAGCAAGTCCAAGACACTAAAAGCAACAACTTTCGGTTCGGTCTCAATGCCGTGTATGAAATAATATGTTTCTTTTTCCTATTGCAAAGTCATCAATGTCTTTTCCAAGTCCATTCCTGTTTATTTTTTGTTTGTTGCTCTTTTTTCACAATCCGCCTCACTTACGCCTCTCGAGAGACTGATCTTCTTGCATGCCTCTCACTTGCGCCCACCCAAATAACTACTGTTGCTGCCTCGTTGCACCAAACATGGCGCAAACAATAGATATTTAGAAAAAAAAAAAAAAAAAAAAGTTTGCTGGATTGCTCAACATTCAGTACATTCGTACCCGCTTCGGTTCCTGTAATGATGGTCTGTCTTCCCCTTCTTCCTCTTCTTCCTCTTCTCCTTCTTCTTCTCCCTCTTCTCCTTCTTCTCCTTCTTTTTCTTCTTCACCAGCTCTAGCTCTGCATCCAGCCCCAGAGGATGTCGATACCGAGGATGAAGACGATCCGTTGCTTTCATTTTCATTCAACCCTCCAGAACCGTTGTTAAGGCTAGGATCCGGGCCCAGGGTATTCTCTTCAAGCCCAATATCCTCCAACCCAATTCCGCCCAACCCCATATTCTCTAACCCAAATACATCCCCAAGACCTCCAGGTCCAGAAGATGATGATGCAGAATGGGTGTTGCTGTTAATTCTTCCACTGCTAAGCCCATTTAAATCGCCCAAGTATCGTCTCAAGACTCGAAACAGGTCTTCCTTTTTGAACGGCTTTACAAGAATCTCGCTAATACCAGCCTGCATGTACCCCTCCAGCGACCGTTTCCTACTCAGCAGCCGCGCCTCGCAATCTTTTTCGCTAGAATTTTGATCTATATTGCTAGATTCCCTGGAAGATCCATCTTTATTGTCATCTTGCACGTCCTCAGTAGCAGCTGAAGTCATAACTATAATTGCAGCTCCAACACCACTTTTGCGCATTTGTGTCGCCGCGGTCTTCCCGTCTAGCGATGGAATAACCGAATCCATAAGTACCAAAGAAAATGCACGTGGTGGAACTGTTCCTCCTGATGTTGCTGAATGCAGTGACTCTTCGCGCGCCTGCGCGCGGTGCCATGCATCAACACCATCATTGGTCACCTCAATATCGCACCCAAACTCACGCACAAACTTGCCAATTTTACGTGCACTCACATTGTTGTCATCCACGAGCAATACAAGGGGGCGATTCCCCCCATTGCCTGCCGCATGTCGCGGCCCATGAGCCCTTAACACAACCCCGTTTTCGGTATACGCCGGACTCACACCTGTGCTAAAAGAGGACCCTGCGGGTAACATTATGCCGTACTGGCTGTCGACCGGCGACAGCGAAACATTTGGGCGTTGGGTTGGAATTGCAGAAGTGCGGCGTGAAGGCAGATTTACCATTGGTGTGTCATTACGCGTGGATTCGATAGTATTGAGAGATTGTAGTAAATCAAGGTAAGCTGGATTATTGAAACCCGCGGGGTTATCAGAAGCTTCTCTACCACCTGATGATAAGATGATGAGTTTGCGCAGAACTGATGTAGTAGTTTGGATTGCGTTTTGTGCAGAATGCAGCCGCTGAAGAAGCACAGAATTGAGCCCAGAAATTGTTCGCAGTTCATCGCGCGACCGTCGAGCATTAGCTTCCAGCTCGTTGATGCGTGTTTCAAGCGCTTGTGTAATTGCGTGCCGTGATGCCATTTCAGCTGCAATTACGGGCCCACAAATTGCTGCTGGATCGCATGCCTCTTTGCCTCCTGTTGTCGAGCAAGTTGAACCGTTCCCACATGGCCCGTTATCTCCACATTCTGTATTTGGCACATTGTCTAATGCTTCAGCATTATTGTTTGTTGTTGCATTTGTAACTGCTGCATTCTGTTTGCGCGATGAGACTGTTGTTTTCCGACGAATATTATCTAATAGTTCCACTTTATGTTGCTGAAAGTCTGGGTGCCGAAACACCCATGCATTGTCACCATATTTATCACCGGACTCTGAGGCTCTTATTTTATGGAAATCATATTTGTTAAGTTGTCGCACAAAACTGGCAAAGTTTGAATGCTTGAAATGACGAGGAAGAACTTTTGTTGTAAATTCATTTGTCTAATCTAAACGTTAGTAAAAAATTTAAAATCACTAAATTATTTTTTTTTGTTAAATTATAAATTCTACTCACATCAAGAACAACAAATCTATCTCCAGATTCTGTCCACCGTACAATATCTTGGATCTTGGTATCTTCGAGTAATCTAAAATAAAAAAAAAAAAAAAGTTAATATACTTCCGTGGTTTTGTCTCAAACCCCCTCGAAAAAGAAAAAAAAAACTACTCACGCAAATAGTTTCCGCACAAACTCGTTTGAACCAGCTGGAAGAGCAGAAGGGCCCATGGTAGATGAAACTGTAGCAATACTCGTCGTCATTAGACCATCAGGCCCACCGCTCGGCACAGAAACAGCCCCAAGACTACCTGAAGTGCCTTGAGCTGTCTGCAGCTGTTGTCCGCCAGTTGATCCCCCATTATTATTATTATTAGACCCTAGATTAATTTTAGGTCCCATACCTCCATTCTGTTCTATAGTCATTTGTTGTGAATGTTGTAAATGTTGTTGATGTTGTAGTTGTTGTAGTTGTTGGTGCTGTATTGGTTGTGGGTGCTGCTGGTGTGTAAGAACATGAGTGAACGGGCCTTGGTGCAACCCAGGTGATACCACGTTCCCAACAGCATTACCACCACCCAATCCTGTTTGTAATCCCGGAGTCAACCCGCCACCCCCACCGGGTCCCCCTGTCAATCCTGCTGGCAATCCAAGTCCTATGAATGCTGCCGCTGCCGCTGCATGAATATGTTGTTGTTGTTGCTGTTGATGCTGCTGTTGCTGCTGCTGTTGCTGCTGCTGTTGATGCTGCTGTTGCTGCTGCTGTTGCTGCTGCTGTTGCTGCTGCTGTTGATGCTGCTGTTGCTGCTGCTGTTGATGCTGCTGTTGCTGTTGATGTTGTTGATGCTGCTGATGATTATGATGATGATGATGGTGCATGGGACCGCCACTCACGACAGAACCTGACGCGTGGCTCGGTGATGGTATTCCAGGCAGCCCGCTGCCACCACTACCACTGCCTATAGGCAAGTACCCAGCCATGTGTTGCTGTGAAGGCAAATTACTGGGAAGATTGTTCATTTTCAAGCAGTCCGTAACAGACGATAATATGAGTGTGTGAATATAAAAAAAAAAAAAAAAAAAAAAACTGGTATAACGGATTTTTAATTTTTTTTTGGTGTTGTTTACAAAATGAGTGCTTTCTAAAATATATTTTGATATTGGCTGGTTAAGAGGGGAAAATTTTGTCTCGGGTAAAAATAAATGAAATTATTAAATTAAAAAAAAAAAATTTAAAAATCAATTGCCTTTCCAAAACAGCTACCCTAAAAAATTTAAAATTAAAAAAAAAATTACAAAAACTCTTAATTCTTAAATTAAAATCTTTTAAATCCTTAAAAAATATGAATTTTTGACAAAAAATTAATATATATTTAAACAAAAAAGTTCAACAAAGTTATAGATAAAATTATAAAAAAAAAAAAAATAAAATAAAATCCAAGAAGAACAACAAAGCAACTGATTACATTTCAAACTGTTGGCCATTGACAAACCCATCATCGTCATCCAGCATGCCAACATCATCTTCATCAAGCAGCTTATTGTTGCTAAGTCCATGCCGGCTGTTATACTCAACTGTGTTTTCAATATCATTGTCGTCATAAAGTTCAATGTCGCCATCATCAGGAATGCGGGAAATTCCGGTAAGTGACCCAGAGTGCATCATTTCACTAACAGACATGGATGCTGCCAAATGTTGATCCATAGATGACTCGTCGACATAGGTAAAGCCTTGGAAATTGGCTTGAATTCCCGGAGACAAGGGAGTAGAGCCCAAAGGCAAGAATCCACGCTTGAGCACACTTGTGGATGCTTGAGTAAACTCAGGGTCAAAGTTAGAAGTATCTGTTTCTGAAACAATGACAGGCTTGAATGGCGGCGGAATCATCTTTGTAGCGAGTTGGTCCCAATCAATATCGACAAAGAAGGGATGTGCACGAAGCTCACGGGCATCGCCATTGGCACCCAAACGGTGCTTAGGGTTACGGTTCAAAAGACCCTTGACAAAGTTGCGACCTTCAGCAGATAGAGCATCTTTAGGGAAACGGACCTTACCAAAGGCAATGTTTTTATACATTTGCTGTACATCCTCATGGTAAAAGGGACTCCAGCCGCAGCACATTTCAAAAACAAGCACACCCAAAGACCAAAAGTCAACCATCTTGGTGTAACCCTTATCGTCGAGCAGAACTTCCGGGGCAAGGTACTCAGTGGTACCGCAAAAGGTATTTGTGGTACCATTATCAGACAAGTTAGCCTTAGAGAGACCAAAATCACAAAGGGCAATGTGGCCGTTTGCATCGAGCAAAATGTTTTCAGGCTTAAGGTCACGATAAACAATGTCATTGTCATGGAGGTGCTCGAGGGCAATAATGAGCTCAGCAATGTAAAACTTTGCACGTTCCTCCGAGAAGCGACCTTCCTTTTGCAAGTGCCAAAAGAGCTCACCACCAGACATGTAGTCAGTAACAAGGTAAAGATCCGAGGGAGTTTGGAAGGAGAACTTGAGACCAACAATGAAGTTTGAGTCTGCCAGAGCAGTGCGGACCAAGATATCACGCTCACCAATGGTATGGGCAATTTCCTTCTTTTGAACAATGACTTTTTTGGAAAGGACCTTCATGGCATAGATACGGTGTGTATCACGCTTGCGAACCTGGTAGACTTGGCCAAAAGTACCTTTTCCAACAAGACGAAGTACCTCAAAGTCGTCTGGGCCAATTCGTTTATTGCGGGTAGGCTCATAAGTCATTTGGACGCGGACCTCACCAGTGACGCGAGCCGAGTCGAAGCGAGACTCGAGTCGAAGCCACTTGTCGAAGTGGGTTTCCTTGGCCAGGTTAGTTTGGATAAGGACACGGCCGAGAAAGGCGTCTGCAGAGTTTGCGTCGTATATGCTTATGTCAAGCTCTGCAGTTTCATTGGTGACATCAAATTGTGCTTCATCGGACCAAGTAGGATTGCTTGGGGAGGAGTTGCTAGAAGCTGTGGAGGAAGCCGAAGAAGCTGCTGGACCAGTTGTGGAGGTATTAGAATTAGAGGTATTAGAGGTATTAGAGCTATGGCTATTATGGCTATTATTATTATTATTATTGGTAGTAGCAGTAGCAGTAGCAGCAGTAGTATTAGTATTAGTATTTGTATTTGTATTAGAGGTATTAGTGTTTGTGGATGAATTTGGAGTTGTAGTATTGGAGGATGCAGGGTTAGCTGGGCCGCCCTTGATTTTATTGTAAATGCCCGAGAGGGTTAGGTTTGAGGATTGCCGTAGGGTAGAAGTTTTAGAGGGGATTGCAATGCCTGATGAAACCGATGACATTGTAGAAGAGTCACCAGCAGAGCCTGAGCCACCAGGAGAGGCTTCAAGTGATTGGGGGATATAGGTAGCGCCATTGGCAGCCTGGGTGATGAATTCAGAAGAGCCGAAAGTGCAAACGACGTAAGGACAAGGATTAGGAGAGAGGACGAGAATATTATGGGCCTCAATTATGCGGACCTTAAGTTTGCCACGGACCGATTCATTTGCAGTGGTCGGAGTAGCAACGTTAGAAAGGGAAGTTGTTGTTGGTTTAGAGGCAGAATGGGGGTCCATTTTGAGAGAAAAAAGAGCAGCGGACGAGTAAAGGAAACGTTTTAGCGGAGGGATGGAGGATGTTGGGGGGATATTATGGGAGGAAGAGGAAGAAGAGGAGGAGGAGGAGGATGTTGTGGAGGATGCAGATGAAGGAGTGGAGGGCTTTGGAGGGTTAACAAAGGCTAGGAGACGCTTTGCGGAAGGAGCTAGAGGAGGATAGGCAAAGATAGGAGAGGCTGTTGTTGCACAGAGAGATGGGGATGAATCAGGAGCTGGACCTAAGCAGGGGGATGAGGGTTGTAAAGGAGTTGGAGAAGGCAAAATGGCAGAGTGGATTATTGGGGAGTGATAAGTGGATAATGGAGAGGAGGTAGATTTGGTAGATTTACTAGATTTACTAGATTTACTAGATTTAGTAGATGTAGTGGATGATGTAGTGGATGTAGTAGATTCAGTAATAGAGGCAGCGGCAGAAGCAGCGGCGGAAGAAACGGTGGAAGCAATGGCTGCGGTAGAAGCTGTAGCAGGTTGGAATACAGCAGATGAAGGATTAGGAAGAGGTGTTATTTTATTATTATTATTATTATTATCTTTGTAAAGGGGAGAAGTAGTGGTTGGAGGATTAAAAAAGGAGGTAGAAGAAGATGGGATGTGAAATGGGTCTAGAGGAGATGGATTGAGAGGTTGGGTATTTTGAGAAGAAAATGAAGGAGAAGGAGATGGAGATGAAGATAGTGGCGGTGATGGTAATAAGCTTGTGGTATTTGTTATTATTGTAGTTGTGGTGGCGATAGTTGATGAGTTGGAGAGAGTTGAAGGGTTGGTTGCGGAATTGGTGGTTGAAGAGGGTTTGGAGGTGGTTGGTGGGAGGAGAAAGAAATTCTTATTGTGTTGGTGGTTGTGGTTGTGGTGGTTGTGGTGGTGGTGGGTTGGCGGTGGTGACGGTGGTGACGGTGGCCGGTGCTGCTGCTGCTGCTGTTGCTGCTGCTGCTGCTGTGTGGTGGAGGTGCTGCAGAAAGCCGCGCTGGGCAGGCTGCACAGTGTAGGTTTAGTGGTTGTAGTGGTTGTAGTGGTTGTAGTGGTGTAGGCAGTGTAGGCAGAATAATCGGCACTGGTAGTGGCAGAGATTGGTGGTACTACAATTACAGGACGGGCAGGTCGTGAGACTGAAATAAACGGGACTCCAACGGCAGGCATTATTGATGAATGAATGATATGGAAAGGATATATATATATAGAGAGAAATAAGAAGAAAAAGTAAATTTTAGGGGGGAGAAATTATATATATTATTATTGTTACTGGAATTACTGGAATTACTGGAATTACTAGAATTATTAGAATGAATATTCAATCAAATCGATCGGATAAGCAGCGGACCCGGTCAGTTTTATACGATCGTGTGTTGTTAATAAAGAAGGAATACGGCAACCCAGAAGACGCAGCATCATCATCATTATTACCATGATCATCAGCAACAATGACAGCAACAACAGAAGCAGCAGCAGTAGCAGCAGCAGTATCAAAGGCAGCAGAGGAAAGCCGCAGAGGTAGCAGCTATAGCTGCATATTTTGTAGGTAGTAATAGTAATAATAATAACTGTACTAGTAAGCATTAAATTTGGCGGCAACTCCCTACGGGAAATCCTCAGTTTAAGGAAGCAGCCAGAAGTTTCGGTCCTGGCCGATTCAACAAATTTTCAATATGTTTAACAAAAACAAAAAAAAAAAAAAAAGATCTAAGAGCAAAAAAAAAAAAAAATAACTAGGCAAATAATATTATTTACACGGATAAGACCATATGGAGAAGCCCAGTGAAAAAAAAAAAAAATTCATACAAAAAGGGTTTTTTTTTTTTTTTGTTAAATGGTAATTTTCACGAACTGTTTTTTTTGGAGGTTTTTGGAGGTTTTTGTTTGGTCTTAAAGTTTGTTTGATTTTTTTTTTTATATTTTCACTAAATGTATATATAATTGTTTATTTAATTTAAAACTAACCTAAATTTGATGTTATCATTTGATAACTTTAAATAAAAAAAAATTTTTTTTTTTTTTGGTAACTTAAAAAAGTGGCACAAAGTTTGTTACGGTTGCTACAACCGTTGTTAGGGCCACCTTTAAAAAAAAAAAAAATTAAAAAATTAAAAAAATTAAAAAAAAATATATTATCGGTTCGGACTAGGATATGCACATAAATACTCAGATATACAAATAACCCCATATCGCGTGACCGAAGCAAATTTTATTACAACTTTAATTTTTTTTTCTTTTCAAAAGGTTTTATTTGTTACTACTTGTGCTAGTACTTATGTAATCCCTATTACCCTCTCGTTACATCTATTGTACCAGCAATGCCAGAAATTTCGTGCGCTGCCACCACCCAACTTTCCCGCAGCCCTGAAAAATTTTCTGTTCGCTCTTTTTTTTTTTTTTTTTTTTTTTCCCTCTCTCTCTCTCTCTCTCTCTCCCTCCCTCTCCCCTTTTTTTTTTTTTTTTTTCTCGTCTCTTTTTTTAAATCCTTCTTTGAAAAATTTCTTGATTTCTTACGGATCTTCCCCGTTTATTCTATATAACCCATCTAAACGTAAGTCAGATCAATATTATGCTGGATCTATAAGATGGACCATGTGATTTGATGGATTGATTGATTGATGAATGGATGGATGGAAGGATGGATTAATAAAAATAAATAAATGAACTTCAATTGTCAAATATAATCAATCATACCCATCATACATTGATCCACTCTTACTCTTTTAATCATTCATGCTAACATATACCCAGATCAACCATGGTCCTCGACGCTGAAAAACTCGCCAAGTTGCAACAATCCGTCCGCATTGGCGGTAAGGGTACTCCCCGCAGAAAGGTCAAGAAGACCACCAAGTCTACCGAGGCTGATGAGGCCAAGATCCAGGGCGCTCTTAAGAAGCTCAATGCTCAGACCATCCAGGGCATTGACCAGGTCAACTTCTTTAACGATGACGGCACTGTCCTCCACTTTCCCCGCCCCAATGTCCAGGCTGCCACCTCCTCTAACACTTTTGCCATCCACGGCCGCCCACAACAGAAGCAGCTTGAAGAGCTTATGCCTGGTATTATTACCCAGCTCGGTGCTGAGAACATTGACAAGCTCCGTGAGCTTGCTTCTCAGCTCGGCTCTGGCCTGAAGCAGGGTGCTGAGGGTCTTGAGGCCTCTGGTGAGCCTGAGGATGAGGGTATCCCTGAGCTTGTCTCTGGCGAGAACTTTGACAAGGTTGATTAAATTGTATAAAGAGATTGAACAAAACAAAACAAAAAAAAACGGATTTTTAAAGAAGGAAAAATTTTTTAAAAAAATTTAAAAAAAAAAAAAACTTTTTAAAAGTAAAAAAACAAACAAACAAAATATTTTTCAACTGGCTGGTCCATGAAATAATTTATTGAAATCTTTAAGGATTTCTTTTTATTTTTATTTTATTTTTTCATTCCAGATCATTTTCATTTTCATTTTCAAAATCAATTCAATTGCCAAAAAAAAGTCAGACTTTTTTTTTTTTTTTTTTTCTTTCTCTCCATTGTTTTTTTTTCTTTCTATTGTAAACCCCCCGCGGGGTAAAGTTAAAAAAAAATCATTAACAGAAGTTTTTTTTTTCTTTTCTTTCGGCTGGACGGTGTAGTTTTGCGCGGCGTTGTGGCCACATGCAGTAATTAAAACTCATTTCATGGGCTTTTAGAAGAAGAAAAAAAAATAAAAAAGAAAAAAAATTTTTTTTTTCTTTTCTTCTTATTCTCTGCACTGGTTAATAAAATTTCAAAATATATTTTATATTTTATATTTTATTTATATTTTATTTATATTTTACATCAGATGATAAAAATGTACTCTCTGCATGTTTGGAATTCTCTTTATTTCCCGCAAATTTTTTTTTTACTTGCTCAATTGTGAAGTTTAAAAAAAAAAAAAAAAATTATTATTTATTATATAAACCCCCCCAGATTTCCCAATTTTTTTAAAATTTTTTAATTTTTTTCTTTTATCCTCCCTATTCTCTATCCATCAATCTTGCTCTTCAATTCAAAATGCCTCTTTCTGAACACGTCCCTTACGAAAAAATCCTTGCAGATCTTCAGGATAACTCTCCTGGTTATTCCCAACGGTTCCGTCGTCAGTCCATTGTTGACAATGGCCTTGTTTCTGATGTCCCTAAAGACAATTCAAACACTTCTATCTTTAACCCTTATGAATCTTTTTATTCAATTAATCCCATTGCTAAATTCCACGTGCCTAAATCTGGTGCAAATGGCCAAACCGTTGCCCAACTCATCCGTGATGACCTTGACCTCGATGGAAAGCCTGCCCTTAACCTTGCATCCTTTGTTAATACTTTTATTGACCCCGTTGCTCAGCAACTCGCCGTCGAAAATCTCACAAAAAATATGTCGGATAGCGATGAGTACCCGGCCCTTATGAATATCCACCAACGCTGTATCTCTATGATTTCCCATCTATGGCATGTCCCCGAGGGGAACGCTGCAATTGGTACTTGCACAACCGGCTCTTCTGAAGCTATCCATCTCGGTGGCCTTGCAATGAAACGTCGCTGGGAAGCCCGCCAAAAGGCCAATGGTAGACCCTTTGACCGTCCTAATATTCTCATGGGTGCAAATGCTCAAGTTGCCTTGGAAAAGTTTGCCCGTTACTTTGATGTGGAACCTCGCATTATCCCTGTTTCTGACAAGTCCCGCAACATGCTGGACTTGGAAAAAATTTATGAAAACTTGGATGAAAACACAATTGGCATTTTTGTCATTCTCGGTTCAACCTACACCGGCTCTTACGAAGATGTTGAAGGTGTTTCCAAGATTCTCGACAAGTATCAAGAAGACACTGGCATTGATATCCCCATCCACGTTGACGGTGCCTCTGGTGGCCTTGTTGCTCCCTTTGTTCATCCCCATGTTAAATGGGATTTCTCTCTCCCCCGTGTTAAGTCTATCAACACCTCGGGTCATAAGTTTGGTCTCACCACTGCCGGTCTCGGATGGGTTATTTGGTCCGATACAAAGTACCTCCCAGATAATCTTATCTTTTTGCTCAAGTACCTTGGAGGTAACGAAAAGTCATACACTCTTAACTTTTCCCGTCCTGGCCACACTGTGGTCCACCAGTACTACAACTTTTTAACCCTTGGTTACGAAGGATACAAGCGCGTCCACTCGGCTTCTCTCTATAATGCTCGCCTCTTTTCCAAGTTCCTCGAGTCTACTGGCTACTTTCAATGCGTCTCTGAAATTCACCGTCTAAATGGCGATTATGTCTTTGATCCTACAAAGGAACATGAGCTTACTAAAACCCGCGATGCTTCCCTTTTTAACCCTGGTCTCCCTGTCGTCGCCTTTATGCTTACTGATGAGTTTAAGCAAAAGTATCCAGAGGTTCCACAAGCTGCCATTTCAACGTTGCTCCGAGTTAAAGGTTACATTATTCCTAACTATCCTCTTCCAGTCAATAACGAAGCCAAGGAGGTTCTTCGTGTTGTTGTGAGATACACAATTACTCTCGATTTGCTTGATAATCTTATGGAAGATATTGTCCAAGTGGTTCAGACTCTTATTTCTTCAGCTCGCTCGCTACGCGAAGACCCCGACGTTCCCGTCGATGATGGTCACCGTAAGGGTATTTACAAGGCTCTTTTGGCTTTAGTCTCAAACCCCAATGTTCAAGAAGAACATGAAAACGAATGGAAGCATCTTCACCGTGGTGCTTCAATTTGCTAAGCACAATATTTTATTTTGGGTATTTATTATTATTTATTATTATTTATTATTATTTATTATTATTTATTATTATTTATTATTATTTATTATTATTTATTATTATTTATTATTATTTATTATTATTTATTATTATTTATTATTATTTATTATTATTATTATTATTTATTGAACATTTTGGAGAACTGTATTGAACAAATTGATTATTATTATTATTATTATTATTATATTTTTTTTGGCGATTTTCAGTGAAATTATTTTTATTAAAAAACCAAAAAAATGTGGGCATAAAAAACCTGGGGTTGATGAGGCTTGAGACATTTTGGGAAAATATTTTTTAAAATGTTCTATATAGTTTTTTGTTCCTTAACTAATTCTTTATGGAACTTAATTTGCTCATTTTAAAACGTCGCTGTTATCGTTCCATAAAAGGAAAATTATAAAACGATAATCAATTTGCAAACGAGTATTAATCTGATTGTATAAAATTGTAATATCGTTTTAACAAGTTTCCAAAACCTGGCTTAAAAGTTAGATATATGGGTTAAGGGTTTCGCCAGCATTTTTGGAGTGAAGGCAAACACGATAAAAAAATATATTAAAATAAAAAAAATAAAAAAAACTTGCGGCAAACGCCCCCAACCTTTTAAGATCCCCCTAGGGTTAGGTTAAATAAATGTAAGCGACCCAGGATTTATCAGTTTAATTTTTTTTTTTTTTTCATATTCTATTTCTTTATCAGAATTAATCACAACAACATTCTAAAGTTCTAAAGAAATCCAGCAGTGGCTTTTCATTAATACTTATATAACTGAAACCCTAAAACAGTTTATATTTGATTTTTTGGCAAGGATTCAAGCCATGAATTAACAGACTCTTGTAAAAAATGTCTGTCTCTTAATTGTATGGACTCAAAAAATTCTTTCGTTAATTTAGCGAATGATATTTGTTTCAGGATAATCCTCCAGCACACTACATTAAGTTAAACAATATGATACTGTAGTAAGCCTATTAACATACAAAAATTATATGTCAGTTATCGACAATACATTTAATAATTATGCTGGTTATTTTTTTTTGCTTTATAAGATGCTCATTACGGAAATATTTTTTTTTCCATGTCATAAGAAAATTGCTTAATCTGGAATACATATAACGTACATATTCATAGACAAAAGTATGTACCTCAGTGTATGGCTCATAAGATTTTTCAATACACCATCATCACCAATACCAATACCAATACTAAGACTCATAAATGAAGCAACTCTAGGCCCAAAAAAAATATCTCAAAGAAAAAAAAAAAGTCTTGAGGTGCGGCGTGTATAATACAATAATTTGTTTGAGGAAAAAGTTTATTCGAATTCAAATCGTTACGCCAAAGCTGAAACTGAAGATAAAATGTTCATTCACTCGTCTATTTTTTTTTTTTTTGGTGTAATTTTAAAAGTTAGGAAGGTAATTAGGCAAAAAAAAAAATTTCATTCTTGCTACTTTTAGAGTCACCAAAACCTTCAAATTAACAAAATCTACAGATGTCGAATACTTAAAAAAAAGTATAAAAAAATACCTAAGGCCTTAAGCCGGAAACCAATATCCTTCAATGATGGAGAGACTGAAATTATGGGGTGATTGGTTGATGCAGGGATAGAATGACATAAGGATTACAATAATAGGTTTCAGAAGTTTGTTTTGAAAGCTTATGCATGAAAAAAAATTGTTACAAATGGTCCCATTAATATGAGTGATTTACTGATGGTTTTTTTTTTTTTTGATATTCTTGAAATGTTATGAATATTCAGCCTTTGAACAGAACTTGCAATTTTATAATTTATTACCAAAAAAGTGGGTTGATTTATTGAGAGTTTGTTATTGACTAAATTACCATAGCTATTTTGCGCTAATAAATTCGACACCATTGGCATTGAGAAAGTGAATAAATAGAAGAAATGGAAGGCGGGATCAAGAAAATGCTATGAATTTATATCTTTGCTATTTTTTTTTTTTTTAATTGAACTCTGTCTTATTCTTAAACACCTTTGACCAGATATAGTTTTCCTGAAAAATGAAATAGTATTTTTAGTAGAGTCAAGCGATGACGTGGATTTTTCAATACTCAAGCAAGGAGCCTTGCAGCTCTGGGCTTTATTCTAAGACTTATGAACTTATTTTGAAAATTTTTTTTCCATTTTAATGTAAAAAGGAAAGATGAAGGAATTCCAAAAAAAAAAAAAAAAAAAAGTTAAAGTAAAGTAAAGTAAAAATATTTTAGTTCAAAAGAGATAGCTGAAAACTTTAAATTAAGGTATAATTTTAGTATCAGAAAAAATATGTAAAAGAAATTTCAAAGATTATTTTTTTTTTTTTTTGAAATATGAAAAGGCTTATGGCTTACAAGGATTGAGCAGATAAACATAAAACTGGATAGATGAAAAAATAAATGCAATCGTTAGGGCTTTAGGGCTTCAGCGGTCGCTTATCGCTTGAAATGCAGCAGATCTTCAATATAATTCAATTTTTTTTTATTTTTTGTGATAGGAATCGCCAAAATTCACATAGATTTCTACCTTTAAATGGATTTCTGTCGTATAAGCTATTATCATTATTATGAAAATGGCATTAAAAAACACACTTAAAACACTCTGTATTGATAAGAAATAAATAAAAATGAATACAAAAATTATACTTCTCGAATTTTATTAATTTTATTCTGTTGTTTCTGTATCCTAAGGCGTGATTGAAGATTGAGACCCCTCAAATAAATGTGCCTAATTCGATCATAATTTAAAAAAAAATTTTTTTGAAAAAAAAAAAATGAAGTTTTAATCTTTCCACTAAAGCTGTGGGTAACTTAGAGAATAGATTGATGTGTTTTATTGGAGTTTATTAGGAGAGAAAAGAAATAATAATAATAATAGTAAAAAAGGGCTCCAATTATCATACTAATGTTGAAAAAAAAAAAAGAAAAATTAGAACCAAGCCAATGAATTTGTTTAGTTTTGTTTAATCTTTTAGAGAAAAGCCTATCAAAAACATTATTTAAAAAAATTAAAAAAAAAATCTGAGATCTCAATGTATAATTAGTAACAAATTTTAATTAGTAATCATTCATAAGCCATTAATAGAGATTCTTATTTAAAAATTGACACACTGAATATTTTTTTGAGGGTGATTATCTAAAGTGAATATAATCATATCTTCTTTGTCTAACTCGTTTTGGTAATTTATCAATATGAATAAATGTTGATAATCGCAATTCCTCAATTGCGAAATGGTAAAAATTTATGAGATCAATATTTTGTAAGTCTCACATCATATGTCAATGTTATTATGACATTTTTTTTTTTTTTTCAATTTTTTTCAGCGTCAAAAGTTGAAAAAAAATGAAGAAATGCTCAATAAATCTTGAAACTTGAATAGAAAATAAAATGCTTTGTTAATCTATAAAAATAAAACATCTAAAACTTATGAAACTTATGAAATTTGGAAAAAAATTACTTGGAAAAAACAACTAGAAAACTAATTTAAAAATTTACACTTAAAAAACAACAATTTATTGTCTTATTTCTTGGTAATTGTATCTTGGGGGGTAGCCACCACGTCAATTCCATCAATAACAGACCCAGAGTCCTGAGAGTCGCCATGGTGGATCATGTCATTAACATTAACCTTAGGACCCTTGAAGAACTTGTGGGCATAAATCAAGTACCATGAAACAGCAAAAAGCATAGGACCAAAGTACACAAGAACAGTCCAATTCATACCTTCAGGATCCAAGTCGGCACCACGGTATTGAGGGAAGCACATGATGGGCACCATAAGAATAACAAATGCAATAGAAATACAACCGATAGGTCGAGAGAACTTTCCAAGATGCCATGGGCCAGGCTTGAAGTTATCACGAACAAAAACAACCTTCATAAAAATGGGGATGATGAAAGCAATAAAGGCAGCAATAGCACCAACTGAGAAGATAGCATCAATAACAACACCACCTCCAAACATAAGAAGGAGAATCAAGCAGCCAATGACAGAGTTAAGCCAAACGGCATTGACGGGGGTCTCTGTCCACTTGTTAACTTTAGCAAAAAGAAATGAAGCTGGGAAACAGCCATCACGTGCATAAGCGTAAGCAACACGAGAAGCAGCAATCATAGAGGCTTGTCCCATGAAAAATGCAGAAATAATGGTCAACGAAGCAACAAGGTCAACAAGGTGTTGAGGAAGGCATTGAGAGAGGTATTCAACAAATGGCTGATCGGCACTCATAATAACCGAAATGTCAGTTACAGTATATGCAATTGCCATTTGAAAAGCCCAGCCCAAAACACCACCAATACCTGAAGTCATAACGATTGCACGGGGAGAAGCAACCGAAGCGTTGGAACATTCTTCAGCCAAATGGAAAGGAGAATCATAACCAGACATAGTCCAGATAACCGAGATGAAAGACATCAACTAGAATATAAATGTTAGTTAAGGGGTTCTTTAGGATTCAAAATGTTGATTTTAATGATTTTGATTTTGAAAAGCAAAGCTTAGTAATCAAAGAGTGTAACTTACAATAGCAATACCATTAGGCCAATCGGTCTGATTAGTAATGGTACCCCATACTTCAGAGGACTTATTATAACGCGGATAGCCATTGTCGGTTCTATTGTCGGCGGCCAAGATAACAATAAATGCAATAATGAGGGCGATAGAGTTAAGAGTAGAACCGATAGAGTTAAAGCGAGCGAGGAATTTTGTAGACATGGAAGAAATGACACTCTGAGAAATCATAATCAAAAGAGTAAGGAGATAAACGTGCCAGTTTTCCATAACATAATCTGGGCTGTGCATTCCGTGAAGGGCGAGAATCATGGAAGCCATAGAGTAATCGATAGAGGGAGATGAGGTCACCTGACAGAGCCAGTTTGACCAGCCAGTGATCCAGGCAGCAATAGGGCCCCATCCCTGAGGGGCAAGGACAGCTGCAGCGTAATAAAGACCACCGGAAGTAGGCATGGAAGAACACAGTTCAGCCATCGACATGGCGACGGACTGAATACCAATCATGGCAACAATCCAACCCCAAGTCATACCGGCAGTTCCTGCATAACCGAGACCATAGTAGAGGGTAGAAGCGATAGAGGGCAAAAGACCCAAGAGAGCAAAGGAAACAGCAAAACTTGACCAGAGACCAAATTCACGCTTGAACTCTTGCTTGTAACCGAGGGCAACGAGTTCGGCCTCGTCGACAGTCAAGTTTCCATCGACAACGGGGTTAATTCCCTGTTCCGAAAGCACGGAGGTGATGGGAAGAGAATCGACAGCGATTTCGCCGGAGAGACGAGTATGTGATTCTTCGTCAATTTTTTTGGACATTTTTATAAAAGATTTATTAAATTAAAAAGCGATAAGTCTAAATGACAAATGGGAAAAGGAGATAATCGATGTTGCGGGTCAGCAGATACTCCATTCGGCAAAGATTTGTTCAAGAATAGCTTTTGTCAGCAATATGAGCGGACAAAAAGAAAGGATAGTTATTAAAGATAGGATAGCGAAGTTATATAAAAAAAAAAGTTAAAAAGGAAGGGGGATTTCTCAGGATTTATATATCAGGGAGGTGTCACCCCAAAAGAAAAGCTTATCGCGTAAATAATGCCCACACACAACGTTGGGACCTTTCAGAAAGTTTTTTTTTTTTTTTTTTTTTGTTCTGGCGGTTAAAAGTTTTTCTTTTATTTCTTTTTATTTCTATTTATTTTTTTTTTCATAGTCTTTTTGGGAAGCAAGCAGAAGTAGCATCGGTATTTCCGTGCACCCAGCATGACTGGAATCCTCCAAAAGCAACAAGTAAAAAATAGGTAAGCATAACATAAGAAAAAAAAAAATTTTAAAAAAAATTTAAAAAATGCACATTAGCCAATGTCCGTTGGGATGTAAAGAGTGAAGACTTTATTTGGCATTTTGATAACGAAAAAAAAAAAATTAAAAAAAAAAATTTTTTTTTCTAGTTAAGAACCGGAACGACGCCGTCATATCATCATTTTTTCTCACTCACACAATAACCTGTTCTGTCCTAAAAGAAACAAACTACAAGAAAAAGACCGGCATCGGATAAGTTTTATTGTAAATAGTCTGGTGCTTTTTCTTGTTATTATTCTTTCATATATAAAAAAAATTTTTTTTTTCTTCTTCTTCTTCTTCTTCAAGCCTCTAAAAGGTCGTTACGAACTGGCGGTATTTCAGTAAACTTTTGTATAAGTTGAGAAAGCAATGTTTCCCACCTCCGCACTTTTGTAAAGTCACGACCACTGGCTAGGTTACTCACACACTCACACAAAGGTCCTCCACAATATTTTTGGTTAAAAATAACTTGTAAAATAAATAATAAAATAAAATAAAATAAAATAAAATTAAATTAAATAAAACGGACTCGTTTAGAATCTTCAAGCAAAAAAAAAAAATAATTATTAACAAGTGGAGAAATTACATTTTGAGGGAATGGTCAAGGTGATTTCGAAAAATTTAGAAACATTCAAACTTGAGGAATTTTTTTTTATTTCATTTCATTTCATTTTCACAAGCTGTACGTATTTTTTTTTTGTTTTTTTGTTTTTTTTTTTTATCTATGCAGAATATCAATAGTGTTATGATCATTTTGTTGTTTTGCTTTATCTTAGCGAATTCAAAACATCAACCCCGTATTCAAATTATTTCCAACCCTGAATCATCACTACTTTCCCTTCTTATGCTTCTTCTTCTTCTTCTTCTTCTTCTTCTCCTCCTCCTTTTCCTTCTACCCCTCCCCCTCTTCTGCTTTTACGTCATTGTTAAAAGAGAAATGGAAAAGAAAACTTTTTTTTTTCAAATAGCCGCATTTTTTTTTCTTCTTTAAATTCGATTTCTAGGGCGTCTATTTACCTTTAAAAAAAGGTACACTTTTAATTCCAAATAATATAATGGCGATGAGTTATCCCTCAAAAAAAAAAACAATGTAATTACATTCTGTCAATGAACTAGGTTCTTTTTTTTGTTTTTTTTTTATTTCTCTTCATTAATCTTATCCTAGAAAGAATGCCCTTCATTAAAACGAGGTGGCTGCTCCTGAGCCACTTTTCTGGTTATCTGGCTTGATAATCATCATAAGCCTTGATAATCATCCAATCTTTAACACATATTTCTTCCTCTTTCGCTCCTGATTCTTTTTTTTTTCTTTTTCTTTTTCTTTTCTTCTTCTTCTTCTTCTTCTTCTTCTCTTTTTTTTTTTTTTTTGTTCATTCCTTCAAAATTTTTGAACTTCTTGTCGCATACAAACCTTTTTCTTTTTTTTGTTATTTTCCACGCATACCCCGCCGTCCTAACTAGGCATGTCCACACCCTTTTAAATTAACCGGTCGAGTTCGATCATGTACTTCAGAGTCGGTACATGTCATTGTGTCATTGTGTTCCGAAAGAAAAAAAAAACACTGCCCGGTGTTTTGTTTACCTGATGATTCAAAAAGAGAGTCACTTATCCCATTGGGTCTGGCATATCTTTTATTTTCCTTCATTTTTCTTGGAAATTACATAATCTTTGATTATTCATGTCTATGGAGGAAAAAAAAAAAAAAATAAGCTTTTCTTTCACTGATATTGGCACGGCTTTCCTTATCGGGTATGTCTTTGCGCATATCTTCACATGACTTGTCCGTATAAATCCATACAAGCTCTTCATTTTTCACAAGCCCTAACCCATATATATATTTAAAATTGTAGGCTCAGATACCCTAACCTACATTTGTCGCTCGCCACTCGTAATGACTTGCCTTTTTAGGCTATTCTTTTTTTGGCCCTTGAGCCCCTCTCGTTCAAGGTTTACAAACAGAACGAAAAAACACCAATAAGTACCCCCAGGCTATCGCCAAAGCTTGTATGGTTGGCAGCTTTTGTCGCTCAGCGGGTATTTCTCTGTGGCTGGTCATCAGAAACCTCTTGTAAAAGCTTCTAGATTCATAATTCTTTCTTTTCTTCTTTTTTTATTATTTGTCATTCTTCTTCTTCTTTTTTTTTTCTTTGCTATTTTTGCTTCTTGTTTCCTGTCTTTTATTTTATTTTAAATGTTTTTGTCAAGGGTTTGAAATTTTTTGCTCTGAATTTAAAATCCCTCTGTTCCCCAATGTTTTTATTAAAAACATTTTTAAACAATTTCCAAGAAAACGACAATAATGATTTAATAATTTCTTCTCTGCTCTTTTGCTCTCATTTCTTTCAGTATCCTTCCCCGCTAATTCGAATGTGGCGTTTTTTTATAGGTTGCAAATGAATAGTTTTGTTTTGGATAACTTGTTTGCTCCATTTAGTATTCAATATGTTCAATATGTTCAATAAACAGAAACTTGCAATTTCTAAAAGCTTTTGAAATATTTCTCTTTTAAAGTTGTTTCAGTTAATTTTAATTTTGTCAAACAATTTATCTACCTTTTAATCAAGTCTCTGTTTTCTTACTTGGCTAATTGAGTAGTTTCAATAACAACCATTATTTGTTTTTTTGTTTTTTTTTGTTATTTTCATTTCTGAATCTCTTTATCCTCTTATTCAATAAATGAATCTTTCACTCTTTTTTTTTCAATTCAACTACATTTTGGAACCTAAATATTACACGAAATTTATCTTCGTTTTATCTTTTATTTGATTATGATTGTTTCATTGAATGGATCTATATTTTTCTTTCTTTTTTTTTTCCTTTTTCTTCTATTCGTTAAAAATCGAAACTAACCTTTGATACTAATATTTTGACTTTCATCTTGATTTGTTTTCACCCTTTTTCAAAAATTAAAATCTATATCAATCTCTTATTCTTGGTTTATCTCTATATATATTTCTTAATTCCCTTGGAGTAATCATTTCAAGCTTCATTTTAAATTTTTATTTCCGTTCTAATGACCCATTTTCATGATTCATTAAATCCATTGCCCATATTTTTTATCGTTCATTTATATTTGCGGTTTATATTATTCATTTTTATCTTTGGTTATATTATTCTTTTTGATCATTCATTCATATCTTTCATTTCTTACTCATTTTTATCTTTTGTTTATCACTCATTTTTTTAATCTTTTGTTTATATTAATCAGTTTAATTATTCATTTATACCATTTATTTCATTCATTTTTTAACTCATTTTTACCCTTCTTTTATATTATTCATTTCATCATTTATTTTTATTAAATTATCATCTTAAAAAGTTAAAATTTGCAACTATAATGCATATTTGTTCCCTTGAGCACTATTTGAAGTTTTTAAACCAGTTAAAACTGATTACCATCTTTCCATGCCAAGACTTGTTACATCATATTTTCATCACGAATAATTCTAATCATCTCTTCTTATCTTCATTTCTAATTTGGCACTTTAACTATCTGATAGTCAATCTTTTGGTCGATTTTGCTTTATCTCTTTCAAGACTCTTGTGTTATGACACATCTGATTAATATAATACTGATCAGTATTTGAAATCATTTGTTTTAGTTATTTTTTTTCATCTTATCAATTCTTGAACACATTTCAATATTTATACTTTGTTTGGTTTTTCGGTATTTGCAACACTATTTGAATTCTAACCTTTTTATCATTCTTCTTTACTAGGTTTTGTCTTCATTGACCTCTTTAATCACTCTTACGCCATTCATTTTTATAATCATAATAATCATGATATTATCTTTACTTAACCATCATTTCAATATTCATAAGGCCTCTTTTTTTTTCATTATCATAAAATTTTCTAACATCAACTCTTTTTAAATATGTTTTTATATGCTTTATTATCCAACCATTCAACTTCCATATACCAAATGCTTTTATCTACATTCTTTTCTTTTTTGTTCCAATACGATCGATTTAAACCTCTTAAGTTACCCTCTTCGGCCCAATCTCGGTATTAAATTTTATTTGTTTTGTTTTCAAAATAGGTGACAATACCGTACTCTTGCTCGAACCTGTTTTTTCTGAAAAAAAAAAAAAAAAATTAAAAAAAAAATTAAAAACACCTCCCTTTACTCCTTTAGTAGTTTTTGTGATCTCTTGTACATTTTGCCCTATTTAGCAACTAAATGAAACATTTACAATATAAAAAAAAAAATTTAAAGTCTAATCGAACCGCCTTCCAGAACCTCAAGTCAAGGGCTAGCCGAAACGTGCTTAAATGAAACAAAATGATACCACTAAGTCTCTAAGTCCCTAGTACTCAAGTGGAATGCATTTTATGTTTAACTTAATGGTGCGATTTTCGACCATCCCCTAAATTGTCAAACCATTATTTACAGCCCAGCTTTTACTTAAAACTCTATTCAGGGTTAAACTCAAGATCTGTCTTTGCACATTATTGCGGTCTTTTTTATTGTGGGCGGTTGGTCACGTGAAAACTCATAAATATTTTTTTTTTTTTTCATTTCCGTTATTTACAAGGAAAAAAAGTTCTATTCTAAAAAAAAAATCTAATTTTGGTACGCGCGTGCAAAGCACGACAACTTTACAAGTGTAGAATTCAAAGGATCAGACTTGTCCAAACGAATGACTGTATCGATCAAGACAAAAGTCTGCATCAAGGGCCCGGCGCCGCTCTGCAGCGGCCGAACCTTTCGAGTGTTTGTAGAGTAATTAAGGTGAGGTGACGGAACACTTTCCTGCTTTGGGGGCTGGAAGTATACATTCTTAAGGCGCTTGTAACGCTCATCAGGGGCACTAAACGACTTGCGTGTCTTTTCCCAGCAGGCAAGCAAATACCCCAGGCTCTGCCTAATGAGGCCCTTGTTCTGCATACTGATTGTGGACAAGCCCTCGCAATTAACCCAGTATTCAAGCAGGTAAGATGGTGGTTCCATCAATTCAGTGTCCTTACGGGTTTGCTCGCGCTCGTAATAATCCCAAGCCCAAAGACATAAAAGGGCATTCATCAAGAGCTTACGAGAATTTCGCGATTCAATTCCACCGCAAGTTGCAGACGAGCTAACGTGAACCAAGTTAAGCAAGTAATAGGCTGACAGCGTGACGCGATTTTCAGTATGATAATCACGAATCCAATGATAAAACTGTCGATAGGTTTCTTGAGCATGAACGCCATCACCAAACAGCAAGTACTGTTCAATCATATCATAAGACTCAGTGCCAATGCGACTGCAAGCCAGCTCCAAGCGAGTTGGTAATTCATTAACCAACGTTTCAAGAAACTCATTTTCGGAAACAAGGCTGCAGAAACACAGCTGAAAATGGATACTCCCCAAAACGGTGCAAAGCCATGGGACAGGGGACTCTGGAGAAGTAATGAGGTGCGATAAGGTATTTTTAGTTTGGCGTGACACGTACTGGGTAAAATCAGCTTCAGTAAACTTCCGAGTTGCGCGCTCGCCAAGCTGTTCTAACATTTCAAACGCATAATGGATGCGTGAATGTAACATGCCATCAGAAACAAAAGAGCCTCTCGGAGTAACATGTGGTCTAAATGGACATGTAGCTGGGTTATAATGAGGATTGAGCGATCTATGTATACTATCAAAGTTTGCAACAGGTCCCACACCGACACCCCAAGAAATAACAGCCAGACCATAGCATGAAACAACAAAGGGACCCAAGGTCCATGTTGTGGCATCTTTAGACTCTCTGAGTTTAACCGACATTGTATTAGAGTCCAAGAGACTTGGAAGTTTGAGCATTGACTTGAGAACCAGCAAGTATGACGTAGTGCGAATGTTACGCGAAGGTCCAACAGTATGGAAAAACATTTCAGTAGAAGAAGCAACCCATAGACTATCAGGACTAGGCATAGGTAAGTCAAGCTGATTTAAAGGAAGCAAATCAGCATTATGCAGTGCATCAACGTGCATGATACCAAGTACATTGACAAAGTGAAGCAGTCGGATACAGCTTTCATGCAAGACCCAAGTTTTCCACTGGTTTTCAATAACATCAAGAGATGTTGATCTGTGAAAGGCAAACTGGTAAGAATCAGCAGTAGCATTAGGGTATGCCATGGAAGTGCATTCAGGAGGGGAAAAGCAGCCACCAAGACGAAGATAATGTTCGCCCAAAAGAAGCAAGTCTTTAGGAGTAAAGAGACCTTTGTTTGGAGAATTTGGTTCAAGGTAAGCGACATTGTTCCAAATAAGTAAAGCGCAGGAAAGAATAACATCGAGTTTATTATGATACGCGATATGACCAGATCCTATAAGTGCAGCATGGCAATGACGTTCCAAAGTCAAGAATATGGGAATAAGCTGACGGGGATTTGGATGATGGTAATAAAATCCAAGATAAACTAAAGTAGCTAGTAGTAAAGGGTTTGAAGCTTCAGCAATAAAGGAAATTCTATGCATTGTAAAATTGACGCATTCAAAATTGAGCCAGGCGGTTCGAATGTAATGTGAAATGTCATGAGCAGAAAAGTTAAAATTAATGTGACAGGGAGAAAAGAATTGGTTGATATGGTGTGCCATAAGATTAGAAACTTCGTAGCAGCGAGTTTTCAAACTCTCAGCTGGTGTAGAAGGATATGAACGAAGGTTATTGTAGTGATAGTGGGAAAGTGCTTGGAAAACATCGAGGGTATTTTCTTTATTATAATTGTCTTCAGCAAAGAAAAACATAAAGGGGTTGCCAGCCTTGGGTAGAGGGAGACGTGGCGAGGGGTTATTATTAATAATGTTTTGGATGGGGACATGAGCCAAAGAAGACTGAATGTTTCCACGTCTGTTTTTAGAGATTGAAAATTGTTCCAAGTAATTTTTCTCATATGGTGAAGAAGGAGTTATTTGTTTTGGTTCAAAAGTGGAAAGTGGTTGCGCAGGTTGAGGCTGAAAGACTTGAGATTGTGGTCTTGTAAAGACAGGTTCGGAAAGGGTATGGCTTATGCTCATGACAGAAGAGACAGAAGCCTGGCGAGATTGGGTGGTACTACTGGAGCTACTGGAGCTACTGTTCCGAGAGCTTGATGCAGCACTGCTGCTTCTAGAGCTGCTATTCGAACTAGGAGGGGTAATATCATTGATGATACTTTTAATACTATTACTGCGGTGGCTGCTATGATGGGAGTGTTTGCTGGAAGAAGAGCTAGGAGCAACAGCTCCAGTGACATAGGTTGGAGCTGGCGCTGGAGCTGGAGCTGGAGCTGGAGCTGGCGCTGGGGATTCCGAAGGGGATGGGAGGTGAGTAGGAGTTTGTCGAGATTTAGAAGGCTTTTGGTTTTGTTCAGGTAGGTAAGGGATGATTGCACCATTTGCACGCTTGATATGAAAACGAGTGAGAAGGTGACTTTTAAAAAAAAAGAAAAAGTTAGTAGGGCAAAAATCAAAAGGATTGATTGTCAAGACATACTTTTCATAGAGATCACTTCTAGAGAAGGAGCGATTACATGAATGGCAGGTATATGGTTTTACCGGGAGATCTGAGAGAGTCAGTAAAGTTGAGAGAAAAGATTAGAAATGTTAACATACGATTGACAGCATGACGTTCAAGATAGTCACGTCGGTTAAAAGATTTTGTACATCCTTCATATGTGCAGACGTACTGGCGGTCGTGCTTTTGGGGAAGGTCGCTTTGGCGAGCTCTGCTCATTGTAAGGACATGAAAATGGGTTATTGATTTGTTGAGTGTTTAATTGGATTATGGTTGGTTGTGACAACAAAAAAAAATTGTAAGGGCTAAGAGTAACTTTTAAATAGCATATAAAAAAAATTAGATAAATAAATAAAAAATTGTGCGGAGAGGTGGAAGGAGAGGGGCGGAATTGTTGGTATTTATATCCTAAAGGAGGAAATTTATAAAGGTATAAATTGAAGTTATTGGCCTCTCCATAAATTTAAGTAAGTAGAACAGGTTATAATAAATGTAAGTTAAATATTTTTATCAATTTATTATGGCAACACAGACTTAATAGGCAGCCAAAGACGCCAGCCACCAAGGGGAGGGTTTTTTTTATTTTTTTTTTCTAAAAAAAAATATATATTTTAGTGTATGAATCTACTCAAATAGGTTTTTTTAGGTGAGGAGGTAAAAAATAATAGAAAGTTATTAATTTATATATATATATAATATATTATTCAGCCATATATCCATATTTATATATATATATATATATATATATATATATATATATGGTTTAACCAAAAGGCTATTAGGATTGCCGTCGGGGTTTTTTTTGTTTGAAAGTGACGAGTATGAATTAGAAACATGGGCTGGGTTTGAACAGTCCGAAAGTTTGCTAGAAATACCTTTTTCATTATTATTATAACTATTCTACAAAGCTGATCAAGTTGTTCAAAGACATTTTTCATTTTTTCTTTCATGATGATATGATTGGTGATTTTTTTAGAGATTCATGAAAAAAAAAACAATAACGGAACAATGGAAGAGCCTTTTGTTGGTGATATCATATGGTTTTTGAGAAGGAAAAAAAGGAAATTTAAACTTTCCCTTCTATCTATCTTTCTTTCTTTTTTTTCCTTTCTTTCTTTTGGAATTCCTTTTTTAATGTATGAAAAGTCTAATTGATCGAAGATTTCAAAAGGTCATGGAAGGATTTTTGTATTCCCAAGCTTAAAGGGTGTGTGGGTTTAAAATCTTTTCATTTAGACTTGGGAAAAGAAGCCTCGTGGTCATATCACGTATGTGAAAATGACACGAAAAAGCGGAGAAGAATAAGAAGCAAAGTTATCATTTTAAGATGAAAAATAATATTAATAAAAAAAAACATTTCTATCATTACAATCAAATATGATAGATAAATTAACATTAAAATTTTAAATCAAAAAAAAAAATTGCATTTATTCTTTTATATCTTTTGCGGAGATTATTGTGAGAAAATTGTCTTCTTTAATAATGTTGATTGTGGGTGGTAGTCGTAGTGGTAGTGATGATGATGATGATGATGATGAAGATGAAGATGAAGATGATGATGTTTTTATTGTGTGCCCATGTATTGGTAGGATGGAACGCCTTACTGTTGTGCCCATATTTGAAAAAATATCTCCAAGTAAAAAAAAAAACATAAAGTCTTCGGAAAAGAATAGCCGAGTTTGTCTTTTCTAAGTGCTACTTTTATATAATGTATTTATATAAATATATGATATGCTAAGAAATGCACCAAAAAAATATTAGTAAAAAGTCCCAAAATTCTGGATGTGCATATGGAAAAGTCTTTTAAAAGAAAAAAAAAAAAAAAATTTAACAAACTTTTAAAAATAAGTTTTTATTATTATTAAAAAGAAATTATTTTTTTCTGTTGCTGTTGCTTCTACTTCTACTTCTACTTCTACTTCTGCTTCTGCTTCTGCTTCTGCTGCTGCTACTAATAGTACGCTACTACTGCTGCTGCTTTCTACACTTGTTGCTATTTGCTTCTGCTACTACTAGTAAGCATACTGCAGCTGCTACTTTCTCTTCTACTACACTCCACTCCTCCTCATTCTGCCACTAATAACTGGTGAGGCCTTGTTGATTTACATTTCAACACCACGTCGGATACCCGCCTAGTACCGGGAGGATGGCTATCCAATAATGACAACCGTCCCGAAGAGAGACCGAAACCAAAAAAAAAAAAAAAAAAAAAAAAAAGGGCAAAATCCCCCGGGTCTCCATTTGCCCAAACTGGTTTTGTCTGTTTTATGTATTTATTTGTTTATATATATATTCCAATATATCTAATATGCTTTTTTTTTACTTTTTTTCGGAACGTTTTTACTCCACACAATCATTTAGGTTAACGTTAAAAAACAAATGAAACTTTTTACACTTATCTAACAACCACCACCACCTTCGAGCCGAAAAATATTGGGATATTCTAATTCGATCAAAAAAAAAAAAAAAGGTCTCAGTTAATGTTAATGTTAATGTTAATGTTAATGGATATGAAGTTTAGTAGCTCTCTATTTTTAGTGTAATTTAAACTAGTATGTTACTTTAGTTTAATATAGAGGAGAGGTGAGAGGGGAACCAGAGCACAGTGAGGGGTGTTAAGCTGGTCCAAACATTTAACTGGGCATTTGTTATATGAGTGAAAGTTACCAAGCCAACGGCAAATGGTCGGCCTAGAAGAAGAAAATAAAATAAAATAAAATAAAATAAAATAAAATAAAACAGATTAGACCAAAACATTCAAGCGAGGACCATATATATATCAATGAGGCCGCCAAAGTCATGCGTATGATGGTTTGTTGGATGTAGAAAGGTACGCTATTTTGTTTATCCGCCTTGCCTTTAGATCGAAAATTCCCTTTGAAGGAGGGGTTTTTTGGTATTTTTTTTTTTATTTTTTCAGGGGAAAAATATGGATATATAAATTACTAAGCACGGCTTCATTTTGTTTTTGTTTTTGTTTTTAATATTTTTATTTTTATTTTTATTTTTATTTTTTGTTGTTTATATTTTTTTATTTTTTTATTTTTTTACCATCTCCTTTCAATTTCTTGTTTTTGGCTAGTATTGATCAGATCTCTTTAAAACATTAAAGCATTTAGTATTCGTGAGAAGAAACAAACAAACAACGTTTAATTTTGCTCCTGTAGTGTGTATATATATATATATAAAATTATTTTGAGGTGCTTCTGTGCGTGCAGTAGTTACATGTCAAAGAAAACAATCATCGGCCGGATTATGTAACATGCCCACAGACTCACCAAAGAATAAAAGCAACTAAATAGATGCGATATGCACAAATATGCCCCAAAGCCTTTTTTTTTTTTTTTATATAAAAGGTGTCTCTATTTTGATAAGCCCTCCTCCTCTCCCCCTCCCTCCCTCCTTCCGTCCCTCGATATACTCTCCCATTTCCACCATTGATATTAATATTGCTGAATTTTTATGTAATAAATCAACAAAACATTATTAAAATCTCAAATTTATCTGAGATACTGATTTTATTTTTTTAATTTAAAAAAAAAACATGAAATGAAGAATTAATATGAGGATTTGCTCAAAAGGGTAAATTATTTATTAATTAGTTAAGAAAAAAGAAAGCATATTAAGATTATTGGCAAAGCCCTTTTTTTTTTTTTTCCTGAAGAAGCAAAAATTGCGTATCCTTTGGTAAAAGAAAAAAAAAAGAAAAAAAAAGACCAAAATATTAGCAAGGCGGAGTATAAATATTTTCCCCTTGTTAGTCGCTAATCTGATAAATCATGTCATATCAAGCTCTTTTAATTCAACTTTCAGTATTTACATCATTTTTTTTTTTAAAGCTAAGTGCTCAAGAAAGATTTAACCAATGTCAAAAGTAAATTGCACCAATGGCAAAAGTAAAGGAATATGAACTTGATTAGGAAAGTAACAAAAGAAAATACGTGTGCTGGCAAGTTTGATAAGTAATTGATATCATTTGTAGTATTTGGAACAACATTGACAAGATCTGCGTAGTTCCTTTTGGGCATTTAATCCTGTACATGGAGAAAATATTATATCTTGCATATATATAAAATAATCTTGAAGAATTTTTTTTTTTTTTTGATATACAAAAAAATACAAAAATATAAAAATATAAAAATTGCAACAACAACAATTTTAAAAGTTTAAAAGGTTTTTTATTTATAATATTTTCAATATCAATATTTATCAAACTCTAGATATCAAAGAAACTTCAACATGTATTTTTATTTTTATTTTAATAAAACTAAAAAAAATATAAATGGGTTACCACTGGTGCGGTAGAACATCAGACATTGTCAAATTTCCCTATTTCAACAAATATATTTAACAACCATTTTAACCAGAATTAAATAATAATTACAAATAAACCATATCAAAATGTAAAACTAACAAGAATAAAAACTAATGCCAGAGCAAACAAACAAAAAAAAAAAAAAAAAAAAAAAAAAAAAAACATGCCATTTTGTAATTTCTTTCCCGCCTTTTATCATTAATTCTTGAATATCTTTATTAATTCCTGGACTTGAATAAAACACGACCCTTCTTTATATTCTACATTGCTAGGTGCATGTTTCGTGTTATGCGCGGGATAAGTTCAAATGTTACGTAGTCATTTATTATTAATTTTTATTTTTTTTTAATATCATATATTCTTTTTCTTCAAAAATATTCTTAAACTTTGCCCTTGTTAAAAGTTTTCTGTTTTTTTTTTTTTTTTTTTTTTTTTCATTCTTCCTTTCTTTGGCTTGTGATTAATTGATTAATTGATTGTTGCAACAAATTAAAATCCTCCCTCCACCACCAAGAACAACAATTATTTTTTTTTATAATCTGCGGCTGGCTAATTATGGTTATAATAAGCAGATATTTTGATTAAGTGATCCCAAAGCTTTTCAATTTCTAAGCCAAAAAAATAAAAAAAAAATAAAAAAAGAAAGTTGATTATAAAAGAAAAAGAAAAAATATTAAAAAATATCAAAAAAAAAAGAAGAAAATATATATTTCTATTTATCAAAACATTTCTTTGTTTTATCCAGTTCAATTAAAAAGGCAATAATGGTGATGATTTCTTTTCTTTTTTTTTTGGCTCCGGGATGACGAAAATGTTTTAATATTAGAAGAAGAAGAAGAAGAAAAAAAAAAAAAGTCATTTTGGTGCCAAAATTAAAACTTTACCCAGTAAATTTGATTCTGAT